TTCTTGGAATGACTACTTTGAGTCCACTATGGATTCTCTAGCTCATTTTACTCTTTTATACTTTGTAAGTCTTACGTGAATCAATACCTTTACAACAACTGTGTATTCAAATCATCTACTATTATTTTCAATAAATACTTCAAATGAGAGCTTCTTCCACTTCTGAGAATGCATTTGAACTTATGGTAATTGGATATAACACATATGTGCAAAATTAAATTTAATCATCTCTATTTTAATACCAAGCTATTCAACATTTGAACCCTTTTTATATTTTTCATCAAAACTTTAACCGGCATTTCACAATCACTCTCATTTATTACTTCATAATCAATTTATTTCTTGGTTTAATTCATCAGTAATTACCACTTGGAGAACACTGTAGGGTTGATATCATTTTAAATGATGATATCAATATAATTAATCATTGTTTAAATTAACAAAAGTGACGTTAAACGATGAATAAAATATCACGCGATACATCAACCGCCGCGAAACGGCTAACTCTGACCAGTTGTAAGTTTAAGTTAGCGTTTGTTAGCGTCGCGGTGCAGTTCACAACTGTGAACGTAGATAACCGAACTCTTTGGTTCGGCAAACATCGGCTCCAAGCTTCGAGAATATGCGCCTAGTGGTTCTCCTACCACACACCACTACCTTTGTGTATCATTTTGGTTGTTTTTTCTTTCTTTCTTTCCTTCTTCCACACATGAGATCATTGTGTGTCGTGTTTCCTTCATTTTTCAACGCCATCTCCTCATTTACAATCGGATAGTGTATGACGCTCTCCAGGGTTTCGGTCCATGTTTTTGGGCCCTCATGGCTTTCTAAAGAATTAGGCCGCGATCACAGACTATGTATAAGTGTTCCAGCCCCTAGGGGAATGTGCGGAAAAAAATAAAAAGTGACCTAAAGACATCTAAGTCTTTGAGTTAAACAAAAGATTCTAAAAAAAAAATGTGAAAACCGTTTTCAGATTAAATCTTTAATTTATCGTCGAGAAAAAGGTTTTTACCATCAATTACTGAGTAACAAGCCTCTTAGATTGGTATTTTCCAATAGAAACACGTGGTCCTTTTGTGTTGGACTTTATTTTTCTGAGTAAATAGATATTTACTCCAAAATAATTTTTTTTTGAGGAATTGATTATTTTTTTCATTTTATGACAATGTGAAATGTCTTCAATTTATATGTATGAAGAAAATGAAAATAATTTCAACATGAAAGTACCCCATGAGTCGATAAAAATCCTACATCTGCTAATATTTAACGACAGCTGTTGAACACGTGATATTTCCACTAACGTATCCTTTATCAAAATAGACAACAATACGAATAAAACAATGATTGGACAAAAGTAAAAGTATGATGATATAAAAATATGCTTAACTAGTGGCTAGCCCACAAAATTAGAGCTCAAACACGCGTTCAGGTATAAGAGTATTGTCAGCCGGAGGCGGATTTAAAATTTTTTTTTTTTAAGAAGAAAGTATACCACAAAAAAAAATCACATGCATAATGCTCTTTTGAGATTTTTTTTCTCTCGAATACAATAAAAAAATTTATGAGCATTTGTGTGAGTAACAGAGTTCTCTTCAAGCACGCAAAGATATGCCGCAGGTGATATTGGCCACAATCATGTGCCTGCACGTGCCTGGTTCCAAACTTCTCTTTTTTTCTTATCTATCCGAACAGGACATAATAATATTGGCTATAAATTTTCAATTACCATTCATTGCAATGGCTCATTAAATTATTCAAGTTTTCATCGCAATATGATATATCTGTATTCATAAAACATATATATATCTCTAGGTTTTTTTTTATATTAAATTATAGTTAATAAGAATCTTGCTTTTTTATTTGTAACAAAGATATTTTATTAAATTTATTGACAGGCGCGAAAAGATTTTTGCTTTGTTAACGATAGGAAAACTAACAATATATGTATAAATCAAATTCAAAGAAAGGAACAACACACACGTGCCTCCCAAGAGCAGCTGGAGCACGTTTTAGAATTCAACAGTATTGAATTTGTAAACTCCCGTGGATTTCTTGTGACTTTTTGTTCAATCGAGCATTATATGTATGCCAGATATATAGCATGGTTATAGATACTTTAATTGAAAAGACGATGGCATATACACTAGCTAAGAATACAACATTTATATTACCCAGTTTTGCTCTTTCTATTTAGAAAAAAAGTAAAAACACGAGTATTTTCTACATGTACATAATAACCTTTCATTCGATTTTATTTAATATTTCATTATACTACTCTCACTGTACAAAAAATGAGAACCAAAAAAGATTGTAAAAACTGTTCTAAATGATTAAGTCATCATACAATGGAGTCCAGTCAAGATTCATCAGTAGCTTTCTTTCTTTATTCATCTAATCTTCTTATGAGTATACTCATTATCTACTACAGCAGTATAGTTCAGTAAGTTTCTCACATTTTTATTTGCGAGTAATTTTGCGTATATTATATCATGTTTCTAACAATTGGTTTCGTACAAATAACAGATTTAGGTCATAGAAATGGTGAATGTTGATGAATATGCAAATAATCAGTCATTTTTTATTATCTACACCAACCACAGCTGAAAAAACCTTGATTCTTGCTTACAATAAGTTGATTTCTAAATAGCAAAACTGTTACAATCTTTTCTTTCTCGCTACTTCAGTACCTCATTGTCTATTTACCAATCCTATCGTTTGTTTGTCATAAAATAGGACAACCACTTGAATGTCTAGTACAACCCATTAATAATATTATTTGATACATTCTATAGATCGAATGTAACTAAAGAAATGTCAATTTGATTATAAAATATCATATTTTTATCCTAGAGCTATTGAGTATATATAAATATTAATGAATAAAGTTTCTTTGTTAATGATATGCATATGAGAGTAAATGTGAAGAATCAATTCACTTAGAGAGAAAGGGTTATATTTGTCGCTTATCTTAGTGATATAAGCAACAGGATGATTTAGGTAATAAATTGAGAATTGTTTCAATTGGCTCTCTCATGCATGAGAGTCAAACTGATGAACGCCTTAAACAAATTCCACTTGAAGTCTATTGTTCCTCATCATGAGTCATGATAATCTTTAACGTACTCGCCTCCGTTGCATTACGAAGGCAATGAAGAGAAAACTTTCACTCTAACGCACCACCAATGTATCTTATGTAACTATATATGATCAGAAGACGATAGGATTAGAAGATATGTATGAATAGGAATTTATTCAAGCTGTCGATATAGATACTGTATAATAATCTCTGTAATAAGTTTAAAATAAAAAGTTTTGTTTCAACATCAACTACTCTGTCATTTGAAACTATACATCATCCTGCCATCATTTATCTGATGTAGGTACCCAACGTGACTTTTCATACCTTTAACTGTGTTTTCTTTAAAAAAAAAATCACTTCTGACATAGGAAGTTTATTATTTTAAAACAAAGCAACGTAAATCAATCGTTTAATGTTGTAAAGTTTTTTTGCTTATGTCTTAACTAGAAATTTATTCCTAGAAATTATGATTTTTTCACTACAAACTTGACACTAATTAATGAATCATAATTTCAATATAATTCATTAAATTTTTATGAGGATAAATTTAATCATCCGGTTGTTTTATATATCCTAAAGTATATTCAGTCTTAAAAATTATTTTTAAGAGTTATTTAGTTAATGATATTGGATTAATAATCTTGCTAAAGTTATTTTAAAATCAACCACAGGCTTTAAGATTTGCCTGGCGAAATACCTGAAAGTTTATCTGAATTTATTCTGTTTTTTAAAATAATCGTACTATCAACTTTCTTCTCAAGGAGAAACCAAATTATCAACCAGTTTAAATCATCTATTTGAATTTTTGTAGAAATAACTTGTCATTAAATTACTTATCTTAACCAGATTCATTTTTTTTCCAATCCAACTCCTAAAACACTTAAATATAATCAAAAATGATTACTATTGAACACGAATGTCTCAAGCATATTCCGAATAATTTAAGACCTGATAGATACATATTGAAATTAATGTTATTACCATCCAAACATAGAATTAAAACACATAACGTGACTCTTTGTTGTCTCTATTCACAAGACGATTAACAAATATTTCTACTTATACTTCATTCTGCAGCAAGTTTTAGCATTAATATATGATTATAATCTACCTTTCTATCTTCTACTCATCTTTAACTGGGACTCACGTGTATGATCATAAATAATAGTGAACATGAGTAAACGTGAAGGCATACACAATCATAGATGTTAGCACTACAAATCCTCAAATCATCTTTGTGGCTTTATACTCCACTATTTGTTACATGTACTATATACTAGGGAGCCAAGAGTAATCAGTACTTAGAAACGGTTTCTTCATTTTTTTATATCAAATTTGTACTTGCTTATTAGCATAATTACTCTGACATTTATAATTATTGTATATCATTCATAAACAGCTACAAATATTTTATTTTATAACTAATGTTAAAAGGTTAAATTTCTCAACAATAACGTAGTTTCTAGCTAAATTTATCTTCCGAGTGAGCTCCACAATGTAAGACAGTCATAGTCATAAATTAGTAAGTAAATAATGGAAACCTACGTACCGTAAATAATATTTACATATTTTTTCATTCATTCACTTTATCTTTTAGTCTAGTTTAGCATGATGTATGTTAGAGTTAAATTAAAAACTATTGTCTACAGAAACGCTATTAATTATTAGAAACCCTTTTTGAATAAAAATTAAGAATTGATAAGTAAAATAATACAAATAGTGTAATCAGTCTAAAATTAACATTTGAACCAGAATGGAATAAGAATCCAATCAAAGTATTCTATTCAATTGGCACATGATTCATCTAATTCGAATTACAATTCACGACGTAATCGAATACGACTACCAATATTAGTCACTCAGTATCTTTAAATTTATTATTCCTTTCACAGAAAAAATAATAATATTCATTACTTACCATGTGCTCCTTTGCCTTTTCCTCCAACTCTGGTATCGTCCAATTGACCCGAAAGCTTAACGGTTGCAAACGAGATTCCATTTCTCGTAACCATTTTCTCAGACACTTGACTTCATGTTCAAAATCTAAAAAAAATTGCAAACGTTAATAACAGTTTGTATAATATAAATATATAAAAAATAAAAATCATACCAGCAGAGACATCCTGTTGGTTAGAAGCTGGTTGTGTTGGTGCCATTATTTGTTCTACAAGTTCCCATTTTGCATTTAAATGATCAACTCGCCAAGCTACTTCATCTTTTAATGAAGGAGTGCGAGCCACTAATTTGGCAGCTTGGTCATTAAATAATCGTCGTCTATAAGCCTTTCGTTTTAAATCCTCCATATGAGCCTGAAATCCAAAGAAATATAAAATTTCAATATCATAGATTTCCCAATCTTACAAGTAAAACTTGTATGATAAAAGAAATATTCAAATTCCCTACATCAGTCAGTTTATAAAAGATAAGAATACTTTGATAACACACAAAAAAATATTTACGATCGATATGAAAGTGAGTGCATCGGAATGTACAGTATATTTTAACGATAAATTTCGTTCATTAAATTTATCATGACAAATCAATTCGTATTCAATTTTACCATAAATTTGTCGTTAAATTTATCAGTAATAAACGTATAAAATTCTTGGAACTTTAGGTATGTATGAATAGAAATATCAATGGTAATATACTAAAGATAAAATATATATTTATCTACATCTAAATAACTTTGCAAATTAATTTACATATTATTGCAGTAATCTTATGAAAATGAAAGTAAGACAAACTCAAAAAATATTTAAAGAGAAAAAAAAACAACATTGAGAAGGTATTGAAATACATGAAGATAAGAATAAACACAAACATCGACACTTGGTTTAAGTCTTTTTTTGGGATAATACTCTTTAATACGATAATTTGAGCTATATTTTCCATATTATGCATCAAATAATATGAAGTCAAGGATAAGAAGACTTTACCCTAATTTGTAGAGTTTGCAAAATTTATTGTTAATTTTACTTACAGCACGAAGACTTTTGTCTAGAAGATTTTCTTCTTTGGAATAAACTAGTTCTTGTAGAACACCAAGCCATGTATACAGTTCAGAAAATTGACAACTAACTTCTTTCAAACCCCATGACAATGTAGAAACATCACCTTCATCCCAAATGAGCTCTCCATTAGCTTCCTAATATGTTTAAAGAAGTTAAATAATGATTTCAAATTGTAATTAAATGAATACGCCATCGTACATTACCTTGCAACTATCGATGAGATTTGTATCCATAATATAATCATAATTAGATCGAATAGCTGCCCAGAAATCATCCTTGCAGTCATCACGATTGATCCAAGTTCGTTGACAAGTTTCTTGATTGGGATCTTTCCTATAATGTAATTAATTTATCGTTTAGTATAAATATCAAAAAGCGTATAGAGTATATTTCTTGAATATTATTAATTAATACAAAAGAAAATACCTTTTCTTCGTAAGACTGCTGTATGGTCTGTCAATTCTTATTTTCGCATGGTCAGGACTCTCTAGACTATCGCTAGAGCGTTGCAGCGAAGAACACGAGAAGCTCATTTTCATTGGTTTAGAATGTACTGAAACTGCAAAATAGTGATTTAATGGAGATGAAAAAATCATAACAGCATAAAAATAATGAAAAGAAAAAACATTCGTGATTCATTTTTTTAATTCATGGAGTGATTACTATTTAATGCCAATCATAGACTATGTTCAATGATTGTATAATCACTTACTAAGGATCATAATTAATAATTAATTACTTACAACAAGTAAAACGAGTTTTCATTCATTTGTAAACAGAAAAAAGCGATACCATATCTTTATCGTTAGCTTTATATTAACAAACTATTTAACTTGGAGATATCGGTTTAGTCACCTTTTGACCTAAACTGCTTTTAACTGAGCTATTTATGATACAATTATTTGTATATATAGTATATAATTAAACATTTCATATATCTTTTTTAATAAACAAATTTTCACTTACGATTGTTGAAAGTTGTCAACTCCATTTTTCAAACAACCTATCGAAGCTCTTTCATTCTTTTTTTTGTCTCTCGCCACTACCTAAAAATAAGAAACCATATGAATAAAATGTATCATGTTTGTAGTAAAAAAAAATAATAAAAAAATCAAATATTGAATATTAATTAACTTTCAAATATAATTATAAACTCTAATTTTATAAAAGTTTAATATTTATATTTCTCTTTATTAAAAATTTTATTTAGAAAATAATAAAAACATATTATTTTATATATTTCAGGATGCTTTTTTTAAAAAAATGATTACTTAACAATTGATGATACCTGTCAATATTATTATTGATTTGCTAATACTTAAGTTTCGGAATAAATATTTATCGTGATCGTTTTATGAAATATATTGTTTTACACTTTTAAGAATTCGGAGTATACATTTTTTGTAGGTTAAACAATACTTACAAGAAATATTATCCATTTTTTATGGGACAAATGTTTATGCAGTAATACATATAACTGTAATGATACTTTTTATAAATATTAAACAAGAAAAAATAAAGGAAAACTTGAAAATAACTTGGTCATCATTAAAGCTCGTGGCGCGGATGTTCTAGGAATGTCTAATAAAACAAAACGATACAGTTCTATCTTTAAAGATCCCCTCGAATAAGTTTCAGCCTAAAGAAATTCATGGAAAGAATTTCAAAAAAGAACAGGTGAATAAATTTACTTAATACATAAGTAAATATAAGTTACGGATATTCTCTGTACTCCCACGTATGCACCTGCATTAGTTATACTCGATTATGACGGTCATGAGTTCATGACGCTCACGACCCGTAGGCGTTGATACGAAAAATTGTTTGACTGTTTAGCATTTATGAGATGGTTTGAAATTAAAAAAATCTATCAAATATTAATAAAAATGACTGAAATTACTCAATTTTCTTTAAATTTACACTGTATTTCTTTGAACTCATTAGATAGAAATTGTTTCAGGACCAAAAATGGACATAAATATGTGTGTACACACATACACATATGTATAATATGAGTAGAGTATATTTATATGTATATATTAATCTCAAACTTACACTAAAGGGAAATGACACACCTGTTATATTCTGATGAGAGGATGTGACTATTATGATCAATGATAGAAGCTCCAAAATTAACTTACCATTGATAGTTTTTAGTTATGATCTCCTTCATGACTCCTAAAACGTTCCCGAGGCTTCGTCATTATTATACGACATAACCTTACACTCAACATACAAGATATTTGAAAAAGAGAACACAAAACTGTGGTAATATTTTTTCACATCGAAATACCATCGCCCATTGCAATAATTTTTCTTATGTACATGAAGACAGAAGTAAGGCTTGTACCCATGAGAAGGATATAAAACATTTGTTTTCCATGCGTGTCGTTTCCACCTGCATTATAAAACTTAAAAATATACCACCTTTGAGTAATTAAGGATAGATGTCACTGATAGCCTTGATCAGAGGGAGTAAATCGGAGCAGAGAGAACTGAGAGGACCGATGTTGAGAGGATAAAAATTATACAGAAGTGGCGCCAAGTGACCTGAAGCAAGGAATACAGATGCACAGTGCATACAAATGCAGTTGCACCGTATGTATGGCAAGCTCATAAAAATTGCATCACAACTCTGGAAAAAAGCGCGAGATGACACTGCAGGTATCTTTTAGCTGCTGGAGATTAAATCTTTTGAATATAAATTTATTATTGCATTATTTAGTTTAACATTTAATGTATAAAAATATATAATACATAATTTATAAATAATCAAGTTATTATCTTGCTCGAATAATCTCTACAATAGGAAATATCAACCAGTAACACCCTGCTATAAGTTCAGTAATTGCAGTCAAGTGTAAACAAATGGTTGAATCTGTAAAAAAAAAATCATATTTATTAGTAGTAGTATTATTATAAAATTTAATTAACATATTGCTCAACATACTTGAAATAAAAATAAAACCAAGGATACTTAATCCAACAATTGTCGAAAATACCATGTGAGCTTTCTTGGCTATTGAATTATCCAAGATATCAAGTATAATTGATTCGAGAAAAACTGACATTCCTCCAATACTAATGCCACCAAGAAATCCAACAACAAGAAATTTGGCATCGCCCAATGGTAATGTTGATAATCCTATAGAATAAATTATCAATGATAAATAAATATATAAAAAAATTTAATGATTTCTCTGGAATAGTTTTTTAGGTATGCAAACCGAACAGAACAAGACATCCAAGCCATGATGCTGCTCCAAAACATAAACTCCTCGTTCTTGCAGAATTTGGTTTCCAGATAGCTATCATATTGGGTATAAAAGTTCCAATTGCTACCATTATAGTTGCAACAACTCCTCGAATAAGTTCAAATGAAAGATCACTACTCCTGATCACAATAGATGGTAATAAAATCCATATTAAAAGAGAATTGACTTTACAGCCGATCCAAGTAATAACTCCAATCCAGAATTTTCCGGATTTCATTACTCGAAGTATTTGTTTCCACTCAAATTTTAGATTGGATATATGTTGAGTAGTAACATTGAAAAGCTCTTGATCATCTTCAAGTCCCTCAGAAAGTAGATATAAACAAAACAAAAATTTTAATTTCAAATTATAATTATTTTTTAACATTGAGAAATGAAAGAATGTAATTATTCCTCAAATATTCACCTGCATATAACTAAAAGTTTCTGATCCTTCACCAAAAAGGTAGTCTGGAGTATTTCCGGAATATGGTTCTTCATGTCGGATTAAATTTCTCGTGCTATTTTCTTCATGAACATTATTATCTTCATCAGCTATCAATAACATGTAAGAACTCGTTGATGGTTTGACTGTTGGATAATGATAAAATAAAATTCCCAGTGCAGTGGGAATAAAAATGGATGCCATTAATAATGATGCGACATGAAGACTAAAGTTCGAAGATAAAATGAAAAAAATAAATATTGGTGCTAATATATATCCTAAACAGGTAGAAATTTCTTTACAAATCAACACTTTTTGTAAATGTGAACGAAAATTTTTTCGTAAAACAACGTCTGTTTGTATCAATATTAAACTACCACCGATACCCATCACTGCACCAGCACTTGAACTTGCTAAGTAAGCTCCTACACCTCCAGTAGCAAGGTATCCTGATGCTAAAACACCAACAGACAACAGACCAACTCCAATCAATCCTATTATCCGTGGTGCAGATGCTAAATTCACTATTATTCTTGTCCATGGATCTAAATGCATAAAATTAATTTTTTTTTAAATAAAATACTATATGATACATCTTTTGGAGCATCTTACCTGCTAAATGATAGAATGCTGTAAATAAAATAGGAGTGAGAATGATCTCTTCGTTCCAAACATCAAAATTTTTTGAAGAATTAGTAGCCAAATATCCCAAAATAATTCCATACATTGATATTACACTTGGAACTGTTATCTATACCACATGTGATGTAAACAATATGCCAACATAAAATTCTAATCTTCATCTATTACTTGATTCATGCTTATTACCTGAACAATCATCAATGAAATAAAAATAATCCACATGTACTTAGCATTGGATACAGAAGGACCTAATTCAGGAACAGAGCTGATTATTTCATCAAGATGAAGTCGTTCAGTAGTTGCCATTTCAAAACAATTAAAGTAATAAAACTTGACACTAACTCTCTACGTAGAAATCTTAAAATACTTTTTCTTTATGTGCGTAAAGTATAGATTTACTTAAAATAAAAAGTTCAATTATGATATAAGATACACCTTTTGAGGCATTAAACTGTTATCTAATCAATGTATTATTTAAAGATAATTCTGTTTCTTCCAGCACGTTGGTTTCTTTCTCATTTACACTGATAACTTTAGCTAAAGGTGATCATTTTTTTTTATAATTTAGATTTCGTGAATCAATAATAACCATTCTTCGATTTGAAATTATTTCACATGAATGTGAAGTATTTTATTTTATCTCCACAACAGTTAATATAAAAACTATAAAAATTTGTTCTTACATTATATACGTATTAAATATTTAGGCACCATATATGAAAGCACTTTATTTATTTGATTAATTATTTTTTTTTAAATTAATTAAATATAACTATTATTAATACTATCGGTTAAAAAAACAGTCAGTTTCGAATTAAAAATCACTAATCGTATTAAACTAAGGGTGATATTGTTAAAATTATGGAATGAAATCAGAACATTTGTAAAAATTATCATTACACATCATTCTCTTTTCCATCCATCGTTGCTATCGATGTGTATCGTACACGTTTATTAACTGAAGCAATAACTGGTGCAATTTTTTTCTTCAAATCTTGACGTTGAACATAAATTAAAGCACCGATCAAAATGACAAGAATTATAGAAAGTAAAACAATAGCAACTGTTGACCCGTGTATTTTTGGCAAATAATTTGATATTTCTTGCAACGGTTTTTCATGTCCATCTAAAAATAAATATAACAGATAAAATAATATTACTACAGACAGCTAATAAATTTAACAATATACTTACGATCATAGCAATAAAGGAAATTTTTATTCCGAACTACAACTTTGGTTTTCTTCATCCATTTAATGAATGGATTGAGTCTCCATGAGCATTCAAATTTGTTATTTGATAAGTCAATAGTCACTGTTTGATTATGTTTTGCAAAAGTATCTAAAGTTTTCATATCACGTTCTAGAACTCTAGTAAAATTATTTCGTTGGAGATCTAAGAATCTTAATTTATGAAGACAGGATAAATTAAAATGCAAGGCACTTAATTCATTATCTCCTAAATGAAGATCCAAGAGATTTGGAAGATTGCAAAAAACATTGGGATCTCGAAATTCTGAGATTTCATTCTGCTCCAAATGAAGTTTTATCAATTGATCAAGATGACTAAAACAAAAAGATGAAATAAGTGAACACATTCTTGTAAAAACAAATAAATAAACTTTGTAAAATATTACCTATTCACAAATATATTATGAAGAGTTTCAGCAAGATCTCTTCTTGGAGGATGATCCTCAAATGCATCAGTCAAATGTAATTCCAGTAGTGATAAAAAATTGGAGAACACTCTAGGATGATTACTTTGATTGGTTACTGATATTTCATTGAAATCCAAATTTAATCGTTGCACATTTCTGACATGATGAAATGATTTGCCACTAATCTCTCTTATCTTGTTATTTGACATATCAATCACACGCAAGTTTGGTACACGATCCGTAGTACCAAAAATATTCTCTGGTAACTTAGTCAGAGTGTTTCCAGTGAATATGAGAATTTCAGTTTTGTTAGGAAGATTTTCTAACGGTATCGTATCTATGAATCCACTATTGGTACAGTTAACAACATATTGATGAATTCCTTCGTAGCAAACTCTTGAACACAAACATCGATTTTGGAATTCTGGACCACACTCCAGAGTTGCTGTATGAGGATTTTCCAGGGAATGCCAGTTTCGATCCTTACAATCGGTATCTTCAGAGTTAGTTATTATAAAAAGACCAAATAAAAACCACAAAATATTCATCTTTTTCCTGAAAGATCAAAAAATCAAATTATTAACAGTCTCGTCTATTGTCTCAAATAAATTTTGTTAGTATTTGTTAATTTTATTTCGATTAATTTTTTATAACTTTAACTTGACAAAATCTTCCATAGTTACAGGTAAAATTAAAGCGTGTAACAGGTAGTTTTACGTTAAAACAATAATAAAAATATTAATAATATTTAATGTAAAAAATACCTATGTATTTGAACTAGTTTAAATCCATCACTCATGTTTAGGATCACATTAACACTTTTGGCACTTGCTCAAAGTGTCCTTTAAATGCAAATCAGGTCAAGCCATAGCGCGACTTCGACCGGATGTACTTTAAGGAACGTGATGTGATTAATATTAAAAACTTTATTTTAAGAATACTGCAATTATGACCAAAAAATCGTACATTATATTACTGATATACTCTAAGGGAAGAACATAAGAAGAATTTGATGTTGAAAATTTTTTTTAAATCACAAAATTATTTAATTGAATAAAACAACACTTGAATTTGTCTAAACGGAAATACGGACTTATATGTAGCGTAGGAATACAAATAAGTTTTAGGTGAGCTCATACCATCATCGTATGGCGTTGAGACATAGTCTCTTGGCCAGAGCCGCACCTGCAGCAGCCCCACTCTTGTATATGAAAGTACATTAGAGCTTCACCAATACAACGATACTATACATTTACCTGTACAAATTTGAGATTTCAATGATTCAGGTTTTACTTATTTCTAGAGGCCGGTTACTAAGGAAAATATATATATTTTTTTTAAATTTCTTTACCTGAAACAGTCAGTATATTTTGTCAAGTTTTACTCCATAAAATTCTTTAATACGCTTTAAAAGCATAAATTTCTTACTGTTTTATATAAAATGCTGATTTATGATAAATGAATTGAATTTATTCGTCAATGATTAATCTCTTACGTTATATTGATAAATAAAAAAAATTACAGAAAATTGTACACTCATTTTATTTTATTTGGGTCCATCGTATTTTCTAATCATTGAAAATTATACATATTGATGATATTTTATAAACTTAAAATAATCCTTCTTAATAATTGTATTTATCTATTCAGTACATCAATATATATATATTCTTTGTTACAATATTTTTTTTGAGACACTTATATTTGATAGAAAATTGAATAAACTTAGTAATGCATTAAGCGTTACAAAATTTAGATTTGAATATTTACTAACAAAATTTGGCAAGTAAAATATATTTACTTCGTTAATTGAATTGTTAAGTAAAAAAATATTAAAAATCGTTAGCTGCTCACGTGTAAAAAGTAATCTATATAATTTATATTATTATGTAAATATATTTTTTTCTCATCAATAAAATGCTATTAATATTAATATTTTTATTAAAAAAATTCTTTATATATATGTAAATATAAATTATTATTAAATATCCAAAATGTATATCAGTTCAGCGGGCAATTACATAAATACTGAATAAAACCCGTTACAAAAAAGAGATTCCAAGAATGTCATTAAAAAATGTAAATTAAAAATGTTTATCATTTTTAGTTAATCATGAGTACTTCCCGATAACTGGCAAGTTTCTAAATTTTAATCTTTATTTAGCATATTTTTATTTTCAAGTGGAATGCGACTTCAAAAATTATTACCAACATAAAAACATTAATCTTTGGTAGCAACATCAACGCATTCATTTTTATGCTTGGTTGTTTTTTTTTCTCATTTCATCCTAATATTATTATTTTAATTTATAAACACAGGTACCAGTTTACTTTCTGATTTGCAAGTATTTTTTTATCTGTTTCCCTCAGTATTATAAATCAATTTTCATCATATTTTCGAAATAAATATCTATATCATTAAAATTAATTCAAAAATAAGTCTCGTGAGCACTCGACGATTGATTTCTTAGCAAATGTCAATAATTCATACCTTATCATGACATTAACATAATCTAAAAATGAAGCGTCGACAAAAAACAAATAAAAAAAGTCGATCGAAATGTTGGCACGGGATCAAACTCTAATAATGGATGAAACGTTGTTAAGGTTGTCATTGTTGTTCCTATTATTACTGCTTCTTTATGCTTTATATCGATCAGACGAGCCAATTGCACAGCAAAGGATAAGTGAAAATATTAGACCAATTAGTTCAATAAGTCCAAGACCCAGTACCACTCCAAGAATCGTACAGCCTTGATTACGTAATACGTCAATGAGCTTATCAACGCAACCCTAAAATAAAAAAAAATTATCAAAATTACAAAAACAAATCCAATAAAAAGGCAATACACAAAGATAATACAACATAAATATAAATTTATGTAGTGATAATTGACTTTAATTACCTCAGAATAAATATTTGATGGAATAGTATCAGCAACTTTAATTTTTCGAGCTGTTGCACACAGACTTTCGTCTTTGTCTCTGCAGCAGGATTCAGGAATCGTGTAAACATTATTAGGACTAGATACAGTAAGACTTAGAGCACCACTAGAACTCCTGGAACTGCCGAATTTAGAACTTGCCCAATCACTCGGTCCACTTGCACCGCAGCAATATAAATTAGATTGAATAGAATCTACTGTTTGAGTGCGATGATCAATTTCTCCGTATTCATTCTGCAAAAATGTATGTGTCGTACAGTTTGTTCAGATAATTCATTTAAATAAAATACTTGATGCATATTCAATACTTACTTTAACTGTGTTCATAAATGCAGTCTTAACTAAAGGTTCAATATGATCACGATTGGTGTATAACCAAGCTTCAGCTGCAATTTGAGCAACTACAGCAATGAGAAGACAACTGAAGAAACCAACTAGTAGACATTGAGATTCACGGAAAGCACCGTAACATCCAAGGAAGGAGACCATTAATAAAAGAAGCCCGGCAGCAAGCATCATATACAATCCTGTATAATAGTTGTGCTGTTCTTGGGTAATAGACACCATGAAAGTCTGGTCTACTAACATCCATGATGCTAGAATGACTGATGATAATCCGAGAGCCTAAAAAAAAAACGTTGCCAAGTTGGATCATTAAATTATTATTTGATAAGACAAATATATAACATTGTAGTTAACATTCTAGATTTCGTTTTTTTATAGATTTTATCTGTTATTAGACATCTTTCTCCAGTTGCAGGAACATACTTTTGATCTGATGCAACAGCAGAATATTTTTTTCCTGTGTACAATTACACGCTTAAAGCATAAGCAAAAGTTTCATGTTCAATTTCATCATCATTCATACTTCCGGTATTAAACTAAGTAACACAATTAACCTCTGAATTGCAATTAAATTTCACAGGCCATTGACCAGTTATAATAAAAATCATAGGTCATCCAATCTGTTCCACACCTAGAAAGCTAGAATTTCTATTCTCATCTATTATTTATAGATTTTCTAATATTTACTATCTCAAACATCGTATAAAAAGAAATATATATTGTGTATTAATTTCAAATAAGTATTTTTTTATTGAAACCTTGTAACGTCTTTGACTTTTTTGAATCTCTAATTCTTATTCTATAAACGAAAGATTGAAATAAACGTGTGAAGACTTCAACATCTATCGAAATAGTCTTTGATATTTTCGTAGCTAACGTATAAATTAAATTTCCACCAACAACTAAAATAGAGGGAAAATAGTTTTATCATGATTTTTAGTAGGTGTGGCGTTACAAAATTCAATCCTGTATAATGAATAATCCTGATGTAAAATATTTCGAAGGTATTCCTTAAGAGACTTTAGAGACATGGATTAACTGGAAATAAAATTCCCTTCCCATACCAACTGTTTTCGTAAGAAATATCCATGCATCTAGATAGTAGACTAACGGACCCTAGTTTTATAAAAATATCGGCCAACGCAGCTTTTGAATGAATAAATTCAGTGTGATATTAATGTGTATAAAACATAACAGTAACATAAAAACACGAAGTAAATGTTCAAGTGGGCGAAAATGATCCTACAATCAACATAACGTGTTTTGATATCAATATAATTCATAAAAAAACTTGTAAATGTCAATAATGGGTTCATTCTCACTTACTAGAACATTTGTACAATTCTTGTTCATTCTACAGATTTTCTAAAATATTCTCTAGTTCTCTTGATTTAAATATCTCAGTAACGTCATCATGAAATCATGCAATTTTTTATAACGTATGACATCATTGTTGAAAAAAAAATCCTAAACATTCCTGATGATTTTGATGTTACAGAACAATACTTTTAAATATTTTCGCAGAAAGTCTATAAGGCATATCAATGCAGTTCATTCTCTGGATTTATTATCATCAGCAGAATGTTTTCAGGTCACGACCTATTTCCGGATAGCGATGAATCTTCTCTGAACTCGCCGATCCCTTGCTTCAAGTCAGATTACACACTTTAAAATATTAGTTGAATAACACACGTGTAAAGCTGGAATTATATGCCTATGTAAAAACATACATAAAAACTATGTAGCCATGGGAGAGAATATAATGGTGCGCAACTTTACATATGTATATTATGAAAGTAGGGGAAAATGGAAATGTCCAAGAGGGGGTAGACATAGTATAGAGAGAGAGAGAGACATTCAAGGGAATCATGAAAACTAAAGAAAGAGACATTTTCCCGTAAAACCCCGGATGCAATCGATACAGCCACCCTCGGTTATTAAAAAAGCAATTTTATAATTATCTACACCTTTTATCACATAATAACGTGCTTGATTTTCTGTCTTAAAGACCCCTGCAACTAAAGTCATAAAACGTCTACACGCATACTTCGAATCATTTAAGATGTATTATTTAATATATCTAATTTTCAATTAACATTAAAGTTATTGTCAGTAAATTGATAATCTTGTATAATTGCTTATTGTTACAGTAATAACGATATGATAATTTATGATACAATGTTACATATTTGTTTTATGCTTACGTACAGATAACTGTTGTGATTGTAAATAAAAACAGTAGTGATAAAACGTAAGCAAATGAGACTATCAATTGAATAACTGAACAAAACACTTAAACATGTACATATAAAAAGCTATATGATAAATATAAGAGTGGTGATTATTTTGTTGTCATTATTATAAATATAAACTTGATTTGAATATTGTAAATTTCATTTGAAACGTTCATATTTATACTGATGAATGAATGAATATTTGATGAATTAGTATATAATTTTGTTTAAAAAAAATATTTAAATAAATTCGTCGGTGATTCTAAAATTGCGTAGACTAAAAATAAACTTACCCAGAATATAAGATTGACGAATACGAGGGTATATTTGATAAAGACGTAACATTGTGAAAGAACCATTGTATCAACTTTACACTTAAATTCAATTTTTTAAAAATTTTTTCAATATTACAATAATATTGTTTTGTATTTATTTTTTATTTATTGAAGATATGAAATTTTTATAACTTAAACTTTCGAAATAAAGTTGAGATCCAGGTAATTAATGGTCAATATTTAATAAAAATATTAAATGAAATAAAAAAACTTGAATTTTTTGTAATTTTTTTGTCAACAACATACATACACAACACTGACTGTATTAACTATCCACACACAATTGAGAAAAGAAAATTGTGTGCTGTTGTATGCTATAGATTGAATACACTGTCTGCTGGATAGAGGACTGGAAGAATTGACGCTAAGCATTTTCATGTACAAAGGGTGGATCTACCAAGTTTAAGCTCAACCAATGAGATAACACCACTAATATATAGTACGTGTAAAATTTCATTATACATAAATATACAAATATGTAGCAATCTATATTTCCGATAATCAATATAGTAGAAAAATGGTTGTTGATCAAAATATGTATGAATACTAAAAAATTTATAATTGATGTTTATTTATACTGGAATTATTAATTAAGTTGAAGATATTTTGACTGCATGGAGTGCATAATTATTTACAGTTGTTGATGTCCAAGACCAATCATTGACTAACGGATTATAATAAATTCCATGCTCCAATTTTAGTTGGCATCCATCTAATATTGTTATAGAAACATAAATATCTATAAATTAAAATATATATTAAACTATGCAAATAATGTCTTACGTTTCTCTAATAATCTTTGAGTATCCAAAGGAGAAATAAATTTTTCCCATTCGTGAGTACCAACTGGTATTAGTTTTAATACGTGTTCAGCTAAAATGATGCTACCCAGCCATGATACTAAGTTTTTATTTATTGTAGTAATAAATATAGATCCATTAACTTTTAGGACATCAACACAGCACTGTAAAATAGGATAAATTTGTAATCTCTCTTTATCTATAGAAATTTTTATACCTTACTTTTATAAAGAAATCCTTATTGGTAACATGTTCTAATACTTCAGATGCTACAACTGCATCATAATAATTGGAATTTTCTAAAGTATGGTCTTCAATTGACGTACAAATATATTTCAAACGATCAGTTAAAGCCGGATCCAAAGAAGCATGTTCTTTTGCTGTATTAATTAATTCTTCTGATCCATCAATACCGGTAACATTAGCACCTATTCTTGCTAATGGTTCAGAAAGAATTCCTCCACCACAACCAACATCTAAAATCTTCAAACCTTCTAAAGGCTTACTAGGATTTAATTCTTCCCATCCAACATTTTTTAATCCATCTCTTACAAATTGAATTCGTAAAGGATTGAATGCATGTAAAGGTCGTAACTGTCCTTGTTTATCCCACCATAAATTTGATAATTTTCCATGATGAACAATTTCTTTATTGTCAATTGTCGCTTTTTCACTGAAGTTTCTTGATATATCGATTGATTTTGCGTAGCTAAATTTATTTAGTTGATAAAAATATCAATTAGCATGGTATATTTTTAATTGTTGTAAAAATTCATACAACCTACATTACCTAAAACGTAAACATTTTCCAACTCCAGTTAAAAGATTGTTCATTCCTCGACAAGACATTTTAAGTGTTTTCTAATTTTTTAATTTTCTAAATGTAGTAATGTAATATTTTTTTTCGAAAGATTTAATTTTCTTTTACAGATAAACATTGAGTTGTTTTCGAACTTGCATTTTTACACTTTATACCGAAGCTTTAATAATTTGAATATAGAGGGAGTATTCTCATTACTTTAGTTTTTTTTTCAGTTTTTTGATGAAGATATTTTTCTACACAATTTGTTTATCCTTACAACTTTAACTAATTACTCCTTATTTTTTTTCAATAATTATGTAATAATAAGTCTCAATTTATTTTTAGGTTGTTGTGCTTTTTTGAAAAAATAAAATAATGTTATAAAATATGAAAAACAATTCAAGATTATAAAATTTATTAATTTACATACACATTTAAAGTTTATTAAGTACATTGGCAATTTTTTTGTATTGCATTAAAATTTTTGTTCAACAATTTCATATAAATGACTTACAAAAATATTCAAACGTATTCAAAATAGTCTTTTTTCATTGGAATGATTCATTTTGGTACACGATTTTTACAATTATATTTGCTAATTAATCCTAAATTTGTAAATTAATAATAATCTGGAACCGGAGCACAAGCTATTTTAACAAAATCTTCATATTTAATATGTCCATTTCGTGATACATTGGCTTCTCGGAATATTTGCTCAACTTTGAAAATAATTATAAAAATGATTTTAATAAAATTACCAGATGAAATTAGAATGAATGATTTATGATGTTTCAGACTTACCTTCTTTTGGAGTTAATCGTTCCCCCCAATTTAATAATAAATGTGCTAAATGTCTTCCTGATATCGTTCCACTCCGATTATTATCACCAGCTCTAAAAGCATCAATGACTTGTTTTGGAAGATTTTCAGCTCTTGTTTGCAAATGCATAACTTCTAAAAAATCTGCAAATGACATCTTTCCATCTAAAAATATAATAAATTTATAAATTAAGTAAAAATGACTAAATCAATCAAATCAATATGTTTTCTAAAATTACTTTTATCTTTCAAATATTTATCTAATTCTGCGATTGTTGGGCTCAACCCAAGTGATCTCATAATGAGTGTTAATTCTTCCAGTCTGGTAATTTGGCCTTTTTGTGTGAAAAGATAAAAACATTCACGAAATTCTATAAAATAGTAATCATTAGAATTAGTAATTTTTGTCGACATAACAGTAAAATGTTAACTTGTTGATATGTAAATACAATCTTTTTAATTTTTCCTTACCATCGATATCCTCTTCTCTAAAATATCTTGCCTACAAAATAAAGTAATTAACAATTTATGTATAAATGATAATAAATTAAATGATAAATATGAATAAATACTCACCATAATTATAAATATTTACTTTATGAGTACAAGATTTGACGTTTCAAGGGCTTTGTTATTTATGATGGGTTATGTTGACAGTAGTGATAGTGCCACGAGTTCATTCTCATATAGTTTCCGCTTCCCTCACCAGTTTGCATCTAATTCTATAAAAAATTAAAAAATAGGAAATTGTATACATAAAAATTCATTTATTTATATGAAAATGTTTATGTAATTTTTTCTTTAACTTATCACAGTATTTAATTAATGTACTGTTGATAATTTTTTATTGCATAGAATTCATTAAAAAACCTGCGCAACAAATTAAATGAGTTTTTTAATCGTAATTTAATTTGAATAGAATAGTATTTTCCTGACATCTGAACTAGTATTCTTTTAACTATTCTTTAGAAAACAATGGATTCCACAGTGAAAATGTTAAATGTATTAAAAGTTTTCAAATTAAATAAAAATAAAGTGTTTAATTCAATTATTATTAATTATAATTAATGTTTTTCTAACTCTATTTCTGAAAAATGACATAATTACAAGTCAAGTATTGAAATCAATGATCAAGACATGACGTCACTAAGTTATTTGTTTTTCTTCTCTAACCTTGTATGTTGAATTTTTATGATCGTCATCTTATGACGTTGTTGCGATCCTACTCTGATCAAAGTGCAGAGATGTAATTCTGATCATTCCGTTCAGTATCACTCACAATTCCAAGTTAATTGTTTATTATCATAGTAATTCCATTCAATTGTTTCTGTGTTAAAAAAATTTATATATTCATCTGACTTCAATCGTTTAAAAAAAATCTGTCAAAACAAAGAAAAATTAAAAAAGTAATAATTATTTAAATGAACGAAAAACTCGTACAAATATTTACTCTGTTGAATAAAAATTAACAACAAATAAGTGAATTTCTAAGGTAAACAGTATTTTTTTTCCTTTTTCACAAAATTATTTGTTTGACCTATTTAAACATAATTTATAAAATTTGACATTACTCTAATTGCATAATATTTTAGAGATGTAGTGAGAGATTATTATTATCTTTATGTAACCTAATTAATTAATAAAAATAAAATTCATATTGTAATTGATTACTAAATAAGTCAAATAACTTGACATTTTAATTCATTGTGCAGGTAAATTCTGACAATAACTTGTGATGGAAAATGAACAAAGGAATTAACATATTTTTGACTGAAAGTATATTCTAAAAAATTATGAATAGTCAATTAACAGCTGGTACAGTAGAAAAAAGTCAAGCAATTTTAGAACACATTCAAGTATCAGTTATGTCAGGAAATGTTAAAAATAACAACAATGTTGAAGGTTACAATAATAATGCAGATAAACTGGTAAGAAAATTTCATATTAGATAAGTATTTATACGCGTATGTTACTGATAAACAAAAGCAATCTATTATTAAAAGGATTTATTTGTTTTTTTTAAGATCAATGATGACGAGCACAATGATCGAGTCAATATTTCAGAATCACAACGACTTTATACAAGTTTAATGGCTGGTGCTATTGCAGGTGCATTAGCAAAAACAACAATAGCACCGTTAGATAGAACTAAAATTAATTTTCAAATTTCTAAGATGCCATTTTCTCCACGTGCTGCAGTGGATTTTTTAATAAAAACATATAAAACAGAAGGATTATTAAGTCTATGGCGTGGAAATAGTGCAACTATGGTACGAATAGTGCCTTACTCTGCCATACAATTTGCCTCATATGAACAATGGAAAATAATATTAAGACTTGACAACAAAAGCACGTATGTTGTAAACACTTACCTCATTACCAACAGCCTTTTTAAATCATTGAAATATTTTGATGATGAAATTGTTTTTAGAGAGCCAATTAAAGGGCTAATAGCTGGTGCATTAGCTGGTGTAACATCATCATCTCTCACTTATCCATTAGATTTTGCGCGGGCACGCATGGCAGTAACGCAGAAAGCTGAATATTCAACGCTTATCAAAGTATTTTCACAAATATATAAGAGTGAAGGTTTCTGGGCATTTTATCGAGGATTCACTGCATCAATTCTTGGAGTAATTCCATATGCGGGATGTAGCTTTTACACGTATGACACGCTGAAAAAATTTATAAAAGGTAAGCTTTAGTAAATAAGACAATATTCTAAATAAATAATATACTAGTATTCCGCTTCAGTCACATAAAAAAATAATAAATACTTTAATTCATCATCATTTTGAATAGTATAACAGATAAAAGTATAGATGACTAAATTTTCTATTAAATCTTTTATAATAAAATGAAATTAAAACAAAATCATTTATTTAACATTCAATTAATCTGCAGTTAGAATAATTCCCCATTTCCGCGCTAACAATAAATATTAATAATAATATTAATGAAGGAGAGATCAGAAAATGCCGGACCTATAAAAGTGTTAAATGATCCATCCCACCTGTTGATAAACAGAAGAAAGAGTACAAAGTCATCCTGGAATTGCAACAGTAGCTTCCCTTAGCTGTGGGGCGATAGCGGGAGCCGTTGGTCAGACCGCAAGTTATCCTTTAGACATTGTGAGGCGACGAATGCAAACTTCTGCTATTAAAGGAGCTCATTATCATACGACAATATCAACTACCCTAAAAATATATCAGTAAGTAATTATTTCGATGAAATAATATTTTCAAGGGAGAATTTTTTTTCTTTAAATATTGATTAAAATATTTTTTATTATATACCTATGATAGAGAGGAAGGCATCATGGCATTTTACAAAGGTTTAACAATGAATTGGGTAAAGGGTCCAGTGGCAGTTGGCATAAGTTTTACTACAAATGAACTGATTCGCGATTGGCTAAGAAAATATGTAAATGGATGAGATTGATTATTTTTTTATTTGTTTTATTATTTTATTGTTTATATCATCGAATTTAATGTATACGATTTAATGAAGATTTAGATGAAAACAATATTATATCTATTGCAATAACTATACAAATTTAACAGCAATGCAAAGAGTAACACAAATAGATATTGATAGACGATTAATCAAATTCGCTGTTCTCTTAATTTTAAATTTGCTCTGAAATTTTTTTATAAATGTACAAAATTTATTTTTTTTATTAGCAATTGTATATAAATGACTCTAATGTTGGTGAAAACTAGATCTAAAACATTTTTATTACTTTAATTATGTTGAAAAATTTCAATAAGAAAAATAGAAACTTTTATATATTACATCTAATTATGACTGTTAATAATTGATCAATTGAAAAGTTTAATGAAAATTTATGATCAATCAATATTGTACATTGAAAATAATGTCTGTGATTTCTTACGTAAAAATTATAAAAGTAATAAAATTATTGTTAAAATTATGTCCAGTGTCGAAAAAAATTGTTTCACACTAGCTTAAATAAATTACAAAAATTATTTTATATATTAAAAACGGTACTTAAAATTAATTTATTCGTTTTTTACACACTTATTTTGGCTTAGTTTCTTGATCATTTACATAACGGATATAAATTTCTTTCTCATCTTGAACGTTTGGTGTTGTTTCCTCTACATCAAGAAATGATACGCCGATAGCTAGAACTGAACCGTCATGACTGAAGCATAATGCTGCAACTCCCGCATTGTATTTATGAAATTGACAAAGACGCTTTTTATTAAAACCATCCCAAATATTGACATAACCATCCGATCCTCCTGTCGCGAAGGTGTTATAAGTATTATGAAAACTGATTGCATTTACTGGATAAATATTTTCAACACCATTTTCTTTAATTCGATGACATTTAAATGCATATTTTTTCTTTTGTGCTTCAGGAGTCGTATCGAGGTATTCTACTGCTACTCTACCTTCAATACTACTTAAAACATATCCCTAAAAATTTTTTTTAATATATTAGTTCCACTATTCTATAATTCATTACTTGACTATGTTATTATACACATTACTTTCATAAAATTAGCTATTACACACCTGTTCGTTAGGAAATCCTTTAATGCATCTAGTTTGATATTTCAGACTACTCTCTCGTCTTTGAAACATTCCAGCCATATTTCTTAAATCCCAAATGCAAACTTTACGTTTCGCTGTTCCAACAACAAATTTATCTCCACACACCGACAATGCTAATACAGTGTCAGGTTGTAAGTAAGTACCAACACATGTAGGCGTTCTGGGATCCCATAACTTAACAGCCGCATCCCATCCACCAGTTAATATGGCATTCACTGATGAACAATATTCTATTTTTCTTATTGCTTTATCGTGTGTACCCATTAATGTTTCTGCATTAGCATTTATGTCATACATTTTTAACGTATTTCCTAAGCCACCACTGTAGGCATGTACAGCATCCTGAAACCATAATATTTTTTTAAAAGATCGCTGACTTTAAGATGGGTTAAGAAATATTTTTTATTAACCTGGAAGGCAACATCTAGTACTGGAAGATCATCATGACTATATTTTAACCTCATAGAATTGGTGTGAATATCATAAAGCCGAACAGTGGAATCCCATGACGATACTAAAAGAAATTGTGTTGAATTCGGACCGAATTCGACTGCAGAGATTGCATCCGTTGGTGGGTTCTTAATTTTAAATTCAGTTCTTGATTCCATATTGTAACTGAATTATCATGTTTCATTAAATTTATTTGATTAATAATGATAATTAAACGATGTATAGAGTAACCTCAATGTTACTCCAAAAAGTATTTATTTGTCTCTTACCTCAACCGTTTAGTCAATTTTATTAATTATAATGTAAATCTTCTCAAATGTCTTCAAAAAATTTTATTATTAGAACACCTTAATCATAATTACTAACAGAAATATTTATATTTACAATGTGATGTTTTTGATATTGTTCTTTTTGTAAACAACTTTGCAATTGTGCCGATTTTATAGGTTACGTAAATTCTGATAATAATTTTCTGATATCAAATTATCGACGAGCGATAATTGTAATCTTCCCGCTATTTTTTATAACTTTATTGTTTAATTCATGTAACAATGATAAAAATAATAAGAAATAATTATAGTAAATTACTTGATAGTGCACTTTGTTAATTTAAAAATAAATAATTGAAATTTTCTAATTTAACTTACTACGACCAGTACATAATCGAAAGAAGGATTATTTTGTTTTTATTAATAAAATTATAGCATTAGAAATAATTACAATTATATTTTAGTTAATTACTCAAGACGATTTTTGAAAAACATTGAAAATTGTATAAGATATTTTCAAGAGCTAAATAGAAATAAAATTTGAAAATAAAATTGATTGCAATAAAATATTTTTGTTAATTTTTTCGTACTTACATTTTTGAATGCATCTAGTGACAAGGCAATTATATGTCCAGTTGAGAATACAACAGGCTTAGATGATTTTGTCATAATAAAATTCATGTATTTTCTGACATTAGTGCCCAATGCATACCAGTTGGTACTATACAGGGCATTGTTTAACTCCGAAAACTAAAGTTATAATAAAAATATAATTTTCTCTTAATTTTATGTGTTGTACACAAAAATAATCTAAACAATACCTCAATCGTCATTTGATTTCCAATATAGCATGGAAAGAATACTTGAAAAAACATACAGATAATATATACAAGGCAAGCTAAAAAATCTGTTGTAAATACTGGTGTTTGTGATAAAACATAAACACTGGTACAAAAAATTAAAGAGCTGCAAAAAAATTGAACTAGCATGATAAAGGAAAAAATCTCCACCATGTTATCAACCATACTGTAACAGTAAAAAAAATAATAAAATACTAATAACCATCCATTTAATAAATAATTAAAAATTTACTAATATAAATAAACCTAAGAATAGTGCTGTGAAATTTAGTGTAATCCATAAAAACTTTTTTTTCGATGATTTTATGATCTATGATGCTTTGATCTTGTAGAACATTGGTTTCCTCTAATTGGAGGAGCATTTTTTTGAAACGATATTTTAAAATATTTATTTGTAAACAAATTTGTACCATCATTCCCAAAAGTACAGCATCAAATGCCACATGGACATTAGCACACATGAATACTGTAATAACTTGCTGATACGATGTAAATAAGTGAATATTTGATGACTGAGTATTATAAGGATACCACGCTTTGAAAGGTAATGAACCACTTTGTTGGCTATCATAAATTTTATTTATATCAAAAATAATTGCTGATAACTGAACGAAAACCACATAAACCCAGGTATTGAATCTATTGTAAGTTGATATATTTATTGAATATCATATATATTACAATAAAAAGGTAAAATTGAATATCTGAAGAAATTTAGTTTTTATGATTTTTAGAAATTATTGTTTTTAAAAGAATTACACTTAGATAGTCACCTAATAAATCTGTCGTATTGATTGCATATCTCTTTCTCATATTCATTTCGAGGTTTAAATTCTTTCTGATCAAAAATTTTTACAAAGTTCAAGATCTTTTTTCGATTATCAATAATTGTAATCATTTTTCCAGGTACAGTGAACATTGTGATGACTATAGAAGAGTTGGTAATTAAATCAATAAAGTCGGTACAAAAAAGTATCAATCCCAAGAATCCAAAACAAAAGAAAGTAACAAAATGATAAGCCAGAAATAATGTGTAACTATAATAAAGTATACACTTCCATGTTTCCCACTTTTTTGACTTCCAAAGTCCAATAGAAGTGAGCATGAAAAATGCTTCTGGCAATACAGCCATTGCCAATCAATAAAATCAAATATTACTTTATAGAATTTACGTTGACAATGACTTACGAAAGTTGTTAGATAATTGGTAGCTCTAGTAATGAAATTGACTGTAAATTGCCCTTCAATTAAAATGACAATTATTTCTCTATCAAATATTCTTCTTATTGTAGTCATTTTTGTCTCACAAAACAAGTAAATTACTTAGATTTTTAGTATTCAGCAAATTGTCCCATAATAGCAGACAAGTGGATTTAAAATATTCAAGCAAATTGTTTGTGAGAATTATAGCAGAACATATGTTTTTAATTTCTTTCTTTATTATTCATATGTTGAAGGGGTTGCGTACAGAACTGCAGAATTGTCAGTTTCAGTTGAACGTATAAGACATTTAGTTCTAAATTATTTCTATATCACTGAGGTAGCTGCAAAAGCTGACAAGCAATAAACTAATTTTATGCTATGTGGCTGTCTCGTAAATTAAATTAATGGTAAACGTTCCAGTAATATTAAATAAAAGTGTTGTGCTGCAATACTAATTTTCAAATTGTTCGTCAGATTTTACAGACTCAGCCATTTAAGATTCTAATTATTATTACATTTATCTAAAAAAAAAAAACTACTGTATACCAAAGTGATTGGTTTCTATATTATCAAGATGCAAATAGATGAAAAAATTTCCGATCATTATAAATAACTAAAAAGACAGTTAAACTATTATGAACACTGAGCACGTGCCATCATGGATACTTTTTGGGCTTTTTGAATAATTTCTGGACACCGACGGCGACGAATTAAGCGGCAATCTTGGAAGAAACCTTCATTCCTTGGGAATCCATGTGAACCATCAGCATAAGTAACCAGTCCTAAAAAAATTTTTTAATATGATAGAACTATATTCTATGTAGTAATAAACAAAGATTACTCACCCAAACCCCAGACTCTTCCACCACGAAATTCGCCCTCGAACTTCATACCATCAGCTCGCCAAAATACTCCATGACCGTGAAACCACCCTTGCATAAATTCACCTTCGTATCTGGAATTTTCAGTGATAAGTAATATATTGAAATTTATATTTTTCTGATAACTTACTTAGCACCATCTGGAAAAACGATAACTCCTAAACCAGAGTACAGACCATTTTGAAAACCACCATCGTATCTAGTACCATCGGGTAGAGTCATAGATCCTGCACCATGTTTTACTCCTTTACTATTCCACTCGCCAACATACTTTGTTCCATCATCATATTTATAACCACCGAACTTGGCCACTCCTTTAACAATAAGTAATTCAAGTTTTAACTATTCCATATCGTATTTTATACAATTATATTTTTTAAAGTTATTCTTATTTTAAATAAATTTTAGATCAAAATACCTTACCGTCAGACATTCTGACTTATTGTATCATGATTTATACTATTCACTTGAGCTACTTGAAAAGACACATAATACTATTAAGCGAATCAATATCTTTATTAAATTATAAAATTATTATATCATTACATCGATTGTATAAAGTTGAGCTGTACGAAAAAAAAGTACAGATGATGTATAATAATTGTTTTCTATGTACATAGAAGATATGTGTAAAATAAAAAAATAAATATTATTCGGGTTCGCCTGGAGAACCGACGAGAAACCATCGAGTTCTTGTCATTACCGCCGACTTGCGGACTAATCTTTTTTTATCGTCAATTGTCTCAGATAGTTTTTCCAAAATATCATCCTTATATGGCTTTATAAATACTGTAGGATATTCACAATAGCTATAAAGACAATCGTGTGCTGCAATTCTAACATTCTGTAAATAAAGAATTGTTATGCGATCACTCATGATTTTTTATATACACATTTTTTTAAATAAGAATCTCTTTACCATATTGGAATGAGTTGTCAATTTCAGACATGTGGGTATGAAATTTTGAATTAGATCGATAAAAATCGTGTGCTTTGTTTTTAATAATAATTGAAGAATTTTCAATGTTGACAATATTAACTGTCGATTATCGAGAGAAAGTGACTCAATAAGTAGAGGAACAATCTGCAGAAAATAAGAAAAAGATTAAGTTTTATCCAATTATAAAACAAAACCATCAAGAATGAGTGTCATGTTTCAATCGGCTTCAATTTTAAAGTTAGCATGTGCAATGTATTTTTAAGTGGATTGCTGATGATTTTATTCCAAGTATATTAAGATTATAAAATAAATCAAAAAAATAACTAACCTTGAATAAATGCATCAAGAGTATTTCTTGTGACATTGCTTCAGCTAAATACACAAAAGCGGTTAAATAATTTTGTCGTGCAATATTATTAAATAATTCATTTTGATTAATGATATTTTGAAATATTCTTTGTTTGTAAAACATTTTTATAATACAATAATTTTCAGCAATTAATGTACTATCACTATCATCAACAAATGTCTTAATTTGTGTTCCAGCAAATTCTCCAATGATTTCATTCTTTAAAATATTCAATTGATAATCCAAAAACTCTTGTGATTTTATATGACCTTTTGTAATTAAAGCTTTAGTACACCATATATTAAGCATAACAGCAGCTTTTTTCTTCTCCATATCGTCATCACTATTTTCTAAAATATCAACAACCATTTCTCGAATAATATTTAATACTCTTTCTAATTGATCATTAGTCATTTTATTAATTAATGAAGCACTCAATTTACAGGATATTAATCGATTATTTTCATGTGTACCATTTATGGTAATATATAATAGTCGTTCTATTAGAAAATCAAAATAATGATAAATATTACAAGACATCAATGGTGTAATTAATCCTTCTATTAGTTGTATATTTTCTTCCATTTTGTCTTGAAAATTTTTCAAGTGATCGTCGACAACCATTTTTTGTTCTTCTGCATTCAATTTTCTTAAAATTAATTTTAAAATTTGTGAAATAACCGAAATTTCCTCAGCATGTTTGTTAATATTAATTCTTTCATGGTCTAAAATTCGAGATAAAATTCGACAGTTTTTGAATAAATATTCATGAACGTCATATTCAAAATTTTCACTTTGTAACATTGTTTGTATACAATTCAATGAAAATAATCGCATTTCTGCATCATCTGAAGTAACAATTTCATTAAATATCATTAAAATTTTTGGTCCAATATTACTTAGTTTTGAAATAGCTGCTAATGTTTTTAGTCGATTTTTTTGGATTTTCTTTTCATCAGTGGTATCAATTTTTAATTTATGATCTATTAACTGAAGTATTTCGTCCGTATAATCTTTAGCAGTAGCAATCAGGAATTTATAACAAGAATTTATTACAATATCATCCGTGTCACTATCAATTATTTCAGATAATTTATTGTAAATTAATTCTCGTTGAGATGGGGTTAATGATAGCTTCTGTATAGACAAACCCTCAATTATTTTAGATTTCAAGATAGGATTACTGGTATTCAATTCATTCAAATATAGACTTGGTAAATCTGTCCAAGATAATTCTGGAATATCTGTAAAATAATGAATTATTTATTTTTTCATTCACTGACCATTGATGCATACACATACCTTGTATTTGTAATTCAAAACTAAGAGCAACATCGAGAAAATTGTTAAAACTCGTAATTATGTGGATTTTCACAGAATCTGATATAGAAGTGGTGTATTGTCCTAAGCATAATGGTATTGTAATTTTCAGTACATGGGCACATGCATTTTTGTGAGCTTTTGCCATAGTTTCTAATACTTTAATTGATGGCCAGTATAAACTCAATTGTACATCAGTTAAACTAGATTTCAGGTCAATAAAAATTCGTTTTATGTATTCTTCTAAAATAGTTATATCATCGCCGATCGTTAAAATAATTTGATCAACGGCTTCATGAGCTTTACTTTTGATTTCTTGATCATTTCCAGTTAATAAATCACGTCTTAGCAATGGCCATATCTCATCCATATGTTGTTGAAGAATTTTAGCACCATAAACGAGTGAACCTCGTATTAATAAATTAAGAGAATCAAGTTTTGCCTTTTTTATCTCAGAATCTAATTTTTCAACAATCAATGGTAAACAAAATTCTCCAAATGCAGCTGCAGATATTAAACATTTTTCTAATCCCTGGGCTAATCTTTCACGAGTTATTTCTTTATTTTCTAAACCCGCCTAAAAAAAAAGATAATTGTATTTTTTTGTGTATAGATCTTAATTGAAGTTAACTTACAGAATTAAAATCCACAGGAAAATAACACGCTAAAACTTGAAACATTTCTTCAGTTAAATGACCCAAAGAAAATTCACTTATAAACTGAGGTAAGAACTCAAATAACAACATTAAATTTCGTGGATCACTTTCGCCATCCATAGAAGATATAACACCATAAACAAAATCAGGACCCATTAATTTTAAACTACTTGAATGGTTCGTCAGTCCTATTTTTATAATAAGATAGATATTATGTCTGATCTCTTGTAATTCTGACTGACATCGAACTTCATTAAAAAGACTATGAAATATTTGAATTACTGATTCCATCGATAATGCTGTCATTTGTATCTGAAAATTAGTATTGAACAATGATTCTACGTTATTGAAAAAGATTTAATTAACTTACAATTGATAAATATCCGAGAATAACATTAGGAATCAATGAATGATGATCCTTAAGACGAATAGAATAAAATGATGTTAGTACTTTAGTTTCTTGCTCATTTAGAAATGTTTTGTCAATTTTAGCCAGAATTGATGACAGCACATTTAACCCATTTTGTCTTAAGTTTATATCTTGATTAGTAAGAAGATTTTCTAGTTTTTCAATAATTTGAAATAATTTTATCTTTTTTGATGCAATATCTGCAAGTTATTAATAAATTAATATCAATATTTTTATTAAGAATAATATTATATAATCAATGATTTACTAAATAAATTTCTTATTTTAGAGAAATATGCACAAGTATTATTGTTAACCTTTAGCAATAATATCACATTCTTCATTCAATTTATTAGCATCATCGGATATGTCATTTAGCCGCTCAACTGAATCAAGAAGCTTGATAACTGCCATTTTAGAATATTATTTGCACAACAAACAAGAATAAATAATATAATTTACAATAATATTTTAAATTTCTCTCAATTTTTCACTTATGTGAGGTTAACGGATAGGATCAGTTCCATATTTTTCTCACACGTTGTTGTTTTTCCCGGATTTATCGTTATGTACAATGGCGCTTCACGTGTTTAATTTATAAATTAAACTTTTGAGATGGTTTGATATTTCAACGTTTGTGCTTCTACGTTGTTTATTTATTCATGGAGTTTGGCTGAAAATATAGGTGCTGTCCGGACTGACTCATCCTATACAGTTTATGAAAAATTATAAGCTAACAGAACGTGAGACAAACATTGTTTTATATTTTTTGTGTAATATTATTAAAACAAACCGTTGTAATAATGGATGAAACAGCAACATATTGTTTGTGTGGCCAAACTTATAATCCGGATCAATTTATGATAGAATGTGATGTGTGTAAGATATGGTATCACGGAGAGTAAGTTTGATTTTTTTCTCTCAATTTAATGCTCATAGAAATGTTAATTGTAGAGGTTTTTTGTGCAGAAATTACTCTGTTCTGTAGAGAATATTTAAATATCATAATTATCTGACGTGTAAATAATTTTATTAACATCAATAATTGTTAAATAATCTTAAATGCTTTAGCAATACAAGTTTGTTGTGAGTCACATAACCTAACTTTAATGTTATACTTCACATCTAAACATTACAATTGTTTTTTTTCCAATTAAACTAGGTGTGTGAATGTTAAAGAATACATGTCAATTGACTTGGATAAATATCATTGTCCACAATGTGCAGAAATTCATGGACCATCACTTCGTAAGTTTTTAAATTATTTTGGAACAATAATACTTGAATGTTTTTGTAATTAATTAACTCTTCTTTCTTAATTTTCAGCTAAAGTACGAATGAATTGGCATCGTCATGAATATACTGAAACAAATGCTGATACGAAACCAGTACAAACAGGTACACCGGTCTTTATTCGAGAATTGGAGCTAAGGCATTTTTCAAAAGCTGATGAAATCGTAAAACGTGTGAAAGGACAACAATTAACATTGCAATATTTACAAACTAATGGTTTTGAAACTCCAATTATTATTGAAAATAAAGACGGCCTAGACATGACCTTACCACCTTCAACGTTCAGTGTTTATGATGTTGAAAATTATATCGGTAATATTAAATTGATAATTTCTATTTTATAAACAATGATTACTACATTTATGGACTTCAATCGTTAATATTCTTTTCAGGCGGTGACCGCGAAATGGATGTTATCGATGTTACAAGACAGAGTAATGTGAGGATGAAACTACGTGATTTTGTTGAATATTACAATGATGCTGATCGAACAAGAGTATTAAATGTCATAAGTCTCGAATTTACTGATACAGGGTATAATCAAAAGTGTATAGAGTTCTTAAAATACATTATCATTAATTACGTTAACTATAAAAACCTTTTTTATTTCTTCTTTATAGTCTATCACCATTGGTAGAAGCTCCTTACATAGCACGTAAACTTGATTGGGTAAATTCCGTTTGGCCCCGAGAATTACCTGAAAATAGTGAATTGAAGCGTCCTGAAGTTCAAAAATATTGTTTAATGGGCGTTAAAGACAGCTTTACAGACTTTCATATTGATTTTGGCGGTACTTCTGTTTGGTATCATGTTTTACGTGGTGAAAAAGTGTTTTATCTTATCAAGCCCACTCCAGCAAATTTACTATTATATCAACAATGGATGAGTAGTTCCACTCAAAGTGAGACATTTTTCGGAGATCAAGCTGATACGTGTTATAAATGTGTAATTAAAGAAGGTCAAACAATGATGATTCCAACTGGATGGATTCATGCCGTTTTAACTCCTGTTGATTCTCTCGTATTTGGAGGAAATTTTGTCCATAGTCTTAACATTCCTATGCAGATACAGTCAGTTTTTTGTCTTTATTTTATTAATTTGTTACGTTTAAGCAAAAAAATTTAATTTAAAAAAATAACGATTTGATTTTTATTTATATAACAATTTTTCAGAATTTATGAATTAGAACGTAAGATGAAAACACCTAAAAAATTTCAATACCCTTGCTTTGAAACAATTAACTGGTTCGCAGCTAAAAGACTGCTTAAAGAACTAAAAGAACTTAATCATGAAGGGAAAAAATGTCCAGCCTATTTTTTACAAGGTGTGAAAGCTCTTCTCAGTATATTGAAACAATGGAATACTGATAAAGATGTGAGTTGATAATTGAGAGTTTTTTTTTTGTTACTACGTAATTTTTGAAAATACTTATGAAAATTTTTTTTAGTACAACACAATCAGTCGCAGTCAAATACCGAATTCTGTAAATAGTCAAAAATTACTAAAAGAATTTAGTAAAGAAATAAGACACGCTGAAAGATTTTTAATGGCTCTTAATCCGCCGAAACCGGAGCGTGAAAGTAAAAGAAAAAAGAAGAAGCCTTTAAATAAAGACTTCATAAATTATGAATCAGAAAAAATGTCCGAAAATGCGTTCAAAGCAATTTTAAATAGTAATAAATCGGAAAATCAAACAACGAAAAATGTATCACCAATTAAAGCCATAAAGCTTACACTACCAAAACCAGTGTCATATCCTTTCAATAAAACAATTTGTGCAGACATCATGGATGGAAAAGCAATTGATTCGGGAAATCCAAAAAATCCAGTTAGTAAACCAGGGAAACAAAGTCCAACAGTAATAAGATTTAAACTTGGTGATAATGAAGTTGTTCGAAGCACGAATGATAAAGTTAATATTTACGGAAATTTTGCCATGGATTCATCAGTCGAAACACAAAAAGAATTTACATGGAAACAAGATTCTATTTATGATTTTCACGATGGCAGCAATGAAAGTGATTTTACAGGTGGATTTACTATTGATGAAAGTCCGAAAAGGAAAAAATCATCTAAAAATAGTTCTCATAAAAAATCCAAAAAATCAGTAAACCAAGAGATGACTTCTGAGATTGATATTCTGAATAATGCTCCGAAAAACGGTATAGAAGAACTTTTGAAAGCTTCTGCATATGCATTATCATCAACTGGAAATCAATTAGACGCTGGGTATGTTACCTTGTGTTAAAGTAATAATATTTCCGAATAGAAGATATAAGATTTCTCGAATGAATTTTTAATGATTGTATTTTTTTAGGACTCCTACGATAGCCTCACACAATCAATTAATGAATCCACCCCCCATAGGGTAAGAATTGTTGTATTTATTTTCCATATTTTTTTCTTCATTAATTCTAGTTATTTTTAATGTCAAGTGTAAATGTTGCTGAGAAAATTTTCATGGTTTTATTTTATTTTTTGATGTCCTTGTATTTATAAATTGAAAACGATTAGTTCTGACAGGGCATCACCATCAACAAGAGAAGCAATTGCTGGGATGTTATCGTTCAGTGAACAATGTTATTCAACTGAATCTCAAAGTTCGAAAAAACCTTCGAAATCTTCGCGAAGAGTTCAATACGATGACGATGATGATGATTTATCAATAGAGAATATTGATAAAGTTCATCAAGACGATGATTTCAGTATGTTTATTTTAAAAATATTTTTTAAAACAACAAATTTAATCAATAATTCTAATAATAATTTAATCTTTAAAATTTTAGTTTATCCAGCCTTAGATGCATCTGATGACGAAGAATATATTTTTAAACCTCGTGGAAAGAGACGAGTAGATGAGGCCTGGAATCCTAAAGCACGAGTTGGTCCTCTTTTACCGAAAACCAATCGACCTGCTCGTGAAGGAGTGAGAAAAACTTCTGTTGAAAAAGGTCTTGAAGCTGCAGCTGCGAAACGTGCGAAACATCCAGTAAGATCTATCATAATATTTTAATTTATTCTCTTATGAATAACAATGAATTATTTCTTCGATATGATAATAATGTATAATTTTTATTTGCAATTAGGCTAATGCAAAACGAGTATATAATAAACAAAAAAAGAAGGTCACAACTAATGGAGTGAATCCAACAAGTTCAGAGAAACACAGTGACAATGAAGGTCTCCAATTGTCTGGTGGATTCAGTTCTATCTTAACAAGTCCAAATAGACTGAAGGATGTAAAAGCTAAACTTGCAGCACCTGTTCCTGTTGGTAGGTTCATTCTCATTAATCGATGCTATTTTTATTTTTATTTTTGATGGAAATTAATTAACATTGAATACTTTTTCCAGAACGTAAGCCAAAAAAAGGAATGAAAACGGCTAAGCAACGTTTAGGAAAAATTTTGAAACTTCATAAAATGATGCACTAAAATTATTGCAATGAACTGAAAAAATATGGAATTGTACAAAATAATGACAGTAGTTTTTAATTTTAGTGTAAATATTGTATACACTACTCGTTAGTTATGAATCGTGTCGTATCGTATAATTTTTAGATATAAGATATTTAGATCCATCCTTAATGCAATCAAAGATATTTTTTTTATTTATTTGAATTAATAAGATGAATTTCACATTTATGTATACTTTAAGACAACAATATTTTTGAAAAATTGACAAAAAATAGATCATTCTTAAATCGTTTTTTTTTTCTATTAGCATAACAGTTTTGATCACATTGACCGTTCAGTATTAATCAGCATTGTTTTATCATTGTAAATTGTCTTTTGTTATCAGTATTTCTTTATCTATTTTATAACTATGTAGTCAACAAGATAAGTATTATAATTCCTGTATCACCTCATTTACGGTGATTAAAGTTTTTTTGCTAAACTAGTTTCGTAAATTGATATTTATTTCTAAGAAATATGTAAATAATCCATTGATTTATTATAATCATTGACGTAATTTTTTCTAAATAGAAAATCGATAAGATATGCATATAAAATATTAAAAAAAACATAAAATCGATTAGTTGCTATTTTTAATTATAGTTAGATGGACATTTTAAATAAAAATAAATCATTCGCATACATAAACGATCAAATATTTATTTGAGAGAATAAATATTAATATTAATATACACTATAATTTAATTTGGGCTTGCCGAGAGTTCTCGAAATGTCGATTCGAGAATTCGAGATATATGTATATATGTATCACGACATTGGATTTGTGAACGTCAAGCCGTTAGTTTACATAGATACGCGGATAGTGATTCGTGTTTGTATTCGAGAAATCCTAAAACTTCATTATCCATTTGACGATCATAAACTTTATGATAATTATTGCTTTATGATAAATCATTAACACTAAATTATTTGAGCTTAACAAAGTAAACAGTTATTTATTCACCTGATAAATAAGGGTTTATTTTCTTGATAGTGTTCTTTTATGATCAAATTCATCCGAATAAGTGGAATTAAAGTGTTATCAATTGAATCATGACTGATATTCTAATAAAATAGTAATTGAATTATTTGTTTTAAAACGTCATGCTGATTGCACGACGGATTCGACGTGCATCATCACCAAATCCAATGAATCGTCATTGTATTTGTTGCTTAATAACTTCTAATAATAACATATGTGAATTGCATTGTCAAACAGGATATTTTAGATTTTTGAAAAATGCCTTCTTTCATTATCATTCAAAAATTCACGGAAAAATTGACGAAAAAATTCTAAGATATCGTCTTACTGAAAACCGGTGAGTATTCAAAATACCAGAGGGTTTTTTCTCACCCTCTATCATATGATTAGTAGTATCGAACAATGACGTCTGGTGTCGCATAACCTCTAAAGAGAGTTTGCTCCAAAATGATTAAGCGTTAACTTTAACTAGCCAATTATTAATTTTTCTTTTTATAAATTAACATGTTGAGAAGTGAAAGTGGTATTATTGCAATAATATATTTAAATTGTTCAAAAATCTTATTTAACATGGTTATACAACAGACTCGATTGTGGAAATTCAATGCAATATTAGTCAACCAGTTTCGACATTGACGCAGGATGATAAAAATGATTTTCACAGATTTTCATTATGCAGACAAGAAAAAATAAGAAAGTAAGTTCGTGGTTAGTTATACGTACGCTGTTTTGTGCTTTTTCTAAAAGTGCAGACTATGTATAAAAGACGAACAAATCATGGTTGGTAAATAATCATCAAACTAGAAGTATAGGGGTCAGTTGTTGATCTCATTACCGGTCTATACCGGTGTCTATGCTCATCTGAGTCGTTAGTTGTTGTTCATTGGCCTGATCAGAGTTATCTGTCTGATCTCAACATTTTACATTAGTCAGTTGTTACTTGTCATTGTTATATTGGAGTTATTTTTATTAAGTAACGTGCTCGTCTGTGGTATGTGTTTTATTTATTATTTTATTCAAGTATAAAACATTTAGAGTTAATTATTTCCACCTGGTGTATTAGCAATTATCGGAACAAGTGGCGTAACAAAAATAATAATAAAAAATTATTGAATTATCTATCGATAGAAAACGTGAGTGTTGAAACAAAAGTGCAAAAATGAAAGAATGAAGTTTATAGTGTCTGAAGATAATGAAATGTAATTTACATCAAGAATCAATAATTGTTAACTATTAGGTAATTTTTCATGTTTATTCTTATCCACCTCATTGATTAATAAACTGATAAAATGTAAGACCTTGACTGTCAACACGTGCAACTGTGCATTGGTTTGATAACTAGTGTAATAAACTATCAATACGAAGGTTACAATTAATAACTTGATGACGTCCTAATTAAACTACTTGCAATTAGAAAAACATACCATTAACAGTACATTTACTTGATTGACGACTCCTTTTTTTTATCTCATGATACATAGACCTTACTGGGAATTTATAAGCAACTCATTATTGACAATTGACACTGCAAAGTCATTGATTTAATTGGAACTCTAAGAGATACAGGATCGAATGAAAGGAAACGATTTTATCAATGAAAATTGACACAGTCACTTAACCAATAGCAATACAAATGTGTAAGATTGTCATCAACTGTCGGTTATATAGTCCAACACTGGACTTCCCTAAATCACGTATACAAACTCTCGTAAAGCTACTTTAACCTTTATTTCTTTAATAGATTGAGCAGTATAGAGTGCAATGGACTTGAAGCTCCTCCTATATTTGTTGATGAACCTGAGAAAAAATTTTTACCTCCTACCCAAACAACTAAAATCTGACGAAATCTTAACTTACTGTTACACTGCATTTTTGTGCTCCAAAATTTTTTCTTTTGTATTCTTTCGAAATTTTTCTTTCTTTGTAATTTATCTAGATAAGAATAAATTAAATAAAAATGTTGCAATTAATTGAGAATATTGTTCAAGAAATCCTGTTTTCGAACAATGTTCGAGGACATAAGACAAGTTTTATTGCATTTAGTTTCCATAATTTGTCGGTAAGCACTTTTAATAACAATTTCCGGATGAGTATAATGTGAAAATTAATATGACATAGAATCACATAAGTTTTTTTAGTTTATTGTACACGATATAATATCACGTGGATCAACTCGTGTACAATAGTTATTTGATATCCAATGTTTGTTTAATTATTCGCGATTTATGTAGCATCCGTCTCGAAGCGTTTGATTGAATCTTCTGAATAATCATAAAACTAATTAATGTTTCATCAAGCTTCGCTTACTGAACCCATAATTGATCATATCCGCGTTCTTCAACAATCACAGGGAATAAAATAAAATTGAATTTGCACGTTACCCGGGTGTGTTGACCGCACATGCAATCTAGGGAACAAGTGACAAGTAAGAGTGCTTTCATTTGTCGTGTCATATTCCTGTCCCACCGATTACACGACCTATTTTCGTACTAAAAATAGCAAATAACATAATTGAGCTTTATAAGGTGTTGACAACGATGCTTCTTTTTATTTAGCCATTCATACATGTGACTTGTGGTTTAAGATTAGAGAATGAAAATATTATTTCAACATTTATTTTATTGGTACCCTACAAGAATCATCTATTCTTGTTGATCAATAAATATACCATTTTTCTTGATCCTTTATACTTTCCAAAAAATCATGAAATCTGCTTATAAACTTTTACTTACGTCAGTTCAATTGATTACGACAGAAAGGGATTTAAAATGAACCTACATCTTCAAATCAGTAAATTTAAACTGATAACATAAGCTATAAGCAAACATGTACCAATATTTGATGATTTATCTAGTTCAAGATGGTTATTGTACTGAATTATCAGTTGGATTAAGAATGACAATGAAGGTCAATTTTAGGGTATGGATAAGATTGGAACAGATGATTGGTTAAAAAGTAAGAATGTGGTCACACCTCTAATATTAATTCAATATAGAATAAATCTTTATATCGGTTAAGTAAACTTAAGATACGTGACGTAGATACTTGTTTTGACATGCTTACCAGACCGGTTCTGATATTGGGAAAGTATACTAATTTGTTTGAAACGTCAGCAAAAGCAAATCAACGTTTCAAACCAATTGACCAATCACAGAAGTTATTTCTTGGGGGCTCGATCTCTCATCTCATCTCACTTACTCACTCCTTTCGATTCCATATTGCTTTCTCTTTCATCGGCTGGTGCAACCGGTCGATCGATCATTCCAATCTCGTGTCGTGAGCTAAGTCACGTGAGCACATGTGAAGCACTAGAGCCACGAGGACTGGCTAGATCACCACGTGTATATAAAATAGAAGAGAAACGATAGCTAGAATAATGGAATACCTTTTGAGAAAAAATTCATTCTAATTCAATTGTTCACCATATGTTGATTAAATTCAAGGTGCTTTTTTTAAAAAAAAGGTTTGATAACTTATGGGTATTGATGTATTTTATATTTATTTGCATATTTCTATTCCATTACGCGATTCTTTGTATCAACACCTTTGAGCCAAACTTCCAATCCCCTTCTCCTAACTCATATTCTTGTGTACCACCTCCTTTTTCCAATGACTTGAACGATCTGGGGACCGTGACGATGATGACGGTAATTTCGTCTCAGACTCGGCACAAATAAAAGTTGCGACCTGTCCGCGTCAGTCGTAAGTCAACGCTACCCACGATAAGAAGAAGTGATACCAGCCGACTACTTACATATTCACTCATCATCAATAAATAATACTTGAATTCATTATCAGGTATTATTAATTCCATTCTCTTGCATTATTTTGTTCAGTTGAGTTAACTTTAGAAGTATCAACTTTGTTTGGTGTCTTTTCATTGAATGTTCTGGGTACAGATCCATCATAACTATCGGCAAAAAATTGGTGAAATCATATTCTTGAGGATAGTGTCTATTTTCAAGTAAGGATTGCGTCAGGAGTTATATAGCTAATAAAGCTCTCATTGAATGCTGTGAATAGAACGTTCGTGTAACGCTGCCACTTTGTTCAATCGGTATAGTTCACTTGTGGTCTACCATTTACTGTAAATAAAAGTATTTTATATTTAAATGTGCCAATATTCGTCTTAATTAGCCAATGAATAGTGTAGGTTGCTTTATTAAAGGCCAATGACAGACAGATTATCTAATTAAACTACAATTTGGATTTATTTTAATTATAAATAGATAAAATTTTAATTTATTCATAATTTTCATAAAATATTAGTGAAAAATGTGAATCTATTGTCAATATAAACAAATTGATTGAGTTATTTTTAAAGAAATTTTAATGAAAAATTAAAACTCTTAACTTACTTCGTATTATCTTGATAATCACACCATTAAATTAAGTAAATAAATACTTTTGCAAAACAGCAATAAAATAATGAAATATTTATTCTTTTGTTTCCAGGGAAAATGTGGCACTGTTGGAGCTGAGACCATTGCGCAAATTGCGCAAATCTTCAGGGCCTCATTTTCACCCTATTACAAGAAAGTAAGGTGCTCGTAGTAGTTGCCCATTCACCGACTCATTTCTCTCATCTATTTTTATTTTATTTTTACCAATACACATAATTAACGTGCGTGTATTTCCTCTGTCTCTCTCACTCTCTCTCTTCTCTCTATTTTCCCGATATACTCAACACAACTACCTCTGCGTGACGTTGAATGCAAAATTTTGGTGAACCAAATACCAGCTAAAAACTGGCATAATAATTAAATTGTGGACATATATTAACAATAACATTATTATAATAGTCAGTGATATTTATTTATGTAAAACATAAGTGGAAAAAAATAAACAACAAAATAGTCGTGAGATAAACAAATTAATTGTATAAAAACAATAACAATCATAAGAAGGATTAGTCAATAAAGAGTAGTTTAAAGAGAGAGAAAGAGAAACGCAATGCCGCACAAAATGAGAAATATTTCTAATCTGTTGCCAACAACGTGGTGCATCTTGATGATCCTACAGCAAACAATTGTAATAGTATCAACAATGGAGACTCCAAAAAATCCAATAACTCTACCACCATGTTCAAGGTAAGTTATCAAAAACAATTGAAACAAATTAAGCTTTTTCTCCACTCTCTCTTTTTTTATCTCTCTGTTATTAATCCTCCAATCTGAAAATTCGCAATGTTTGAATGACACTTAATGCGTTTCCGCATTGAATTTAATCAACGTGCAAAGAATAACTTGTTGCGCGCGGGTGTGTCACGGGAATTGGACCAAGGACGAGCCCTCGTCCGTCACAGAGTCTTGATGGTCAAGTCACCGACCGTGTGACATCTTTCTTCCTCTCTCTCTCTCACTTTAGGTTATTTTCTATCTTAATGAATCTATTCATCTCTCTCTTTCATTCAGTCCAAACTTTTAAATAACTCATCTGTACTATTGTTATTATTATTGTCGTTGTTATTTTTATAAATGAATTATTGCAAAATCTTTATCATTTGGAAGAATATGATCTCAATACAATACTCAAGGCTAGCTTACCAAAATCCCATCATAATTGTACATACTTATTGTATTGAATTTAATTATTTCATTATTCACTTTTTTTATTTTGTCTTTGCGTGCATATCATCATCATTGAGATATTCTCAAGGATATTTCTCGTGCTAATTTGCTCGTTTCCGCTATTTTCTATGTTAGCTAGACAATCTTTGAATAAATCGATAAAAACTAAAACTAGTTGCTGCTATGTAATATAAAAAAGTTAATGAGGAAATAAAATAATAAAAAATGATAAGAAAAAAGAAGGAGAGAGAGAGAAAAAAAAGAGAGAAAAATTTGTTCATCAATTGATAAGATAAAATTTTTATAGTACAAAGAGTTAATAAAATTTGAAATAAAAACGCAATAATTAATATTTCAGTGAAATTTATTGTCATGGAGAATTATTACATACAGTACAATTAGCCCAACTTTATCCAGATTCTAAAACATTTGTTGATATGAAACTCAAAAAAAGTCCAGCTGAGACATTGAAGGTTTTCAATGAGATGATGAATCGAACAACAGAAAGGCCACCACCAAGAGACATGGTTAAAAAGTTTGTAGAAGAGAATTTTGATCCAGAAGGTTCAGAATTTGAAGAGTGGGATCCAGAAGACTGGACACCAAAGCCAAAGTTTCTTGAAGGAATTCGTGATCCAAAGTTAAAAAAATTCGCTTCAGATCTAAATGATATATGGAAGCAATTGGGTAGGAAAATTAAAGAAGATGTTAAAATTAATTCTGATCTATATTCAATAATTTATGTTCCTAATCCGGTGATCATACCGGGAGGAAGATTTCGGGAATTTTATTACTGGGACTCTTATTGGATAATAAAAGGGCTTTTATTATCAGAAATGACTAATACGGTTAGAGGAATGTTGACAAATTTTGTATCAATCGTTGAACAGTATGGATTCATACCCAATGGTGGAAGAATTTATTACACAATGAGATCACAACCACCAATGTTGATGCCAATGGTTAAAGTCTATCTAGATGCTACTAACGACATTGAATGGCTCAGAGAAAACCTTTGGCTACTAGAAAAGGAATTTAATTTTTGGATGGTAAATAGAACTGTTGAAGTGCAGAAAAATGACCGTATTTATACTTTAGCAATATACAATGAAAATTCTAGTGGGCCTAGACCTGAATCTTACAGGTAAATATTTTCAAAATAAAAACTTTTTTATGTTTTATTAAAACTTAAACCATTAACTTCATGTAAAAAAATTTCTATCATTTCGCAATTTTTTATAAATTTTATCCTCTTTTTTTGTCATTTGCTTGCTTTCGATCATTTAATAGTAATTATTAAGTCTAAAATGCTTTTAAACGTGATTTTTACGTTTACTTTATTTGTGAAGTGATTAAATGAAAATTGCATAACTTTGCGTTAAAAACTTTTTTATGATTGTATTTTCTTTTTTAAAATTTTTCGTTATTCCGAAATAAAATATTATATAATATCTTTTATTATTTTTTAACAAGAGTTTTTTTTTTTTAATAATTAAATTCTAAATGATTATTCATCACTGTCATTAAATATCATTTATAAATAGTAATTTATTTTAATGCACAGAGAGGACGAGTCAATTGGTCGTGGAATGCGAACAGATGAAGAGAGAGACAATTATTATAAAGAATTAAAAAGTGCGGCCGAATCAGGCTGGGACTTTTCGAGTCGTTGGTTCATATCTGAAGCAACTAATAAAGGTATAATAAAGAACATTTAATATTCGTTTTACTCAAATAAGTCATTAGAACTCACATAAACTCACTATTTGCTTTTAAACATATTAGGAAATCTAAGTGATCTCAAGACGAGATCTATAATTCCGGTTGATCTCAACGCGATATTATATCGCAATGCTGTATTATTAGCAGAATTCAATGATTTGGTAGGAAATGCTAGTAAATCAGAAGAGTATCGAAAAAAAGCTGAGCAATGGAAAGAAGCTGTCAATGCTGTTTTATGGCATGAGGAAGTGGGTGCTTGGTTAGATTATGATATCTTCAATGGTTTAAAACGTGATTACTTTTATCCAACAAATATTCTACCTCTATGGACTAATTGTTATGATACTGCTCATCGGGAATACTATGTTGACAAAGTTGTCAAGTATCTTGATAAAAGTCAAATAATGATTAATCTTGGTGGTATACCAGCGACTTTGGAGCATTCGGGTGAGCAATGGGATTATCCAAATGCTTGGCCACCGTTACAGTATTTTGTGATCATGTCTTTGGACAACAGTCAGGATAAACATGCTCAGAGATTAGCTTACGAACTGAGTGAAATATGGGTTCAAAGTAATTATAAGGCATTTAAAATAAATCACTGTATGTATGAAAAGGTGCGTAAATAATAATACTAAATATCCGTTAATTGAATATTTCAATAACGACTAAACAATTGATTTTTTTTTGTAAATAGTATGATGCTACTGTTTCGGGTAGTGGAGGAGGTGGTGGAGAATATTCAGTCCAGTTAGGTTTTGGCTGGTCCAATGGCCTTATTCTGGACTTAATAAATAAGTATAGTAAAAGTTTGACTGCCGAAAATCATTTTAAATCGAATTACTCGGAAGAATTTTATAAAGTTCAATCCTTACCAAGAACGAGCGGTGGAAGTGTGTCACCTGCTGGTCAAATGATGACTGGTCTTCTTGCCCTCATCATATCAATCGCTGCAGGATTTATAGGGTGAGGTATGTAAAGGAAACGGCATTCTTCAAATAGTTCTCTAATGATACAGATACATTTCAAGAATTCAAATTATTCAAAGCGATCTTTTTTTTTTCTGTTTCAGATATCAATAGACTTGAGACCCGCTACAATCTCAGCTATTTATTACATAATATACATTTTTTTAAAATCTTAACGTAAATAATGTTAGAGCAAGACTCTCAGGGTAGCATAGTCTTACAATGGTGTGGTGATATGGAAATGATTTTTTGATCAATGATATTTTATTTTATTAAGCAGTGAATTAATTTAATGCAATTCTCTATTTGATGTGGTTTTAAAATTAATCAATTTGCATGAACTGCATCAGTGATTATTTAATGTAAATATTGTACAAAAAAACATAAACATTTAGAGCCTAGATATTTGTAACAATGAAAGGCTAGTTTGATAGGTTTTTTTTCTAGTCAAGTGTGCAAGGCTTGCCAGCCAACTACTTCTCGACGTTCACTTTGACAATTTAGGTCTTTGTGCTCTATCTACTAGCTACTTTCAAATCTTACCACTTCCTTACATCCATTACTTCAGCAGTAATTGTTTGATTGAAGCTTTTTTTTGATTAAATGTTTGTTATCCTTGCATTATTCAAATTATTGCCGCTGTCACTTTTTTTCTTTAGAAATCCTAATTATTTTTATTGTTGTGATTGTCATTATAAGCTATTATATTTTTTATTAATATACATAGCTATTAATATATATTTATTATTTTATTTAATTATTATAAAATTTGGCATGAATATTTTATTTTTTTATCATTTTATTGTAGATATTCCTACATTCCTGTGTTCCTCCAAAATGCTTCAATAAAGTACTTGAATTATATACAATTCCTGTGATAAGATGATTCCATTTTCCCTGATAGAAATAATCCACTCGTCTGAGAAGTTTGTATGATAAAATTCTATGTACATAGAATTCTCTTAGCTCTTACTGTTGTATGCAACTGTAAATAGCGATAAAATTTATTTGCTATCTTTTCATGTGGTTAATTGTGTTTGTTTTATGTGTGTATGTTATTGTAAAAAAAACAACTAGTAATTCTTCTGATTTTCAATCTTGATACAATGGAACAATCCAATCTTCAAAACTTCGTATTCGTTAATTGCTTTGCGTCACTGTAATGATCGAAACACAAGAATACTACTTAAAATTGCTGGTGACAATGTAAAACAAAAGAATTTTCAACTCATATTCCATCACAGCTTATTATTATTCAAATTCCAAGGACTCAATTACTCTAGACAGAGAGCCTTTGCTCTGACATATTTGATTACTATAATTATCTTCAAATTTATCTCTTTTCACTATAAATACTTTAACGATATATTCATATAAAAAATTATGTAGGTATGATGATGATCGTTAATTCACAAATAATTTATTTTTCATTTCAGAATGGTAATGTACAAAAGACGATATTATTACACACCTGGAACATCAACGGCTCCAAATAATAAACGAAGATCCATCAGTTTAACAAAAAATAATGTTCCTAGAAAACACATTGCTTATACTGAACTTCAAAGCATGAATAATGATTGACCTTCAAGAAAATGACGATATTTATAAAATAATTTTAACAAATGGTATTTAGTAACATTGCAATGGTATTGTGCGAATGAATTTGAATGATTAACTTGAAGACAAATCAGCTCTCTTAATACATAGCATTTGTGAAAGGAAAAATAGTTATTCTGACAGATAGTGAATGTAATTGATAATCAATTCAATGGTTCTACAGATATTATTCTTGATAAGAAATCATAAATTATTTAATCTATGATTATAGTCACAATTGTATTTTATATATATATATAAAAAGATATATGTGAGAATCTGTTACAAGAATTGAGAGTTTTGTCAAATAAGAGTGAAAGTGATTAATGTAAAAGTTCGATGTTTATATGTCAAAATAATGGATAATTTATGAAAGAAAGTCTTCTCGAGCTAACAGAGTTTGATGACGATAGAACTTTGTGATACTCGCATATATTTTTGGTCAATAATGCAACTTGTCGTCAACGACCATTGCCTAGTGCATTGATTAGCTAGTGAAATATAATTATATATGATAGATTTTGAATTCAACGAGAAATATACAATTAAATCAAAATAAATAAACTTCGCACAAATATAAATATAAGAATAAAATAATAATAATAATAATAATAATGCTAATCATAAAATTGTAAGAATATTTAAATATAGGATTTATTGTATTGTTCTCGTTGAAAATGATAAAAACTAAACAGTTTTAGTATGTCACAAACTGAATAATTGATTTATCAATTAAATATATATTTCAATAAAACTAGTTGCATGATTTCATTATTACGATTATTATTATTATTAGTTCTAATAATAAAAATTATATTAAATTATCAATAATTATACACTCTGTTACTTACTTAATTATTTCAATATTTGTTTTTTTTCACTTGTACATCATGTATACATATAAATTAGATTTTTATAATCTGTCACAATAATATTCACATGTATTAATTTTAAATGCTTTAAATTACTAAATATTAAGCCACTCTTTTTTAAAAATGTATACCGTTATTTTGCCAAAAAATTATTTGTCGCGCTTAAAAAACATCAAATTTATTTATTATTATCATTATTATTAATATAATATATATAAATATTTATCTTTAATATACCATTTTTAATATATATATATATATATATATATATTCCTGGATATTAAAAGCATATTCGATTTAGATATTCGGTGGAAAATAGTAAATTTCACAGCAGCTCATGTATGCTTAAATAGTAAGCGCGATGTAAAACAAATATATTATGTATATGTATATATACAAAAATTTGTTGAAAAATAACCCATAATATTGGCTTATAATTTTAAATATCGCAAATAATCAACAAGAAACAAAATCTTATACCATTCACTAATTAAATTTCTATAATACTAAGGATTGTTAAAACCATAGTGATCAACTCACTATGGTACATACTTAAAAATGGATTCAATTCATCCATATTTTCTGAGCAATACAATTGTAACTGACTGAAAAAATCAAATTATTGGATACTCAAAACAGCTGCCAGTTAAAATGTAAAGAATTTCGTAAGGAAGACCATCGACAAAGTATCCAAATGAGCACTTTGGCGCAAATAAAAAAAAATAAAAAGGACTACTACAACGTCAGTACTATGAGGGTCGAGATGCATACTCGAAATACTATGCTATAAATAACCTTGAAGCCGGCTTATTTCTAAAATAAATAACTATCACAAAAAAGGCTGATGTTACTAATTTCTCTAGTTCTTAATTTTTCAATTAAGACCTCATTTTTGTAACATCAATAGATGGCTTGTTTTTCTTTCTTGAATCAAATATGTACACAGTTAATCAACTAGGCATTAATAATTTTCTTTAAAATGTCTTAAAATACTAATTCTTATACCGACATTTCCACTTTATATACTCATTTGTATTCATCGTTATCCTAATACTGAGCGATCGTTGATGACACAAGGCCTCTAATTAAATTAGTCGATTCGTTATTGAGGACTTTTCTCCCTCCTGCATTACCTCACTTAACGAACCTTTTAATACTATAGTTTTTGTTCTTTTTTTAGATTCTTACATTTACTCTCTTTTTTTTCTCTTCAGGATTTCTTACTTTCTTACGAAATACCATTATTTTCAACATTAATAGTTCGTTGATGATTTGTGTAGGCTAATAAAGGATCATCACTGACAGCAGTAGTGTCTTCATCATTATTAATAACACAGGTAACGATTTCTTCTGTAAAAAGTAAAAAAAAATTTTCATTTACTTTCTTAGAAAGCTCTTATACTAGTGTAGAAAATTTTTAATTGATTATTTACCAGGTAAACAAAGTTGTAGTTGATCATTACTGGGATTAGTGCTATCACCTGTCCCACTGTCTTTACTATGCTGCGAACTTGAATCTAGATATAATTGTGTTGTTTGTCCATCTGTAATTACTGCTTCATTACTTATTGGCACTTGTCCATTGAGTCCTTGTTTTGAACGTAATCGTCTTCGAGATTGATAAATAATTATGAGCCAAATGATTGAAGTTCCAACGGCACAACTGACTATTGAAATTATTACGATGCTTAAAATATTATTTTCAGTAACTATTGGCAATAGATTTGGATTGATAGTCAAAATAGCCTCATCAGAAACACTTCCTAAAGTATTATTCATTGTGCATTCATAGCTGCCAGCATCATCCATAACTGTATCAACGATAATTAAAAGCTGATCTTCTGCAGTAAAGAAATGACGCTCTGTTACTTGAAGAGGTTGTCCATCTTTCTTCCAAGTTAGTTGTGGACGTGGAGAACCACCTGACATACACTCTAGGACTACTGACGTGCCAACAATTATATTTCGATCTTCCATGGGCTTGACAAATGTTGGAGTTTCAAGAATGGTTAATGTTGCATTTGCCACAATAAGACCAGCAAGATTTTGTGCAGTACATGAATAAACACCACTATCAGCTGATTTTGCATCAATTATAAAAAGTACTGGATCTGTTGGCATCATGTGCATACGTCTTTCTCTAGCTGCTGGGAAATCATTTCCACCGTCTTTTTGCCAGGCTATTTGCGGCGAAGGGTGACCTTCTGCTGAACACTCAAGACGAGCTGTACTTCCAGACATAACTTTAATGTCGTGTGGAGTTTTTAAGAAGGACGGATAAACTGAAATTCATTTTATTACGAATATTATTGCTGTTATTATTTCATTAGCTATCAATATTATATAAAAACTATAAGTTTAAATTTTCCAGTTCCTTTTAAAGTATTTATTCTATCAAAGAAATTGCACGCATAACTATTTAAAAATTTTTTTTTTTCTTGTTACTAGCGATAATTTCTACTAGCAGAAGTTAATAGACATTTTTTTTCAATAAGATAAAACTAAAGGAACAAAGAAATCATCATGAAATTGTATAAACTATATTGCTATAATTATTATTTCTACTTACTTAAGACACTGATTTTTGCTTTAGATGAATAAGCAGTTCCAAATGTATTGGACACCATGCATTGGTATTTGCCTGCATCAGTATGACTAATATTAACAAGATAAAGCGTAGATGATGCTTCAGTGATACCATGTTCTGAAGGAATAATATTAGTTTCTATTTCAGCCTCTCGTAGTTCAAGGTTTTCGTGCTTCCAAACGAAATTCAACGGTGTATCTGCTGAACTTGTCGCTCGACATGTTAATGTTACATTTTCTCCTTTTATGCTCATTTGATTATTTGGTTCTTCAATTATTCGTGGCTTGGGAAATTCATCACAAGTGAAATTAGCATTACGAAGTTGTGTTAATGGCATGCCTTTTAACCAATGAGGATATCCACAGCGTACTTTAGCATCATTATGTCGATTCGTTCTGAGCCAAACACTCAACCATTGTAATCCACAATCACAAACTAAAGCTTCTGTATTCATTTTAAGTCTAGATAAAGTCGGCATCGAACTGAATGCATTTTCTTGAATACTTGTAATGTTATTTCCTTGTAAATCTAATTCTTCCAAATGCTCCAGACCTCCAAAAGCATTTCTATTGATTGATATTATTTGATTTGATGCTAATCTTAATTTTTGCAATTTGCTTAGTGAATTAAAGGCACCTGTCGTTATATCTTCAATCATATAAGATATTTTGTTGAAACTCAAATCTAAAATTCGTAGGTTAGGGACACTATTAAAAGCACCTTCGGATATTAAAGAAATTTTGTTATGATCTAATCGAAGAATTTCTAATTTCATTAAAAATTCAAATGATCCTTGGTCAATGTGTGTCAATCTGTTATTAGATAAATCCAACTCTTGTATTTCTTTACACAATTCCCACGCCTGTGACTCGATTTTACTAATCCGATTATGGGATAGGCTAAGCTTTCGTAGGTGATCCAAACCAAAAAGTCCCCCCTTTTTTACGACGGTCAATTCATTGTAATCCAGTTGTAAAAGGACTAATCTTTTTAACGGCCAGAATGCTCCATCTTCGAGCGTATTTATTTTATTTCTTTTCAATCTCAACTGTTGCAGGTTTGTCAGATTTGTAAAACTCAAGCCCTGAATTTGGTGTAAATTATTCCTGTTAATTTCACTGAAAAGAATTATACGGTGAAAAAAAATCTGTCACGGTCCAAAATCATTCTATTCTTATTCGACTGGTCAGGTATTTATACTCACAGCACTTTGAGTCGAGTCAAATTTATGAAAATATCCTTAACAATGTGAGTAAGGCCATTTTTATTTATTCGGAGTTCTTCTAATAATGTTAAGTTGTCAAGACACCCTGGTTCCATTTCTGTAAGCTCGTTTAGGTTTAAATTCCTAGAAAGTTAAAAAAAAGTTAAAAAATTTTGATAAATAATATATTATCTCTTGTTATTATAAGCACTTAAATAACATACAATCGAGTGAGGTGATTAGGTGCTAAAAATGAGCCTCGTTTCAATATTTTTATTTTATTATCAGCCAGTTCCAGATTTTGGAGGTACGGTAATTTTTGTAAAATTGTTCCATCGATATCAACAATATTGTTGTGCGAGCTAAAAAAGTAAAAGAAATGATTATAAGATTGATGATAACAAAAACAAACTTGATAGAAATACATAAAAGGATAATTGAATCGTATTTACTTACATGGAAACATGAGTTAAATTACCAAATAAGGAAAGATCTGGTATGCGGCTAAATAAATTTCTATTCAGTTTCAGACTAGTCAATTGTGGAAGGTCTGGCAGTGTAAATGTAAAATTATCTTCAAGTTTATTCCAACTTATATCTCTATAAGAGATTAAAATTGATATCAAACAGAATGTTATTTATTTATTCAATTGGAATTTATAGGTGACAATGTTTACAATAACTTACAGTGTTTCGGTCCAAGGCGGTAATCCACTAGGTGGTGAAACTAGTTGTAGTCTGCTACAATCAACTACATTTCCTAAACAGGCACACTTGACGGGACATTGAACATTTTCTTCGCCATTTGTAACTGAAAGTCCGGATTCGTCCTGAAGACCGTGCATGGACGAAACACTCCATAATATTATGAAAATGAAGTATAAAATTTTAACAAATAAAAACTTTTTAGAAGACGCTCCAAAAGAAGCGACCGACATTATACAAAAAGACTGCCTTTCCATAAATCACAATATATTCGTTATATAAAATACAATTATTTTGCATTTGAAATTCATTTCCATAATAATTTTCAACACGTTTTTCTATATTATCAAACTGATTACAAAATGTATGCAGCCATTAACGCCTTACGCGTTCATGTCGATGGAAAACAAACTCGATCGTCAATAAAACTTGCTTCTCTACGCACCACAATCATTTTCACTCATGGCAAAATATAAAAATACACATTTATTGTTAATTCACATATTTAATTCATTTTCAAATTACAATTATACACTTAAGCACGTTTACTTTGATTTTTTTTTCAGTTCGACTTATTTCTCGTATTTTTTTCCCTGAGACACGGAGAGAGACTGACGATTCCGGAGGCGGCTGTTGCCGTTTACGGTTATATTCTGTTTCGTTCTACGCATCGGGTGCCATATTCTCTGCTCCAATGGTGGAAACATGTCGATACTGATGGTCAACACGAAAATATCTATTTTGGAGTATTAGTTATAATTACGTCTCAAACAAGAATCTAAATTACTTCTGCATGATCCTGATAAATGAATAAATAATGAACTCATGTTTCTAATGAAGATTTTTAAATAAATTTTAATTACGAGCTTCGAGGTTTTGATTGCTTGAAGGTCAGTTATCAACAGTGTTTCTCTATTAATAATTTCCAATTACAGATGGTAGTATAATAAAATACTGCAACACATTTTTAAAATTTCCCGCTCATTTATAATTAGTGTTATTAATGTATTTTCTCGGATTAAACATTAAAAACAGTATTTTTTTTTAAATTCATTACTTGTCAATATCAATGAAATAGTGTTTATTTTTTTCTTTGACCAGGAAAAATCGCACTAGACAACGGATAAATTTATTTTCACCTTCTATATTGTTTATCAAGTTTCTACGATTGTCTAATGTAATTATATCAGATGATTCATAGTTGGATACGAAGAAGTTTTTCAGGGAAAGATTATATAATAAATAATTTAAAATTTGATTTATAATGTATTATCAAAAAAATTTCTAACATTTCAATCATTGATTTTTTCTTTGTAGCAGCGCTAAAAATGAACACTGCAAATCATGTACCTGAATTACAATTTGCATTTTAAAAATTCACTTAACATTAATTCTATTTCGATTTTCTAATAATAATTATTGATTAGAATAAAAGCAGCCCACTGTCTTGTGTAATACATTTTCAGATACACAACATAATTTGGCTAAAATGGGATTTCTTTTAATATGTACAGTTAATGTATAATCTTATTACATACAAAGAAATAGATAATAATTATTGTTAATCATAATGGTATTAAATTTCTAATCAAATATTTATATCTATAGCGGATATTTATACTTATAATCTATAATTATATTCATTTTTGTCGTCAACGAACCACTATGTCACAGCTCCATTTTATTCATCCTTACTTAAGCCAATAAAATATAGCAATATTGTAATACCAAAGCTTTCCAACGTGATTATGTGATGCTTCATTATTTTAGGATAGTCTAGGCAATAGCAACGTGCACCAATTTTTTTTTAACCCATTATTTTATTATACTCATGATAATAGTTTTTTAGTCTAAAATTAACCTCTAACGTTAAAAAAAAATATAGAAAAAGACAAATAAATCGTCCACAGTCATTTTATCAATTACACACTAAGTTTCGTTAAATATCTAACATTTTATTCTTGGGTGTAGATAAAATTACACAGCCATTGCCTAACCGTTATCCTCACAAATTATCAGTCATCTGAATATTTGGATAAGAATATTGAGAAATAAACTAAGTTGTTGGATGATAAGAATTAATAAGTGCTGCATCGACAGGTTCCATGCATGAAGGGCACGTGAGAGAACGCAGGAGCCAGTCGTCGATACATACAGCATGATAAGTATGCATGCAAGGAAGATAACGAACAGCTTCACCAATTGTCAGTTCCATCATGCAAATGACACATTCTCCTTTTTTTGTACCATCATACTCTCTTGATGGTAGATGTTGGATAAGTCCAATACGTTTAGCGATTCTCATCTGATGTTCTTCTTCATTTATTGTACTAGAATTAATAATTCCAGTTCCTCTTATATTACTTGCAGTCATACCAATTCCTTGACCAAGTCCAAGACCGCCAATACTCGATTCTGTCGATCGTGTATGTCTTTCTCTCGTAGCTATCGCCGGGTATCGTGAATCCACCAACTCCTAAAAATAAAATCAATCAGTATTATATTTTATAGGCTTCTTTTAAGGCTATAACTAATGAATAAATGTTTTAACATAGAACAGATCTATTTATTACATTATAAGGCATTGCCTGTGCACTAAGCGGATCTTGCGACAAGCTTCTAGTTACTGCTGGATCGACGCTATTACTTAGTAGCGTTGCATTGTCTGTTTGACCACCTCCACTGCTTTTCAAACAGTTGCCCATCTTGGAAAATAGTAAAGGACTTTCTCTCCTTTGAATAATCTTGATTGCAGAGCTAACCAAATGGATAACAGAAGAGAGCAGGAAACGCTGATACGCAAGTGCTGGTCAGCGTCTTCTCAAAAATAATACAGTTAGCATGCTAATGATGCTGAATTCAAGGTTAAGGTTGCCTTGTTTGATAACAACGGCAAGTTATAATGGTTAAATCAGATAGTAAATGACAATAGTCATCAATCCAAGTACCTCTGTCACATACTTGAGTAATTTTTTCAATATTGACACTGATGTCGATTTCACTGGATGACACTGTAGCTGTCACAACCGACTACAGCTGACTAGCTTGGCTTCGCTTGGTTGCTTAGCCTCGTTGACTTTTGCGTTGTATAACTTAAATATACACTAGTACAATTGACGTGACGACACAACGTTGAAAATATTATTAATTTTTTATCTACACGAATTACGGTCATTACATTAACGATAAAATGAATAATATCACTAAGAGAACTTATATGTGAAATAAACAGCTGACGAATAATACAGAGAATAGTGAAAACAGTATAATGCAACACCACAAGACCAACACGTAAACTGCCGTCCGTGAGGTCTGAAGCTATTTCTAGCTGTGATGATGCAGCGTCATGATTATTGTTTGATCTATAGGTAAAACAGCAACTTCTAATTGCCGATAAAGTAGAAATTTTTTGTAATGTTTGTTTAACATATGGTAATAATGTGTGTAGATATTTAGTTTATCGATAGAAAAATGTTACTCGTGGTATGGTGGAAATAAAAATATGTATAACTACTTGTTGAAATGTCAAAAATCTAATTGAATTTTAATCTTATTCATCACGGATGAAATACCTCATAATAATTGATAAGGTAATAATAAGAATGTGAGATAAGAATCAATGTTGTGATAAAGATATAAATTAAACGTAGATAGTAGGAAAAGTATCAAACATTTTTGAATTTAAGTCAAGTGGATTCTTTTGATTTTTGACAGATTTTTATTATTTAAATGAATAAATATAAAATAAAAATTATAATAATATACTAAAATGATTGTGGGTGTAGTAGATTATGTAACTTTTGGTTCAAATGTTACATGATTACAAATCGACACTGTGACAATGATTGGAATGCCCCACTCGGAAGGAAGGAGCACCTGTTGCTGAATGCTTACCTGTTTCATTTGTACACAAGTACCTCCAATCGCCGGATCTCTTGGCTGGGACTTGCTTGGAGGCATTGGAGAACCCTCCGCTCGGTCAGTCAGTACGTCGTACGGTGTCTTATAGAGTGCATTCGCTCCGACTACGTGGCGGAATAAATTTTCTCTTCAAGTTTCCATAACATCCTGCAATATTATAACTTTGCTAACAAAGTTATTTGTTTTCTATCTTCCTGTTTTCATTGACAATGACTTAGACAAGTTGTAAATTGATACGACGATGGTGAAATATTACCTGATGTGAATGTATATAATCATCGTGACGATAAATTTAGTGATCAAGTGTTTACGATATGTCTTTTAATCTGGCATAAAAAATAACGACGAATAAACGGAATGGAGGAGAACGCAGGTCAGGGTGCCATACTTTGCTATGGACCAGGTAGTATTGCTGGAGCTGTAATTGGGACATTTTTCACCACGATTCTTCTCCTTGCCGTGGCCGTTTTTTTCTATAGACAGTGGCGTAAACATAAGGGTAAGATTATCAATCATTTATCAATTAAAAATTATGGCTATTTGAAAGTAAAGTTTTATTACCTTGTTTACTACCACTTCAGTTAACTAAACTTTCAACAGTATAACAATAATGGTTTTTTTTCATAAAGATAAATCATCGCAGTTGACATTATCTATAATTTGCTACATTCTTGTGCAATTACAGGATACATGGTAATTTATGTTATAACAATAACCATTTTTAGAGTAAACAATTGTAAAATTTTTAAAATACTCTTTTTTTTTCAAAAAATTGGATAATTTCGGTTGGTATTGCTGAAAAATCTCAACAAGATAAGACAAGGCGTCGTCGCAAGAGGATATGATGCTGATGTTTACTAAAGTTGCGTAGTTAAATGATGTAAATGCCAGTCACGTTCTTAATCCACGGTCTGAGCACAAAGTTACCTTGAGGTGTATATGTACATTTGTATCACCAAATTAAATGTAGAGTATAGTTGTAAGTTTTTATCGACCTCATGGACCTATGTTCATAGCTACGAATGGTGAATAAAAAGCGTTGCGCTTCGATGAACATCCAAACATTGATTTCCATTATACAGAGATCGGAATCTTTCGCACGCATTGCCATGAGCAATTTCCTATGACTATTTTCAAAGAATTATACATATGCAGCCAACAAAATTCTTTGTGGCAATCATACTCTGCTCCACTGGCTGTAACTAATGTTATACATCTCTACAGGTAGATCATTCAACTATTGGATATTTGAACCTTTTTTTTCACAACTGTATAAAATAGAATTATCAGATTGATAATTTTTAGAAATATGTTTATGTGAAAAGTTATACGTGTATTCATCTCGTAGAAAAGTCGCTGACGATTGCAAGCAACAGGAAAGTGAAATGCGTTGAAGAATTTCAGTTATTTTCCTACTACCTCCATTGACTCCTCCCCTGTGCATTTCAAGTCGTGTATTCGCTCGTTAAAAGCCGATTTATTTTGAGCTGTAACAAAAAAACTATTGGGATTTTTACCTGAAAAGTATTTTTCTCAGGAATTTAAATAAATTATCATTTAAATGTGCTCTTGAGTACATTATATTAACTTGTTCAAACTTATTGATTTAATATGTTATTGATAACAGTCTTTTAATATTGGAGTAAAGAATTCAATTTTCATCAAATAATATAGAAAAAGAAATAGTTTTCAGAATACACACCTGAATCTTCAAGATATTGACCATGAAAATTCGTTCAATGGAGATCCATTCTATTGTTTTCTTCTTTTCTTCTTCTCTTTTCGTTTTATGTTATAAAGATTCTGGAGATTTAAAGCCTGATCAACAGGACACTTGATCTATTTTTTTCCTTATTCCTACATCATCATCATCTTTTTGAATTGCAAGTGCACTCACCCGCAGCATCGTTAGATTGTCGTGTAGTACTACACGTGTATATCTTACTTGACAGGCGAAATCGACGAAGCCTTTTAGAAAGTGCACGGTTGTGCGGGTATTGGGAGGTTTGCCGCCAGGTCGTTGAGTCCGATAGGACTAGTGGCATGCGGCAGGTATGTACCTCAGGGCCCCTGATGCGTATGCATTCTCTTATATTACCCAAGAGCACGTATACAAACGACGAATGCACGCCACAGCAACACTTGGTATCTTTCCTTCTTTCTCTTTACGTTTGTACTTGGCTGAATTATGCTCACGCGCAAAATGCGGATGCAAGTTGTTGGACCGCGTGCTTTCATCATGAAAGCTATCAGAAATTATCTTAAAATACTCCACGAGTTCTTTGACGTGACATCCACATCTGAAGACATAAACTTAGGTTTAATTGGGAAAAGATTTTTTACAAAATACTTTTTTTTTTCATTCATAAGCTGTCAGAAAATTAATCTTACATTTTTTTCTTATGGGAATTTATCTTCCTGATGACAATGAAATATTAATCATGAGAAAAAAATTTTCCTGGTATGGTGTTGAAATAAATTACTTAATTGAGATAATCTACTGTCAGCTCTGATTACTACCATTTTTTCTTAATTAAAAACTTTTTTCTATCGTAATAAATGATGTTATTAATTTGAAATATTTTTTTGGAGTATTTGAAAATTCATTTTGTTAAAGACCAAAAATTTTTTTCTTTATATCAACTAATTGAATATCATCCATTCTATCTAGCATAAATGAATTTTGTTCTTGAAAAGTATGGGAAAATGTTTCTTAAATGAATGAATTCTTTCATAGTTATAAATTATTAATTAAGAGAAAAAATTTATTTTTCTGGCATTAAGAATTAGAAATTGAAGTTAATAATGTACCAAGTTGAATGATTACTATTTAGTGAATTAATCAAATAGAAAATTTTTAATCATAATAAAATGGGATTTTTCTTTCAAAGAATCGTTAATGTCTTCTTGATGGCGTCTTTCAACTCCATTAGATGTTAATGATAATTTTAATAGACTTCACATTGGTGGTATTCTTTTTTTTTAATCGTAGGGAATAAGAAGAGACGGCAATTATGCATATTACAAGTTCTTCTTTTTCAATGAAAGAGTGTGAGTAAAATAGGATCAGTGAGTATAATGAAATAATGATCTCAGGAAGATAAAAAAAGACATGTAGATGACTGAATTCAAATCTCGACAGGTGAAACCGTATTTTAAGGTGTGTACCTCAATAATTTTTCTTTCATTTTTTTCTTCGTCCCTATCCCTTTGGTACACTTCATCCAGAGTCTTCTCCGTCACAACAGGTAGCTTGATCACGCGCGCCAAATACCGGATTTCTGACGGCTATGGTCCACTGAGATTTTTTAAATCTTTTTTATTTTATTTTATATTCTCAAACCTTGTTCATCCGGTGTGTTTGCTGTCGTGGAATTTTTCATCGAAATTCAATCTGCTGATAGACTATCATTATTACGAAATCTCAGATAAACTTCTTTTAATATAAATTCTCATTTTTGATAATAATCATTACAATTTCTTGAATAATTAAAAATGTCATCAGTGTTGTAGAGAATATTTCAAACATTCTTCTTCAAGTTTTACTTAGATTTATATTTTTACTGAAATTATTACATAGATTTAAAAGTTATTCAGTCTAACCTCACATTAGTGACGGTTAATAATAGAATAAAAATCACGGTAATGAGTAATTCATTAACAAGCAGGAAATACTTATCTATTTAAAGTCCAATTATTTTACTATTTAATTTTAAAAAAAAAAACATGTTTTCTTATAAACATTATGGAGATGTAGGCTTCAAATATTCAGAGAATTAAAAATCTTCAAAAAATTGTTGATAACCAATTGATTTAAAATTATTCTATTGATGATAAACCTGGAAAATAATATTTTTTATAAAAATATATAATTTTAAACATTTTTCTATTTTCTTTTTGAATTAGAAATCAAGTACAACAATTTGGCTGATAATATAGGACACCTGAATGGAGGTCGTTGTCTCATGTCTCTTGATAACGTGTGTAACATGAGTGAATGAGAATACAAGTAATAGCATGTCCCACGCTTTCCTCACTTGTGGTTAAGGCGTACAGGAATTTCTATCATCTCTCTCGTAGACAGTAGAGAAAAAAGTCTTGCACTCATAAGGCGCGTCATACTTTTTAACATCGCAAAACCATAATTGTTATGTTGTCATTCTCAAATTAGATAAAGCCACATGATATCCATTGGAATCTTATCTCTTAATTTATCAAAATATTTTTATCTCTTTGCTCTCGTTTTTCACTTTACCTTTATGAACACGTGGTTCTTTCAACTTTAGAATATTTATAATTTTATTATAATACTTTTCAGCTTTTTCAACATCATCTGAATGTCAGCTAAGCATAAATAACATAGATATTTCGAAGTGTTTCACTCTAATCATACTTTGAATCTAAAAAATCTAGATTGAAATTAAATAACTCGTCTTCAAATAATTTTCTTCATTATTGATAAGACTTTTACAATCTTTCTTCAGCCATTTCATTACATTTTCTTTTATTTGATGGCTTAAATATTCTATGTAGTTGTTTTCATATAAATTCCAATCTTTATTTTCTACGTCTTGAATTTTTTATCGATGCCACTACACCCCAACAGCTGTAATAGTAACTGGTCAATCAACGTTGTAATAAGTATTTGTTTAAGCCATTTATATTTTACCAAATGCCACGCCTTTGCATTTCTGCATAATCACATCTTGCTATCATACACAATCCTTTTGCTTCTCCTTGTATTTCATCTCTACTTTTGCAACCCACCCAAACAAACAGCTATAACCTATAAAACTGGCGCTCCCTACGTGACAATTAACTGCTCTCGATATTTTGTATTGTACACCAGCTAAGTATTATTTTCAAATTCCCAACTCCAAGAGGAAAACTTATTTTTAAATATGAACAAAATACTTGAGCAAATAATAGTGTACGTGTACAGACTTATATACAGTCATATGGACTATGGATATTCTTTATGTTTTATAAGTTGAGAAATTTTTTATCTTGATAAGAATATTTTTATAAAGAGCAAATAACTTATAAAGTAAAAAAGACTTTTATTAAATGTTTTTAATGAAATAACTCGTTTCTCAACTCTTAAATTGAAGTCGTAGATGTTTCAACAAAAAGAAAAATAAATTCAAAACATATAAATATTAATCGATTTAAAGAAGAATTTAAACGATTCTGAATCTGTGATTTACTATAAAAAACTTCATTTACACTCGACCAAGTATTAAAGAGTAAAAAAAAAGTGAATATCAAGAAACTTAGTAGAAGACATTGTTGAATGTAACTTTTACAACGAAAAAGTTCAAATATAATAAAAAAAGTTTGTCCAAATAATGAAGAGGATGAGACAGTATCATTGAAACTCTATCAGCAAGCTAATAATAGATAAATAAAAAGATTAACTTTCTTAGACTAAAGAATATGGTGGGTTTAAAGTTAAGTGTGCTTGTGTAAAGAAAGGGAAAAAAAAGAATCGTAAAATATTTTTATGATACTTATTTAGTTTGTCAGAGAAGATTCCTCTGGTTCAATCCATCTAAGAAGAGGAGTAGGACTGTTGGACTTCGCAAAAGGGAATTGTAAACGACGTGCAGTTGGCCTCGCCACGTTATACGATTCACCGTAAACAGCTATAGAAGTATATTATGTATAGAATGCACTAGTGAAGACCATGAGGCAAAGTTAGTAAGATAAAATGTATCAATAAATATAATGGCCTTAGAAGTAAATTTCTGAGAGTCATCATCACGTCTTTCTAATGTTCTTCAGCTACTTCGGGTTAAGTAGCAAGGAAAACCTTTCGAATGCATCAATAGATTAGTGTGTAGATGATGAAGAATTACGCATGATCCTCGAGTTTGGAATATCACACGGTATGAAGAGAGCCTGTGGCTAAGAAGAAGGCGCGGTTAGAAGCAGGAGTGATCAAGGAGATGAGGAGTGAAAGAGGGGAAACGCGAGCCAGCTCACCTTGGCGTCCATGGTATGCGCCCACTGGCGTCACCATCAACGGCGTAGCCTCGGCCCATCATTCCCTCACTCATTATATTAATGTTGTTTTCATTGTAAATCTCAAGAATGAGTCAATCACTTTTCCTATTGAGAAGAGATGTTAATTCCAAAACGCTTTGGAGTATATACTTCAGAACCAATTGTACACTCTTGGTCTCAACGTACAAAGTACCTTGCACATACAGGATCAGCCAAGCGTAGAAAACCATACTGTGACGAATGGAAAAATCAAGATAAAATACAGGAGATCGTAAAGAAAATATACGTGGCATTTTTTCTTCATACTTTTGCAGTATGCCAATAGATGAATTATTGATTCACACTTAAATGAATGTTTTTTTCCTTCATCAGCAAGACTACAATAATCATAAAAACTCAATTATTTCAATCAAGTATCATGTATATTAATAATGAACTATATTTGTTAAAATACGTGTCGACTAATAGAAAAATGACTATAAACCATAAACTGGTTTTTTAATCATCAGTAGTATCTCGGTTGAATTTAACCAACATCTTGTGGAAGATAACTGGAGCAATATTATTGTAAACACTTCTAGCTTTAAGTAGATTCTATGTATAATATATATACATATGAACCTCTTCTTTAGTCATCGTATTTTATTTTTTTTTCTCTGCACTTTTTTATGCTTTAACATGATCAGTATGCAGCCATTGGTTGCGCATACTTAATGTACATGATTGGTCTTATGTACTTATTACATAATACTTATCACGTATATAGCACTAAATATCCACTGCTCAGCGCAAAATATAGATAATGAATCTTACAGACTTTATATGTATGTTTCACCGTTCTAGTATGACGAAAAATAATTGGCACTTGAGCTTTGACTGATGATTCAAGAAATGATGTATGTGTTTTAATAATTTTATTACAGTTTATATTAAGTGATTGTTAGACACTTTGAATAGGAGGTATATGTACACAGGTGTAGCGGGAACGCGTGCTGAAGGAATGCGTTTCCTTCCTGTTGATGTCGAGGCCAAACACGGCCTTGTAAGATTCACAGATGACGACATCCACTGGCAATCAGTGTGGCACAATTCTTCCTCCTATTTTGACATGCTTAGACAATCGATTAGAAAATAATGCCTATTGTTTAAATAATTATTCTTTATGAATAAGTAAATTTAAGCTACGAAAAAAGCTACAAAAGGAATATCCGATAGAATAATACAAGTTCTGATTGACTGATTATTGATTTTCGTGTGGGCCTTGACACTAAATTCATTTAACTTTTTTTGTACATGGAAGGTTGCTTTTATAATATTATAGATATTCAATATAAAAGTTATTTTAATTTTTATGACATTTTAAAATCCAGATTTATCACAAGGATTTTTTTTTAAATCACCTCTATTTTCATCATTCCGTAATCGAGTCGACAATTACTCAGAAGTCATCTTGTCAATTGATGTAATCAAACGTCATATAATTTAACTACATCTTATAAAGTACAATCATTCAATACGATAATGAAGATATTTAGTTAATTGTTATTTAAATATTGTAATCAATTGTTACAGGAAAACATCTGGTGCTAGTAACTGATCCTGAGATCGTGGAAGATGCTTATGCCTTTGATAATCCTTGTTTCAAAGATGCAACTCCTGCGAGTGGTCAGAATATGGATCGACCTCTGTCGATAGTCTCTGTTGAAACACCAAAGTCCAAAGATTACAGCAAGTGGTCATCACCATGGTCATCTTTAGGACTTGGTACTGGCAATAAATTGGATAAAAGACGAACTCTAGATGATTCCTGTCTCGGAGTAAGTATTATGTTTTCTATTTTTCTCTTAAAGAAAAGAATTTTTTGTTAAGTTTATTTGTTTAAAATTTAACTGGTGAATGGTAGTATAATTAATGCATCTACTTGGTTTTCAGCCAAATGCCACTCGAGTTAGTGTAATCAGCCTAAGGAGTCGCGATTTCACAGGATTGGGTTTCAATGTATGTGGAAACATGAGAGAAGGTATCTTTGTTAAAGACTTACTTCATCGTGGTCCCGCCTCAGAATCCGGTCGGATTCATCCAGGTCAGTATCTCGTGCCTGTTTTAGTCATTGATTATCTCCAAGGTTTCTCGCTATGTTTGTGTTTCATTGCATGCGGTGAAATCGTTGATATAACTAAACACGACGCGTGTTTATAAGCCATTTAGGCATAGATATATCGGGCGATGTAATTGGAGTGAATCATTAAGACACGCACTAAGATGTCTCTATAAATGCAAGAAAGTTAATTTTATATTTTTCAATTTCAGGTGACCGGATAACAAGTGTTAAAATTAGTTTTCGGAGTATGGTTTATGAAGATGCTTTAACCATTCTCAGCTATGCATCGCCATATGATGTAGAGCTGGAAGTAGAAAGTGGTGGTTCTAGCTCTCGACCTACTACTCTGTTAAAGAAAACTGTAGGACCAAGCCCATCAAGAATTTGCCATCCACATTATAGAAGCCAGTCTATTCCTGAACTATCTCGAGTCGACAAAAGTTTAGCCAAGAGACTTTTTATTGCTGACCCTAATGACTCTTTCAGCTCTAATTATTCTACTATGAATTCAACTCTAAAATCCTCCAAATCAACTCCTGGCAGTCATACGCTTGAACGACGACACGAAGAGTCCAAAGCTAATAACCATCATTACAAGTTTGGTATTAAAGTATTGCCTGCACTCGATGGTACTGTATATCGCATTGAAAATCAAAACGAACACAACACAAACCTCGAACGACACAGTTCCAGAAAAATGGATATTCATAAAAATCATATCAATTCTAAGAATGTTGGTGTAATTCAACCGACGTCAATTAGTGACAGTAAAAATAATGTAGAACGTCTTCAACAACGCGAAAATCCAAGAAGTGAAATTGGAGCTGATGCGACTGATAGTAAATCAGACCACGATAAAAAGTTGAAAGTAGAGGACGGAATTATACCATCAGAAGTTCCAGCAGAAGTACATAATGCAGCAATAGCAGCAAGGAAGAATAGAAAAAATAGTGCAGAGTTGCTGAAATCGCCTAAATTAAATGAACACACTGAGATGGAGGATAAAAAGAGTCCACAGAAAGGCAAACGAAAAGCACCTGCACCCCCTGACTCACCTATGAAAGATAATGAAGTTGGAGTAAAGAAAGAAACATCTTTATCATCAAAAAATGAGAAAGATGATACTGACGATAAAATTGAAAGCATTACAGATTATACAGAATCATTGAATGACTATGTAGGAAAGGTAAGGGAAATTACGAATGAATCTCAAGTAAGACGATCCAGATTGAATGAACGGCCAACTGACCGAAGAAATTCTGAGTCTGATACAGATAATGAAATGCAGCATAGTTTTACAACGATAGAACTTAATCCTGCTGATATTACAATTCATCACACTCCTGTACCCCACGTAGGAGATCATGTGGATGATGATGAAGCAGATGATGGCTATAGAAAAGCTGCAAGTCTTGGAGATTTATCTAAATATGAAGCTAAAAGTTCAGCAACTTTAGAGCGAGCTCAAAGTTTAGATATGTCTGTAGACACAGTGTCGAGAAAACGAAAAACACCTCTTCCAGAAGACATCATGGAGTCAACAGAAGATTTAACAAAGCTTGATGACATGAATACTTTTGACAGACGAAAGCTAAAAAAATCTAGTGAATGGGGAACGCTAGAGGATGCTATTTGGAATAAAATTGAAGCTGATGATGTTGAAATAAAACCGAAAATACGAAAAAAAAGTAGTGGAACTCTTGAACGATCAAAATCAGCTGTGGAAATTAAGATGAAAGAAGATTTATCTTCAACCATACAAACTACCGATAGAAATAGTGATTGCAGTATTGAATTGTATAATTTACCGTTAAGTAAACGGCTTACTAGAGACTTTATTCACGCAGAAAGATCTTTTAATCCAGATGAAGATAATTCGCTGGCTAGAATTGTAAATAATGGTGAAGTTGTGAAAAATCCGTCTTTGACAGAAATAGAATTGGATTTTAAACAGGCAAAACCTCTTACAGATGATGAGGATCAAGTTATTGATAAAACAAATGATTCACCGGTAATTAATGAATCATTTGACAAAGCGCTAAGGTTTTTTGATCTTCATACAAATAAATCCACAAAAGATATTCAAATAAATCATAATGAAAATTTAAATGGTGATAATATTAACAGTATATCTATGTATGCAGGAATGAAAGAAGTTCACGAAGAACCAATGAAAAAAGTTATAATTAATAAAAAATGTCCTGGCTGTGATCAAAATGGTCATCATAACAAAAGTTGTTCTGTTCATAGTCGATTAACGTCAGTTGATTCAGATTTTTCTGAACCAAAAACTTTCCCAAACACTGACAATCAAGTTGACAAAGTTTCAAGTTCTCGAACAAATTTTACTGCAGAAAATGAGGAAGAGGAAGATGTAGATGATGGGTGCGATCTTGGTTCAAGTGTCACAGTCAACAGCAAAAGTCAATTTTCTCCTAATGGAGATCGTCACAATGTAAGTAATGTCAGTGTGTCAAGCGGAGAAAATAGTGAAGATAGTGGGCTTGTAGGAGAATCTGGTGAATTTAGTCAAAGAGAAATAGATGTAAAGCCAGTACTTTCTAATTCATCACCCATTATTCAAGATTCTCCGAGAAAAATGACTTACATCACAGAGATAAAAGTTTCACCAAACAGAGAGATAATACAGGAATCATCGGAAATTGAGATTAATCGTGAACAAGCAAAACCTTTTAGCAAAAATGAAGTTACAGTGACTCCAAATGGTAAATCTGTACCTGGAAAAAAGCCACCAGTTCCTCCACGAAGAGGTGATGCTTCTAAAGCGCATAAAGAACATTCCATTGACAAACAAGCAATTTATGTATCAGAATTTAAAACTCCAGAGAAAGGAAAACTAGAATCGTCAGAGAATAATTCAACTATTAATAAAAAATTTGATCATTGGATGTACTTAGGGGATAGTAAAGATCAAAATCCTTGGGGTAATGGCTCTAGTCAACCTCAATCAGTTACAAATATTGTAGTGGCATCCAGTGAAGAAAAAGCACATCATAAATAGCCAGATATTAAATTGCTTTAAAAATGCAGTTTATTTTTTTTGTTAAAGACTGTTAATAATTGAATTATGGACGTATTTTCAATCATTTTAATTGTATTAACTATTGAATATGATGCCAGATATACGCACATTGAAAATAAATTATGTGGTACTGATTAATCACGTAGACATGAGATAATTATTAATGTTTTTATTTCGCAACAGTTAAAGAGTTGATAATGTTATTTTGAATAAAAAATTGCAGTTGTTAATGGATAGATAAGAAATATTTATTTACATAAGTATGAAAAAGCTGTGTGCCATAAAAACAGTTTTGACTTGGCAATCGCTTTGAACAATTGAATATTTAGTTTGGTAAAGAATCGTTACACAAAGTCAACAGTATTGTCTTAAGTAACTGCTCATGAATATTCGTAGGTATCAATTCATTTTGAACATTTATTTATAATTATATAAACACAAACATTGATCAAATTTTTTCCCTCACATTAATTTATTTCTGTCGAATAAATATCGTATTGCAGTATATAAATAGTAATATTAATTATTATGATTATTGTTATCAATGATTTAAATCAATCGTAATCAGAAATTTACAATTATATGTTTTTCCTATTATTTAAGTGTTGGTATCGCAGAAATATATTTTTTTATTGGGCTGATATTAATTTACGTTAATATTTCATGTACTTCTGATCATTAAATAATTGTATATAACTTTTAGACTGTATAAATTGCTTAGATAAAAATTAGTATTTACTTACGAATGATTGAGAGATAAATAATAATTAATAGAGCATTTAGAATAATTAATTTTTGTAATAAGATCTTTGAAGTAAATGAAAATTTACATCAATGATTATTAAGTTACTAAATCAAAATATATATGATATATTGAAAATAGTTTTTGTTAATAATAATCGATTGTTAATAAATAAAGTTACTTATAGTAGACATTGTATATTTCTTGTAATGTGGTGAATAGTTGTTACATTGTAATTAACTATCATTTATATAACAAAAAATAAATTTTATCCTTATTATTTTTAAGCAGTATGGTATTTTTATATTCTCTTGTTATTTTGTTAAGCTAAAACTCATATTATTAATTGAGTGACTGATTAAATATTTGAGTTAATAATATCATCAGAATATTTTCAATAATATACAGACATTCTCTTTTTTCCATTTGAATGAAAAATTTCCGCAATTACTTTATGACTAACAGCCATTTATATCAAATTTTTTGTTATTAATTTAAGTTTATATTTACAAATAAAAAATATTTAAAAATAAAAAACATTTTATTATACACGACAACAAAAGTTTATGTAGCAGATTGTTTGTAATTCTTTGTACTCATGAGCTTTTTACCACACATAGCACAGATGGCTTTTTTGTAGGCACAGGCTTGACAATAATGCGATCCAACTTGATGAACTTTTTGTCGGCATATTTTGCAGGTCTCAAATTTTGCCGTATATGGGTTGAATCGTGCTTTACTAGCAGACAAAGCCTTGTTTTCTCCAACTTTGCGACCTCCACTTTCTACTGTGTTCCGAGCTCCTGATTTCCAAGGATCTGGCGTAATTACACGGCCTAGTTTTTTCTCACACTTCTCGCACACCATTTTCAATTATCTGAAAGTACAATACTGTTACTATTCATTTCATATGATAATAATTAAAAATAAACTTTTTAACCTAGAAGATTGAATAAATATAATTTATTCAAGTACTTCAAGAAATTGTTTACGTTGAAATAATAATGAATATGCAGGTAGTTGAATAAATATATGTTTAATTATATAAATACCTTAAAGTTTTAATTAAATATTAATAATATTTATTCTTTAATGAACAAAAATATTATATTTATTTATTTTTAGAAGTTGACAGTGTTTACATTCCGAGGTTATGGATAAACGTCATTGCCAAAGCCCTCTGTCGGCATGAATTGAACTTCTAGAAATATCAATGAGCGCCATCTTCATGAAAATTTTTTAATTTCAACGAGAAAAATGTAATGCAACTAAAGAAAAGATGGATAACTACTTTACCATTCTTAATTTTTTTTCTTTCTCTCTCTGTCTATTCCTTTATATATAGCTTTGAAAAAACACCACACGGCAGAATTACAATCGTACTGCGATGGTGAACGGAGTTATTTTGTTGTGGTCGAAAATAAAAATTGATCGCAGATGTTAGGAAAGCTTTAATATCTTGTTTGGAACGATTGAGGTTAGTGTGTAATTAGAATTGTGAGAGATAGTGATGAAAAAATAGGTGTTTATTGCAAATTAAGGTCAAAAAAAGTAATAACATAACAAAAATTAAGTCAGGGCGACTTTCGCTCAGAGGGTAGCTTACAGTATGCTTAAAGTTTGCGATATTGGATTATTATGGCTGCGGGTGAGGCTGCCACAACAAAGCCTCGTCAAGAGAAACAATACGACTATCTTTTGAAATTTCTTCTGGTTGGAGATAGTGACGTTGGAAAGCAAGAAATATTAAGCGGCCTCGACGACGGTTCCTCTGAGTCTCCGTTCTGCGGTGGTATATACACACACACATGTATTTATTTCATTGTTGCTCTTTTACCTTGACATGTTCCTTTATTCTTACATACATAGTTCTCACGATATCTTTGTTATTTTAGTATTTACATATTTTGTTCTCACAGTAATAATATTCACTTTTTTATAGCTTATAAAACTACTACAATTCTACTTGATGGAAAAAGAGTAAAATTACAACTTTGGGATACGTCAGGACAAGGTCGTTTCTGTACGATAATCAGATCGTACTCAAGAGGAGCACAAGGAGTTTTATTAGTCTATGATATTACTAATAAATGGTCATTTGATGGCATTGACAGATGGCTAAAAGAAGTAGAAGAGGTAAAAATGAGTTGGAAGTAATGAAAATGAAAGTATGAAAATTTATTAATCATTACTTTGTTCGATAGCATGCTCCAGGTGTTCCAAAAGTATTGGTTGGTAATCGACTTCACCTGGCTTTTAAGCGACAAGTTGGAGAACGAGATGCAGAGGCATATGCTGCCAAGAATCATATGGCATTTTTTGAGGTATCACCTCTTTGTGATTTTAATATAAGGGAAAGTTTTTCTGAATTATCGCGTATGGCATTGCATCGAAATGGAATGGAAAGATTATGGAGATCAAATAAAGTTCTTAGCTTACAAGAATTGGCATGTCGTGCAATCGTAGCACGAACAACAGTTTATGAAATAGATCAATTACCATTGCCAATTTCCATCAAGTCACATTTGAAATCCTACGCAATGACAACAACTTCGCAGCTTCGTTATAACGGGAATAGATCTCTAAATTCAAGCAAAAGTCTTGGATCTCATCATCGAAAGTTGCGGTTCGTCGGAGCGGGTCACAATGGACTGACGACACCAGGCAATTCACCTGGCAGCATTTCTGACTCGCGTTCTAGTTGCGCTGGTCGTAATTCTTGCGCAATATCCTGAGGGTAAAATTTTGCCGACACTCGGTTTTATACTTCTACTAAGAGACATCAACGTTCTTCCGTTTGTGGTTTAATTAATCAAGCTAACTAAACAATATAATGATTGTGAAGCGTAGACGTTTCACAATTATTCGTTTGATTAATTCACATGATATATACAAGTAGACGATAATTTTGAATCAATTGAATGTTATATTTTTGAAACTTAGATAAAGAAAATCTACAGTTCATAGAGCATTTGATTTATTCAAAATATATAAATGAATTTGATATATATCTTAGAATTTGTATAAAATAATCGTTCATTAAGTTATTGCAAAAATATTGAGATTTACTTTTGATAATTAAATAAGTCAAATAATAATCCAGAAATAAAAGTAAATTTTTTTATTTTTGGTGATTAAAAAGTGACAACTTAAATGAATAAAATATTTAAAAAAAAAAAAAATAATTAAATTAGATAAATTTATATCAATTTTTGCAATAATTTGAGTAAATTATTATATGTAAAATTTTACAAACGGGATTACAAATAATGATTCAATTATTTTGTTGGCAGTTATTAATAATTAAGTAATTTACGATGATAAATTAATTTATAATACTTTCATGCCTGCAATGCGGAAAAATAGAATGTGATGTTCAGATTCGTCCGTTTTTAAATTATTGCATGAAACCGTAAAAATGTTAATTTATCATTTCAAGATAAATTGTAGACTTCATTAAATTATATTATATGTACATACATTACTAATATTAATATGACAAATATTTTAATGTTAATGTTTGCAATTTGTTAATGGATAGAGAAATGCGTAACGCTGCTTAGAAATTATAAGACATTATAATACAAAACACTAAGCAATCAATGCACTTCTCTATTAACTAGTCTTTTGAATAATCTGATAATAAACCAGGCTCTAAATTAACAATACAAATAACAAAAATGAGTGATAATCCAAAGTCATGAATATGCGTACTGTAGTAACTATAAACTAAAATCATTAGATTGTTGCAAATATTTTTACAAGTTCCATTTTTATGCTCGATATTTACTTAAATCACTATTTTAATGGAGTTTTGTACCACACATTTATTAACAAATGTTACTAATTTAAGAAAATTATATAAAGAAAAAAAGAATTTCAATTTATAAATTTACTTGCAACAACTTAATGTTGAAATAAAAATTTCAATCCTGCAGGTTCAAATTCAGGAAAATTTCGTTTAGTTTAATTCTATCAATTTTTTCTTCAATTTTCTGTTCTGAATGGCATGCAATTATCTAATATAAGAGGTTTATTCGTCTTAAATTGAAGCAAAAATGAAGGTAATATACAGAAAGTTAAAGCGGTTAGAACTTAGACACCGTCCTTATATTCATTTAACTCATGTTCTTATATTTTTTTATTTTTTTTTACTACATAAACCAAAATGTTTCTATAACTCAATGTACATAAAGTTATCTATCAGATAGAGATTTTTCTTTTACAAATGTTTTAAATATTCAATTTACAAGAGCATTTACGACATGAGTAATAATTGACTTCCATATTAATATAAATAATGTGTGAGACTAGTAATTTTCACTTTCACCTGTCATTCTCTCAGATCATAAATAGCCCACAGAAGAAAATGATTACTTGATCTTCTTTGATGGACACAAATCAATCTCAGAGTATGATTGTGCCATGAAAAACAAATTATATTCCGTCTTTTACTGGAAAAAATGTTGCTTAATACAGCCAGAAGATTCTCTACCGACAATATGATTAAATGAATTCAAATTGTCGAGATTTATTTTTTAAATATTTATCGACGTATCAAATAAATAAATGAATAGACACGCAGTAGAATTTTATGAGAACAAAAATTAATGACTGAAAAATTAGCAATATTCTTTATAAATTAATTTGGTGTGTAAATATTATTGAAATTGTTACATCTTGACATTCCATTTACACAGCCAGATGTAAAATAAAAATTAAAAAGCCAATTATAATATTGAGATAATTCACTACTGCGTATCAGATATTATGTGGGATATGAAAAATACGGTTAAAGCTGAACATATTTTTGTACACCATGTATAAAGTATGTTAGGAAATTGCCATTTATCATTCAATCAGTCTTTTCTCCGTACATCTGCCGTTGAATGAAAAATAAAAAATTTAATGATAAATAAGAATAACAGGGAACTCATGATATAAATTAACATATTTTAACCACAAAGAAAAACCTCGTAAACATTATAAAAAGAAAATGTTATAAATTTCTACATGTCATGTTACTTACACCAAATTAATGATAAAATGTATCATATAATATACATGTAATATTTATTTATCTATAATTACATCTTGCTATACTTGTAATAACAAATAATACAATATTGAAATTTGCAATTTATGGTCTCTGTTTTATTACACGATTGTATTTTATTTTTTCGTCTTTTTTTATGTTTGCCACCAAATATAAATATTTATTGGCATACGTTTTATCTTTTTAATTATTTTCAGAGTTAAATTTTTTAACAAATAATGTTTCTAAGAAATCAAAAGTCAAGTAAAAATAACCATACCTCTTCTACTAGTAACGTTGATCCAATTCCACAGTCCTTAAAAGAAGTGATAGGATTGATGGACTCGATAAATAAAAACCTTGAAGATTGTGCTATGGAATGGCAATCAAAAGTTTCAAAACAGCAATGGAAAATGTTAAATACCGAATTTGGAGGTGAAAAGTCTCGAGACTTATCTCTGTTATCTAGAACTTATTTTGCTGATGAAACTCTAGATGATGCTTTCCATAAACTTCTAGCCTATGTTAGAACTTTCATGGAATATTTAAATAGTTTTACAGGTATAATATATTCATGATGATATTTTTTATTGACTCACTAATGATTAATTATTTTTGACAGCTCTTTTACAAGGTGAACGTTCGATATCTATTCCTGGAGATAAAAAAGATGTTGGAATTCAAAATTCTGACCACCTACTTTCTGACGCTAATGAGATTTCGAAAGAACCCGTAGTAGCTCCATTAGACCTTTCAATACTGGATAAAAGTTCAAATCTTTCAGAAACTCGAAGAAGAAGTAAAAGACTTGCTGAAATTTCAGCTTCTAATGTTCAACAATGCTTTGCTGATTTAATAAAAGCAAAGATTGAACTTGATACTAAATTTTTGGGTTTCGAAGCAGTTCTGAATGGTGATTCTGACAATTTATCTCCTCCAACAGAAGAAGTTTATTGCCTTTGTCAAATTTGCTCTAATGTTTTAGTAAGAGATTGAAAGAATTATTATTTTTATAGTTATTAGTATAGTTAAATGATTAGTGGTGTTAATAGTTATTTCAACATTTAGGGAACAGTCATAGAAAATCAGAAAGTATTGAATGATGCAATGTCAAAACCAAAGATGCGAAGAACAACTACGCCAAGCCCTAAGAAGCTTGGAAGATCATCGGCAAGACTGTGGAAAAAGAATGAGCGCAGAAAGCAGTCTGTATCTTTAGTGAATATGACAGATGAATCAATGATTAGCCCAAAGAATATGAAAAATGTATGAAAATCATTGTCAGTAAAAGCATGTTTCTTAGGTTTAAAAATTAATCGAAAGGTAGATCCTTAATAAACAAACATATTTACTTTTGGAAATATTTTATAAACATCTCTTGAGTTAATCGTAGCAGCACAATTAATGGTTTTGTTACAATAAAATATGAAATATATAGATTTTTGTTATTATTAAACATAAATAAATTTTTAGTGAATTGTACAGCAACTCGGATATCAGATATGAATTAAAGTATTTCTCAGATCTTATGTAAATCTCATTTAATGAAAAGGAAGATCATTGAAATAACCAGTCAACCGATTGCATTAGCGTTCTACAACGATTATTAAGACTAGAAATAATGTACATTACTCACAATATATCACATATCAGCTATAATACGCAAAATGTTACCACAATGGGTGACAAACAGCTTGAGATTTTTTAAAGTACTTTATTATTTTATTCAGGGGCCATCTGAGTATCACAATAATTGCTGTATTTTGCAATTTCTTTGTTTACCTACGCTGTGTTGTCAATTAATTTAATGGCAACAAAACTAAATATGCGTAGATCATAAATATACTAGATAAAAATTCTGATATTTCTCATAATTATGTGAACATCCATATTTAATAATAATAATAATAATATTATTTATAAATTTTATAAATACGCAATAAAATCGCAAAAATTTTAATTAAATTTCTGATTTAACATCGAGTGCATATTCCTTACGCAAATACATAAATATATCATCTTAATTTTGGCCGACTAATTATTTTTTATATTTAATATAAAAAAATATACTTAAAATGTGACGCAATATAATAAATAATTCGAGTATTGATGATACTATATTTATAAAATATTATGAGATAAAGCTATCATAATCGCACCAATTTACGCTAATGTCGATCGATTTTACAATGTATAAACAAGCAGATCTCATGGTAAAAATAAACATTTAATTTCATTATGCAAAAAGTTGAATACTAAGTATCCCAAAACTAGTTAAAGATATGTATAAAGTAGATTAAATAATAATATTTACTCAAATGATAACAAAAAAATTTATAAATTTATTATAACAAAAGTTTTTACATTTGTCATTTATATAATTGTTTAAAAGCGTTTGATGCTGCGAGGCACTACATTCCTCTTTATTTATAATATCATAATCCTGATATTAGTTTTTTTTTCCTATTACGAAAATATCAGATATATTAGATGATTTGCATCTATTAGTCTTATTAAAATAATTTGTTCACAAATAAATTTTAGAAAAAAATTGTCGTCGTGAAAATATTAAGGCGGTTTAAGCAACCTCAAATATTCGTTCTTGATTATTTTTTTACAAAGTATTCTTAAACGAAAAAACATGGTATACAAATAATATGATTGAAAATAAGTAAAATATTCCGAATGATTAACTAGCTTCTCAAAAATATGTTTGATCAATAAAAAACAGATAAAGAAGATTCTATATTATTATTGTACTTTTTATAGATTAATTATCCTCATTCAGTTTTATTCCGTAAAAAAATTAAAGAACGAATATTTTATTACATATTTTTGTCATTTCTCATTTATTTGTTTACTAATAATTACTGGGCAATATTTTCCTGCTGACTTATTTTGTTACCGCTCAAAGCGCCTTTAAACTGATTTGATAAAAAATGAGATCTGTTTGCTCAATAAAGAAGACAGACAAATAAAAATATTGACGTTGGAGTTTCACATGCTTTCATTTCACCTGAATTCATAAATTTGTATACTGTGCTCTGGAACATGTCTTAAGTTGAGGGATTGATACCTAGAATATTTTATAAGATTATTTTAATTGTCCTTCTATTGTTATCATTAATCATAAGATAAAAATACCAATTATAATACGGCTAATCTTTATCCTAAGATGCTTAAATACTTTAATATAAATCTTTGATTTCTGCATTAAACAATCAGGTATTTTTATCTTATTTTAAGAAAACAATTAAGGTTACCACTCTGAACTTCGATGATAATAATAACCCTCAATAGAGGCAGCAGACTTTTCAAAACAAATATAATAAAACCCGGCAAAAGATGCACCGTTAATATCCTTGATTGTATGATCCGGAACTAAAAAGTGTTCCTTCCATCTCATAAAAACAAAATCAGTTCCTTTTAATGCTTCGTAATCAAAAGTATCAGAATTAAAAGTCTTGGCATATTGGCAAAAGGATTCAAATTTACTCTAAAAGAGAATAAATTTTGATTAATTTGTTACAAATATATAAATATATTATCTTCAAATAATATTTAAAATTAATACCCAATGTTTCTTATCAACGTCTTCGTCAGCATCCCATTTTCTAGTAAGGAATGGATATTTTTTTGATATTATTTCTCCATCAAAGAAAGTCGTAAGTGTTGGAAATTCTTCAGTTAAGCCTTTAATTTTCAGGTATCCACATAAGTAGCTATTTTCTTCATCCACATGCTGTGGAAATAGATATTCACTGATATTATTTCCAATTAAATAATGATAAATTCGTCAATGATCAACCACGCGTTAGTAGATAAAAAATAAACAAAAACTATAATCTAAATTTATCTAAATTGGTTGATTATTTGTGTATCGACAGTAATGATGATAAATATTAAATTATTCTATCTTACCTGTAATACTACTTCAACATCATAACTATTTCCTTTTGATTTTTGTGAACCTTGAAATCTAGATCCATTGTATAGAAGAGATTTAGTAACCCCTGGTTGTTTAGAATTAGCAGGTGGAGGTGGAACAACATCCACTTTAACCGGCATCCTCTTTGGTTCTAGCAAAAACTCTAGACCCTGTTGAGGAGTAAATAAATCCTCATCCCAAATGTTTGATAACAACTGTCAGTGATTTGTGTAGGATTAGTTTGGTACTTTTAAGAATTCTTGAACTCAGGAACGACAAGTCAGGAACGTAAAGAGAACGTTTATAATCTAACCTTTGAAATGCTTACTTGTCCACTGCCACTCCCCGAACACTCAATGTTCAACTTGATGAACGAGAATTCTTCTAGAAAATACTCGAAACTTCAAATTTACGCACAAATAGTACTCCGTCAAACACTGCACTGTTGATTTGACGTCAAAGAAAAGAGTAAAAGGTCGTTGTGTGATGCTGAATAGATACCGGATGTTCGTTTCAGGTATTTTTGCTATAAAAATGGCGGATTTTATACCACACTCCAAAATTTAATTCATTTAATTCTAAAAGTTTTTCACATCAAAAATGTAATTTCTGTTGAATTAAGAAAACAATGGATCAAGAAAATATATTTTTATTCGTTGTAAAATTTTCAGTCGAATTCTTGACAATCGATCGATCTTCGATAAATAAGTTGCAAAAAATGGAACATGTCAGACAAAAGAAAGACACACACAGAGAAACAAATGTATATGGCGCCTACATGTTTTTCTTTATCAACAAATAAAGGAATTCCCATTTGAATTCACCATCTAGTATCATTTTAATCACTTTATGGAAGTGCAAAATTTATTTTATTTTGAGTCTTCAGCTTCATAAGTCTAAAAACAAGATCATTTTACATGTCACTGACTAAATGAATCATTAATTAAAAGGTATTAATTTTCAGTTTATATCAATAAAAAAAATTAATAAAACAATTAACATATGGAGTAATTACTCGACTTTTTCATAGTTCCCGCTTATTTTGACTTCGACTCACACAACTGTTGATAAAAATCTTTATCATTTATTTTAGCTCAAGTTGATAACGCAGTGTCATATCAGAGAGAGCGCTGGATGGCCGTGTTTACAATTGTTAAATTTCAAAAACAGCGAAGTGTGGAAGAAGAGGGAGACAAGGAAATGGATCCGGATTGTCGAGAACTGGTTTGGAGTGGGCTTCTATCGTAGTGCTGTCAGTTGGTTGCGAATGCAGACTTTTCTCTACCAGGCACGAGCAGTTACACGCCGCATGGCAATGGCGTACGACGTACCATTAAATTCTATTCCAGACATTTATTTGTTCCCATACCAAGAGCACGACGTTTGGTTATTAAAGTGTCGAGTGTGGTTATTACACATCAATCATTTGTGTTATACAAACAACTCGATTAATTAAATGTGTGTATTTGAGCGTTAAAGTTATCTTCATTTATATTGTTTTAACGAGAGACTAAAGAGGTGTAATCTAAAGAGAAAATCACAGGTTCAAACCATTATTTTGCAACACGTCAACGTTCAATATGGCGTCAACTGATTTGTCATCTGGTAAACATATATTCGCTTTTATTTCACTAATTATCATATGATACCGTTATTTTTTGGAGTACATTAGTGGCTTGAAGATATAACAATTTTATAAGACATTTGTCATTCCTGCAAATTTATGTATCTAAAAAGTATTTGCTCATCATCTAGTGAAGCTTAATCCAACTTTGCTTCTTGAAAAGTAGTTTATTAAGAAGAAATGTATTTTAAAAAAATTTTCTTTGAACATTTTAAGTTAAAAGAGTAGTTTCACCAAATTTCCATGGTTATATATATATAATGAGTTGAAATATAAAGATAATTATTATAACAAAGTAATCACGCTATTTACTTTTTCATCACGGAGAGTTCGATGCTCAGACATTCTCTTAAATTTAAAACCACAAGAGTTTATTTAAATTATGATTTGAGCTACACAAAGAGATAAATAACTGTTATATATATTAATGATACTTCTTCATTATTTCAGCTTCATTTAATTTACAATTTTTCTTTACAACAATGTACACTCATGGTAGTAATTTATTTTTTTTTTTCAGGATCAATTCCACCTTTCTACCGGGAAGTTCATGAGAAAATTTGTTCACCCACAAGCGGAAATGTCGAGCGTGAAGTTTTTAAATCACTGCTTGTCAAGTCTCAATTAAACAGTGCAATTTTGAGTCAAGTAAATAATTTTTTTTCTATTAGAAAATCAAAAAATCAATTTTCTATCCTTTGAGGAAAATTTTCTCCCCCTAGTATTTTGAAAAAAGAAAGTACAATTTTCCTCAGATAAATATTCGTACGTAATAACATATAATATTGCGTATAACAATCATACATTTTTTTTGAATAGACACTTTATTTAATATTGACTGAATAATCTTATCGATAAAAATTTCTAATCTGTCTTATTCAATCATGTGAAACATTTGATCGTCCATTTTCAATTCATGCCTTACGAGGTTATATAATGATAATCATTAATATTTTATAATCAACTGCAAATTCATGAGATCTTTGTTATTTAATAAAAAAAATACATTCTTTGAATTCAAATAATTCATCAAGAAGATCTAACATTAAATATACTTAATGTTTCAATCATTCAAAAGTGCAATAAATAAGGAAGGAAAAAAAAAGTATCTAAGGGTTATTTTAAGAACAAATAAGATAGTAGAATGGTTTTTATACTTTTTTAAAAGATACTACCAATGATTCACCTGAATTTCGTTTTTTTCGCAATCTACTTTTGTTTTTTTGAATGATCAAAACTTTAGATACGTATCATCAATTATTTATTTTTATATCGAGTTGAAATTTAATTAACGAGTTTTTAAGCAATAAAAAAGAATTTGCATGTAAATTTTTCTATACTTACAACTGTAATAATGATTAGTATATTGAAACGACAGAGTTAGCTTCTTCATCCCTTTCTCTTTTCTCTGCTTATTTTGTCTTTTTCCTTGGATTCCTCCGACATTGTCGTTGATTCAACGAAAGGTAAAGAGGCAATCAAGAGAATCATTTAATGTTCTTTCCTCCTATCTTTTTATCCATCTCTTTATTCTTTTCATCTCTGTTTCTCCATTTGATGGCTATTTATTTCGTTCTTTCTCACTCATATTAACATTCTTGTCCTTGTCAACTGTTCAGACACTTGATCAAGCGATGACTCCTGGGAATTGACTATCCAGACAATATAAAATTATTGTCCTCGCTGGGATCATTTAATCAAGAGAACGCCTCCTGCTTTAATTTTTGTATATAGATAATGTTTAACTTTAACTTGGTGACAAAACAAATATTGGAATAAGAAAATACTTTAAATTACCTACCAGCACAACTTGAAAGTTGTTTTTATATTGTTAAGAAAAGAATAATCCTTTAGATAAACTTAAATTTTTTCTGAAGACAAAATTCTGAAAAATTATTTTATTCAACCAAGCTAAAGATTACTTTATGACTTAACATTAACCAGAAAACATATTATAGAGTGATTCAATCCATTTCTAATCATTAATTATAGACAAAGTAAACGTCAACAATGCATGACGTGACGTTGAAAAAAGAAACAAATTATCCTATTAGAGTTTCCGTAGAAAATATAACAAGTCATTAATCTGATTATGATTCTGCAAATATTTTTACATAATATTTCATTGACATCGTTTAATAAGCTTAAGTTACAAATATATCATTTTGATCATAAATATCATTCAGAAACAGATCTCTTTAATCATGCTCCAATAAAGAAACAAAATTCACATGACACATTTTTTATATTTAATTGATCGATTCGGGTTAGTTACTAAATAATTTCTAATTAATCAAGTAAACTAGAATTGTCGAACATTTTTTTTTATTCTTTTAAGTTTATTGATTAATCAATCGTTGCGGTTTAATGACACTTGATTGAATAAAAAAAAGATCACTAATGGCGAGGGTCTTTTCGAGTCGATTAAATGTAGATAATTTGACAATTATATTGATGATATATTATTTACACTACTGAATGAAACTTATATAAAAAAACTTGAAAATGTTATATTGCAAAATTTGTTTTAATCATCCAATTAAGATAACATGAATAACAAATCATTGCAATACATACATAATATTTTTTTTATACAATTGATTAAAGATACCTTATTTTGAATTGGTTTATTTTCATTTGAATGTAGTTTAAAGTATTTTGTTCCTACCGCATTATAAGTGATAAACCAACTAATGTACATCATATTGAATACGTCACTGTGATATCTCCGGATGCTCAGAGCAGCGTATTACATGATAGTCTAATCATAGGCCACTCACGCAAACATGTATATATAAGTAATCATCGCCAATATTTTCCCAACTCGTTATATTCAAAAGCTTTGTCCTTACAGGTGTTTTTTAACAATAATATTTTTCTTATAATTGTTAATATATTTTTTTTTGTTTCATTAACAGATATGGGAATTAGTGGACAGTAAAACCGGATATCTAAGCAGAAGTGGGCTATACAAAGGTCTTGCACTTGTTGCATTTGCTCAACAGGGCAAACAACCAAGTGACAAACTATTAGAAAATGCAGAATCTCAAGGTTTATAATTTTTTTATTGAATAATTATATAATTAATCATATCTATGATAATTTCATTGATTTTATTAATTACTATAATATAAACATGATGATGATGAAGTGTGAATTAAAAAATTATAATTTTAATTTTATTAATTGATATTTAGAATTACCAGTACCAGTTCTTGGTGATTTATCAGAAGTAACACTTCTTGCTCAAAGATTGTACAAAGGAAATGGCCCATCAAAGTTGAATATGACGTATTCGGAAATATGTAAGTTAGATACTATAGAAGTAAATTTAGTGCCTGAAAGAAAAGGAATATTTTTAAAACATGTAGAATATCAAGTAACAAGTAAGGTAAATATTTTTTTTATTATTTAAATACATTTATTATTTTCTAAATAAATTGATTAATCTCAATTATATTTTCTAGGCTTTTAATTCACTAGTTCATAGGAGATACAATGATTTTGTTGCCCTCCATGAATTACTTCTTCAAAGATTTCCTTATCGATTAATACCAAAACTACCACCTAAAAAAATGGTTGGAGGTAGAATAAAATAATTTTACAGACTAGTTCATTTAATTCAATTTATAAAACACTAACATATTCATATTATGTTAAAGCTGATTCACAATTCCTAGAAGAGAGAAGACGTTCTTTGTTGCGGTTTCTTACTTTAATAGCTCGTCATCCGGTTGTGAGAAATGACCCGATTGTACACTTTTTTTTCACATATACTGGAGAAGAGACCCAGTATAAAATTCGTGAGGTATTTAGACGTGTTCCAGATGAATTTGCAACGTCTGAATTATCGTCACGAGCAAAAGAACTTGTACCACCTGAAACATTGACAGAGTTTGCTAATAGTCGAGATCAAATTAGAATGATACTTTATGGAATATCAAGGCTAAAAAATATTGCTGATTGTTTAGCCTTACGATCACATTCTTATGCTGCTGACATGGCTGAATTAGGAACACAATTAAGTAATTTAGCGTCTGAACCTCATGGAAATAATGGTTGGGCTAGTGGGGGTTCTACCATTTGGCAAGATATGAAGAAAGGTTTCAGAATAATTTCTAAGTAAGAATTATTTCTATAATTGTTTATTTTATGAAAACAAAATTGAATGTAATTAATTTTTTAACTATTCTCTTAAAGGGAATTCAACCTACTGTCAGCGCGAGCATTACAACAAGCAGTCAGAGAAGAAACAATGGTCTGTGAGAGGTTAAACTTTCTCCTTGATGTATTAGTAGCTCACAGAACTCTTTGTGAAAGACATGAACGAGGAGTAAGCGCTGACCATCAGCGAGCTCTGTCAACTATGCTTGCTTTGAAAAAAAAACAGATGCAAGGAGTTATTCGTGGTACAGATGTAAGCATTTTTTTCATTTAATCATTAGTTGGAGGAAGTTTGGATTGGAAAAAATAAATCTTTTTACAGGCTGATACAGTAGAGTATCTGGAGAATAAAATGGTGGCTCAAGAGTCTGTGATTGCAAATGTAGAGCTGAGGAATTTATTTTCTTTGCATTGTCTTCATATGGAAACACAACTTGTTCATGCTCATCTTGAAATTCTTGCCACAGTTTTACAAAGCTTAGTTAAGGTTCAAATTCGTGGTCATTCTGAGGTAAAATCATATCTATAAACTAGTTCAAATTATAAATCAAGCCTGTTTATTAATAAAAAAAATCAAATTTTTGCAGTTAGCTGAAGTATGGCAAATGATTGAACCAACAATAATGAAATGTTTACCTGAAAAATCAGTGATAGATACAAATGGAACAACGAATCGAGAAGATAAAATTGTTATATGATATATTTTGAATTATAAATACAGATATTTTATTAGTTTTTTACAAGATCTGCATTTATTTAAAAAAAAAATGAATATTTTCATACGTTTGTGATAGTGCAATAATGAAATTTTTACAAATTTGAAATTTTATAGAAAAAAATAATTTTTCGACATCATTTGAATTGATGATGAACATCAGAATTAGCTTTATAATATTTAAATCGTACTTAATACTATTTTATTGATATTATATTTTTAAAGAATGAAATTTTACTGAAATGTATATATTTTTTCAAAGATGTATATAACTGTTAAATTTGTACACATTTGATTGTTAATGTACTCGTCATAGAATAATTACTGCTACTGGAATTGTTATAAAATTTTTACAATAAACATTAATAAAGATCTTTTTATTCGAATAAATATAAATCTATTAATTGTTATTTACTTTTGACTTATTAAATGTCATTTCAATCATAAAATATGTATTTCATTGAAAAAAAAAAACGTAGAAGAGGAAACTACGTTGTAATTCGAATTTTCGCGGTAATTTTTATACTATATGGTTGCTAGGTGGTGTTAACGGTTTGTTTTAATTTACCTTCTGAGTTACCATACTTGAATTTCAGGTTTTTATTTATGCTGATCAGTAGTGGGGAAACAGTTGTAGGAATGGTTTGGTGGTTAAATTGTGTTGCGTTGTGAGTAGTGTACCCAAAGAAAACCTTATTTTGTTGCAGAAGCGATAATATTCGCATTGCTTTATGTTTTGTTAATGATAAAGTGTAGTGAGTTGATGTAAGTGGCTTCAATGCGCAAAGATAATTTACGGTTAAAAGAAGAGAGACATGAAAAATTGGTCTGTAATGGCCGCGACCTGACCTTCATTGGACTGGTCTGAGGAAGTCGATTGCCCGATCGGTCGTGCGTGTTTCTGGTGGAGGAGAAACCTCGTGGTTTCTCCTTTTACTTTCGTTATAATCATACGATTTCCTAAACGATTAAAAATTGTGTGGGTTGTATGTGAAGCGAAATAAAATATAAATAAAAGTAAAGTGTATCTCGGTGTACATACCCCGATCTTTAAGACGGAGTCATGAATGACGACAGAAGTGAGGAGGATCCCATAATGGATCTCTGGTACAGCAACTGGGAACAGCAGTGTATTGAAGCTATTGAATCAGAACCAGATTATGAGAGTCAATTGCACAATGAGAAGGAAATCTACTCGCAACAGATATGGACGGGTTTTCAGACTACAGCATCGGCCATTGCTCAACTGTACAAAGGCGAGAAGAAGAACTTGTACATTTTTTTTTGTCTCTCCCCCATGCACGCCATAAACGGCTCTCGACCGTCTATGGATCGTCCTCGTCTTCGTCCTCGCTTGTAGTTGTCGTTCATATATTTTTTTTTTTATCTCTCTTTTGCTTCATTAATGCAAAATGTGTATTCGTAACTCTGCCATTTTATTCGACATCCATTTTGTGGACATAATATTATTTTAATTTTAAATACCAATATGTTAAAGAGAGGACGCACGCGAGGATTACACATACGTTTGAAGTGCATTCCATAGAGCTTGAGTAATTAAAAAATTCTTAATGGGCTTTAAATCTTTTTTTAGATCGTACACAAGGAGCATCACTGTGGTTGCCCTTCCAAACAGCCGCAGGAACCGTCACGTCTCTTTATAAAGGTGCGTCAGTGATTGTTTATTATCGACTCAATTTATCGTTCCTTTTTACCTATTTTGTGTTTTTTCCCTACCCTCAGTCCCAACGAAATAGATACATTTTGTATACTGTTTTTTGTGCTACATTTCCACTACGTCATATTCAAAAGTCTCTGTGTGACGTAGTTCCAAAGATCAGCTGCTATATTACAATTAAAAACCTCATTATTTATGTGACGCAAAAGCCCATAATGATAAAAAATTGGGAAATAAGTCAATTAAGATATTTTCCTTACATGAACTGATAAATGACATTATGAAATTTCTATTGATTTATTGTTTTCTTAACAGGCTCACTCGAAGGTATGAGAAGATGTAGTGAATTAGGGTTAGAAATGGGAAGACAAAAACGTAGTAAAGAAATAATGAACTGGGCTCGTAAAAAGCGACGTATGATTCGAAGAGAAGATCTCTTAGCTTATTTAGCTGGAAAGCCACCACCACCTCGACCACACACTCATAGGTAACTACTTAATTATTGTTCAAGATTATAATCATTTATATTAACTTAATCAACATAAATTGTTGAATAATTTGAGTTAACTATTTTAAACAATCAATATAATAAAATTAATCATAAGTTTATTCATTAGCATACAATAAGTATTGTAAGTTCGATTTAGTAAATGTTATTTATTTAATTAATATTTATAGAAGTTCTCCTAAACCAAGAACGATGGTTTGTGGTTCACCTCCAACTCAAAGTAATGCGGGAAATATGGTTGTATCACCAGCACCAGAGCCAATAGATGATCAAGATACTAATCTCCACACCTTCAGGGAAGCTATTGCCTTATCTGGTAAATTTAACTTTTGTTTTGTAATTTTAATTTTGTTCGATCTGTTTTATCATCTCCGTTTATTTAATTTACTAATTAAGCGGTGTTAAAGATAAACATTAAATATTAGACCTAAGTTAGATATAATCTAATATAGTATTATAAAAGAAAGGTATTTCGATATGGAAAAAATTGCAGGATCACCAATGTCACGACGTACTGGGAGACAATCTGAATTGTCGGCGTTTATAAGCAGCGAATTTGCACGACATCATAAACGACCGGCTTCGCATGATGTAGACATGGGTTCTCCCACGCACAAGCGTTCACGCTTCATGTAACGAATCGCGTCGTTGTAAAATAGCCTTCGACCTCTCCATGTATTCTACTAAATCAAGTTAACGATAAAATATTTTTTTTGGCTCAAATACGGTCCCTTCTTTCATCGTCATATGTCACTTTGTTATGCGATGATAGCTGTATGCTAGTAAAATGTACATTACTTGCAACGCACTGTGCCTCGTTTCGCTTCTGGGTCTCAAGGTCGATAGAAAAATGCGAGAGCCATTCAGACTGCCGGGTTTGCATTAACGATGCAACTTTGATGTAAAGATTTTACCTTGGATCAATTTAAACATGTATTTGTTTATTTTTTAAATATTTATTTTGAATTAAATATCTCTTCTGAGAGATATCAAACGCTAGTGATCACAAAAAGTTATATTTATTGTGTACAACTCTTTAAACATCTCATTTGTAGATACGATGAAGGGCAGTCAAGTTTTTTTTAAACTCGTATTCTTATCGATTGAGACCCTAAGAATAATGCTTCGGAGACGAACGAGTATTATTGTTCGGTTGTAAATATAACGCTTAAATGATAAAAAACTGAAAATTGAAGCAAAAAAATTATGAAATAATTAGTTATCAAATAAACTCGTACTACATAATAATTTTAATGATATAGTAATATTAATTATTAATTAATAATTCATGATTATTGATAATATTGATTACCAGTGATTAATTTTCAATAACTTTATTCTTCGATAGTTATCGCAAAATTTCGATATCAAATTCTCCTGAATATATAAATTGTATATCTAAAGAAATTTTTAGTTTTTTTATTTATGTAATATACATCTATATAAAAGAATATGATTCTATACTTATAGATTAGTGATCATAATCACAATAGAATTTGATATTACAGACGATATTATGTAAAATTCAGGTACTATTATCAATTTTGTTTTTGGAGAAGAAAAATTAATGAAATTAAATATCGTCACATTAGGGATATTAAAAAATAGTCATCAATTTTATTGAAATGTTGATCTTGATTATTAAATTATTAACTTGATAAAATTTTTTATTATATTATGTATTAATAAGTAAGTAAATAGACAAACGACTTCTCTCGTTCACGTTGAATAAAAAAATGGCAAACATCTCAACGTTAACGCGAGCTTACGTGTGCAATAACATGTGAGACTCGTTCTCCTACGGGTATTCTGTTTCAGAATTGTACCCGACATGCGTTTGCTGAATAATAAATAAATAACATCTGAAAATGAATTTTATTCAAAATCAAAAATGTTATTGGTAACATTTAAGAATACGAACCAAATCATGCATCAAGATAATAAAAAGAAATTGATAAAATACAGATACGATGTAGGAGAAGAAAAGCGTGAAAGACACGTTATGGTGCTCTTATTTTTCTTCTTTTTCATCCCTGTATTCTAAATAATTGTGTATTTTTTGTGAAATATTTGAGTGAATGAACGATCGAATTGAGAAAAATGATTAACAATCGAATAATTAATTAATCATTAATACATAAGAGAATTTGTAATGTGTAAAACAAAACATTTATTACAGTTACACTTGTAAAAATATTCATCAAATTCTCTTATAATAATAGTTATAAATAAATAACAATGCGTTTTTTTTTTTAATTTCATCAAATTTGTTTCTATAAAATTGATGTATACAAATTGAAAATTTATAAATATCAAAACAAAATGAATTTCAGTGAATTTAAATAATTAGCACCTTTTATTATGAATAATATTCTCATAATTTACTGTCTTTTATTATGTTTTCTGGCGTATTTAACGCTGCTTTTCTGTTGGCTATTGCATTTGTAAGTTTTCGTTTTGGACCGAGGGGAAGTTTTAGTGCAGCAATATCACTTTCTGTCAATAACATCAATGCTTCCAAATCAATTTGTTCAGCTTCTAGAATTGATTGAATTGACGTAAGATTGTTTGCTACTAAAAATCGTTGTAGTGGACTCCACTCTTCATCAGTTTCATCTGTATCATCTGAAATTGAACAAATACCACAATAAATTCTTTATTTTTCATAAATAAATTTTTAAAAATATGTATATTTTTTTGTTGGTTAATTTATTTAATAAATCAGATTTTTAACATGTAAAGGGTTTTCAATTGTTTTCTTTAAATAACTTTTTCCATACGTCAGTAGTACTGGTATGTGATTGTAATAAAATAAATATTTACCGGATAATTGATCATCATCCCACATGCTTTGTCTCCTAGCTAAACTCCCTGCACTTCCAATGCTTATTTCTTCATTGTTATGACCATTCACAACATTTTTACGCTCGTTCATTGCACTGTCGAGTGAATCATTGACATACGTTTGTCGTTGATGATCTGGTTGCGTGATTGGAAGATTATCAAGTGTCGCTGTTATCTGTAAATAATAGATTGATACTTATCGTCACATTTTTTATGTTATTACATTGATTCAAAATGGTTAAACATATATTCAACAATAAAAAGTCAGTGACGTGTAATTTACAGTTAGATTGATATTATCCTAGAACTTTCGACGAATTGAGAATAGTTCAAATGATAATAATTGAATAGAAAATAATTATTTCAATAAATTTACCGATCTTCTAAAAGCGACAGAACCAAAACCAGGCCTGTTAAAAATGCTAGCTGGTTCTTGAAAGAGTACTGCCTCTTCTATGATATTTTTTCCTATTCTATTGGGTTCATTGTCATCTTCATCATAGTCACGATCACCAAGTAAGTCCGGGGTACTTTTAGCTTTACTAAGAGTACCCCAGACATCACTTATTTTACCACGTTTTCCGATTTGCTGTGCTTGAGTCTCGTACGTGCCAACGTACATCACTTCAGAATCCCTTCTCAGACCTGTCAAACTTCGCAATGATCTCTTGCCATCTCCTTCAATCTAGAACGTTTAACCGGACGTATTAAGTCAGTATACAGCTGACAAGCTGTCTTGTTTACATGAGTGACAATTACCTCAATAACTTTAAAGTCATCAGCAACAGCTTTCCTGGCAAGTGCTTTACGACAAACAGCACTACCATGTCTTCTTGTCGTGTTTGATGCTGTCGATATTGTTCCAACAATATCACTGAAAGTTTGTGAAGGCTTCATTCTACCTTTAAAAGTTAAAATACTAGGCCTGTGGGGTAAAATACTGTCTTCATTTATCGATTCAATGTCCATTTTCGCTCGGTCTTTTAACAATTTCTTTTGTTCTTTTTCTGCTTTTATATCAGCCATCTTTTGTCGTTTTACGTATTCTTTCAATCTAAAATAAAAAGAAAATAATCAGTTAGCTAATGTTTCTTAATTATCATCATTTTCAATGAATGCATTATTAAGTTTAAAGCCCTTTTTAATTTTTTATTTTAGTTAATTGATGTACCTTTTCTCAGCATCTTTTTCGGCCTTTTCACGTAGTAATTTGCTTTTCTTCCTATTAGTGGCTTCCTGTTCCGCTTGAGCAATGTCGAGAAATTGTAGAATATTTTCCCTTCCATTTATAGCTGCCAATTCCCGTGCTGAATGTCTATCAATGTCTAACGACCAGATGTTACATCCAAACTTTACTAAAAATTTTACACAATATTCATGCCCTCTGGCAGCTGCTAAATGGAGCGCCGTGTTGCCAAAATAATCTGTCTTATCAGGATCTCCTCTGTTAATGAAAAATACCAAAACATTATCTTAATGAAGCATTAATTTGTAGAAGAAGTTTCACTAGCTATTATTAAATTTTCAGTGAAAAGTTTTGAAGAAAAAAACATTGTTTTTTATTCTATCAAAGTGAATGGTGATAAAAAGCATTCACTTTGATGATTGAGTGAAAACGGAACAACATTAAATATAATGTATCGAATGGAGTCAATCGTTTTCTAATTTTTAAAGGAAAATTAAGGATTATTAATAGACAATATAGAAAAGGTTGAATAACATGATTCGTTCTGGCGCCTGGTCGTATGGTATAATGAGTATACAACAACACAGGTAATAAGAACGACTCTCCAACACCTTCTCTTCCCATTCCGGTACGTTCCGTTTCGTTTCATGTGCTCCGGTTTTATTTTGTTTAGTGCTCACTCGATTTTATGTTATTATCCACATGAATTCTTTGTCCTTGAAATATGTATCAGACTATCAAGTATTTATTACCCTATTAAGTCAAAGCAAGATGTAGAAATTTACAGATAAAATATTTTTTGTGAATTAAAATATGTATGCAGAAGCTGTTATGTATTTATTTTCATGTATAGAAGGCTTCAGTATATGGTATATATTTCTGCGGGGGGGCTTACTTAACCGCATTTCCGGTTTTTTAGGACCACCTGTCGTAGTTTATCCGGCCGTTCGATACATCAACTACCAAGTAAGTTGATTGTAGAGTTGAGTAATTATTAGCTTCAGCGGAAATTTAAATTTAACAAAAGAATTCATATGTTTATAAAGGAAGATGTCATTTTATTATTCATTTAAATATGACAGCAAATTTTTACAATGGAAACCAACGGACTATTTTTTGAATACGCATTGTTATTTTTTTTAACTAAACTAATTTATATTATTTCAATTTTAATATAATTGTGAAAATAATTTATTCTTACCAAAATGAAAACATATAGAGGTAATAAATATTTTTAATCTGTTATATTTTAATATAAATTTTTTTTTTGTTGAAATAAATCATTAAAATATTACCTTTAAATAATTTAAATTTATTAAAAAAACAAATGAAAATGAAAAACTTGAATATAGAGTGAAATGAATTATTATAAAATATAAAAACAAAAAAAAAAGAAGATCCAACAACAATCTAGTGGTTGCAGTTGAATGCAGCGCAATAATAGTCACAATAATAATCTTGTGTGACTCGTATTGCGGATGTCTGCTTTTATTCTTCATTGTTTTATTACATGGCTAATCGTTTATGCGTGAAATAAAAAAAAAAAGTAGTGAAACTGCATGATCTAACGACTTATTGGTTAGTATATTCATAATATATTTTATTGTGCAATAAAAAATACATACCCTCTGGCAACGAGCAGCCTTAGTGCATCCACGTGGCCTTCAAAAGCTGCCCACAGCGTTGGGGTCATTCCTCCGTCATCTCGAGTGTTACAGTCCTTTCGCGTTGCCTCTTTGAGGATCTCCAGTGCTCCATCACGAGCTGCCCTGTGTAAAGGAAATTAAAAAAGTTCCTTTTACATATTTATTTTTTTCTCTTTTTTTTTCCCCCAGACATTCTCTGTTATTTTGCGTTTCTAATAAAGTCTATGCATGATAAAGGAAAAATTGTTTTGCTCTGTTTCCTATTCATTTCTGCAGATATTTTCATGATGTCGAATAGTGTCAACGTTCCAAAACAACTTAAATAAGAGATGTTAGATAAAAATATCAATTAAAAAAAATCTCGAGTGAGACGAATACAACATGATAATTTCCCACTGCTAGACCATTTTTTTCTTCTATTATCATTGTTATTATTTCTTCTTAATTAATTATTTTCTCTTTTCAAACGTTGTCGTAATAATTTAAATCATTCTACAATTGGTTAACTTTGAAAAAATACCAATTATCAATGTTCGATATCCATTTATTGATTTCCTTACGATAATCTATTATCTACTTTTCTACTTAAATGTGATAGCAAATTTTCCGTTTAATTCTTGGAAATATTCGAGTGTTTTGTCAAGATTATTATTATCCACGATATACAGATGATGTTTTAGAATGATATTAATACAGTCAAATGAATATCAAAAATATGTTAATATTGTTTGAAATATTCACTGACTTGATTATTCAGTGAATAAATTAATGAACGAAATCGAAGAAAGGTTGATTTAATGAGTAATTAAGAGATAAGATGTTATGCAAAACAATTAATGAGAACTTACTTATGAAATCTTTCAGAGGACATTCTTTCACCTCTTTCCAATTGTTCGTTCAATATAAAATAACATTAATATCACGATAACAATTAATTGTATTTATTTAATTAATTGAGTATAATTTGAAATGCATTGAGTTATAAATATGGTATTAAATTGATGAAAAAGCTAATTAAAAATTTTAAATGCACGCAATTGGCAAAATTCTTTGCTGACTAGACGGTAAAAACAAAGAGAATACATGTAACTACGATATGTTGACCGGCATAGTATACTGAAAGCAACTGAAGCCAACTGAACCATCGACGCAGCAAATGTTCTTTACCTCCTTACTCACCTTGACTATCTTCTCCCTCTCTATTTTTTCGTCAATTTCCCCTCCATTCTCACCGGAATGCACCTGTTGTTAGACTAGTCGTGTGAAGTTTACACTATAGTATAGACTGTTTTCAGAGCAGAGTGAATGATCAAAATTATTGTGATTAGCTAACGAAATTCATTCTTTTGATTTGTAGTTTACTATTTAAAAATTGCAAAATTAATTTTCAATTAATTCTAAAGTAATGTAATAAATTTATATATTGTGGTCTAACTATTCTACATTAATACCTTCATTTCAACTGGAGTTACAAAAGTTGAACAAGAATCTAACCTTTATAATAAGTTTCAACAGTTTTATTTCTTCGTTGATTTATTGTTATTAATTAAATAAGTATTATCAGCTATTTTGAGAGTAATTCAAATGAATGAATTATTGTTAATAAATTATTAATGTTAACATAACGACATATATTTGAAAAATATCTTGTATCAGTAGTGACAGGAATAGTCAGTCGGGGAAAATAATGAATAAATAACGTGACATGCACTGAATATAATTGAGTAATGTAGTTATCATGGTTACAATATTTAAATAAATTAAATATAGTTCCTTATTACATATATTCCTAAAAGGTATCGTGTAAATAATAATTAAGGCATGTATATTTATTGCCGTGAGCACACATTTTTTCACAATTTTAATTATGTATGTGGATTTTTTTTTGTTGACGAATGTATTTAAAACATTGAGTGAAAATTTGATAAATAATACAAGTATTTCGATATTGTTTCTAAATTAATAACTTTTTACTTATTGTTTTAATACTGTCAACGGTTTATCCATTTACATTACAGGGTACAAAAATATATTTACAGATAGATTAAGTAACTGTGCGTTTTGCTTTTTCATTCATTTTAATGATTGTACTTTATTATATTATTTATTTTCAGCTTTGACAAGTATCTGAGTAGGGTAACTGCATTAATAATTTATAGAATTAAAGCTTTTATTTAGTTTGTTGTTCATAGTTAATTATTCATAAAGATGAGTGATGGTAAGATTGAATTGATTAAAATTCAACAGACACATTTTGTTTTAGTAAAAATAATTTTATCAATCAGAATTGATTTAAATAATTGATATGCACGGTAGATATAAATTTAAATTATCCTAGTGTCAGTTGTCGAAACAATTACCCTACACAGAGTGAATAAAAAAATTCTTTAAAAAAAGTATCCCTCTCGAAAAGAATTATCAACAATTCTCAAATAGACATGAGACATATGTTCATGTCATTTAGTAGTGATATTAGCAGTATTTTGCTTTTTTAGCAACAATTTCTATTGACAAAACAATCTTTTGTTAAGCTTCATTTGAATTTTTGACATTAAAAGTCAAATTTCAAAAATTTTTTTAATATTTAGTTGAAAATGTTCAATAATATCAGTGCTTGTAGCTCAAAATCTCATTTAATATTAATATATTTAGATATATTACGTATACTTACAATAAGAAAAATTGATATCTCAAGTTTTCACTAAACATAAAAAAAATTATCATCACCCTGAATATCCGTTAGACAATAATATACTAATAAAAAAATAACAATATCCTAAAAATGTTAAATCATAAAAATTTTACATCATTGAATGATGATTTAATGTATAAAAATATAAATAAAAAAAATTTATTCAATGTACCAAATGTTTTTTTGTCTTTTTTGCTTATATAAAGGCCTTTTGCATAGCAATAAATTTTGCTTTAAATTGATAGGCCGTACAACAATGTGTTTAATTTTAATAATTATTATTCTTAGTAATAGGAACGAGTACATTGTTAAAACTTGATAATTATCTACTTATTAGTAAATGTCATTAATTGGATGATTTATGAATTATGAACTGGAGAGACTGATGTATTGTCCACAGAAGTTTCGCGGTAGTTGAGCAGTGCGCATCTACTAATTAAAGTAAATAAACAGTAAATATATCAAATGAAATAAATGTAATCCGCGCAAATTGATTGTCTAGTATTGATATCGTTTTGTTCATTGATGATTATTGTAATTATTTACATTAATTTAATTAAATCTCGATGTTAGCTTTTTCCTTTCTACCAGTCAACCATTTAGTTTTCAACATCTAGCACTGTTTCCTTTGATTCTTTTTCATTCTCCTCAGACTCTTTAATGACAGTCTCTGTTTCTCCAGTTTCATTATTATTCTGACACGTTTCTACATCATTTAAATTTTCTAATTCAGGCTCTTCTAACAATGCATTATCTACATGCTCATCAACTGTAATAGTCGTCATACTGACTCGAGTCTCCTTTATTTCTGCTACATGGCTGTCGTCTGAGACAATCGATCGAATCTCATCCTTATCCGTTGATGTGCTTGTAAAATATTTAAGCTCATACTCTGGCCCATAACTTTCAATAACGACTGGTGCATTTAATGAAAATCTACTAGCTTGCTGAGAGTCTCTACGATGTTTATCAAATGATCGGCGTCTATTATCATCAGAACGTGAATGGTGAAGTTTTTGTCGTTGTTTTCGTCCATTTTCAAATGTATTGGCTCGTAATCTTGGATCCATTTCATCCATTAGATATCTGAAATAATCATTTTCTAATATATAATCTCGTAAATTGATATTTCTTATATGGAGAAAAAATGTTTTGCTTTATCAATTTTTCTTGTCATGTTACTGTGATGAAGATGGAATAATATTTTATTAATATTTACAAGAAATTCCTTTCCGGTACAATCAAAAAAACTTGACATTTTATATTTTAATGCTAATTCAAAATCAATATTGAGCTTTTTATACCATTTTAAAATATCCAAGAGATAGTATTTTATTTAAAATGAAAAAATCAATCGATATTCACGAATTATTTTTAGATCAAAAAGTAGTCTCAGCTGAATCCATGAATACTGTTATTCTTTTAAAAATTTCCTACCTCTCTTCCGATTGAGTTAACAGTTTATAAGAGAAATCAATTTCGTTCCTTTTTTCATTTTTCTACAATTATTATTTCATTGTTGATTGAATATTATACATAATAATAAATTGAAACTTACTCTGATGAATTATCGTTTTATAAATAACTTTTAATCATTTCTGTTTTGTTTAATTTTTCTTTTAAATTGAAATTTCTATTCGAGAAAAATTAGTTCTTAACTTTTTCTGAGGCGTAATTAAAAAGAAAAAAATCCATCAACTTTTTCCAATTGATTTTTTTCATTAACTTTCTTTCAAATAAAAAAAAAAAACATACCTGTAATCTGCTCTACGAAAATCAGGACTTCTTCTAATCTCCAAACTTGCTTTTCTGCCGGCAGTTGGATCCAACCTACGATCATCTCCAATTCTATCAAAAGACATATGGCGAAAATTAGGTGAGGATGATTTTCTAAAGTCTCTTGGAGAAGTACTGGTGCTGAGCAATCCTGTTATTCCATATTCATCAGTCAATCTCACATCAATAGATGTTCTTTTTCGTGTTGAATAATCAATTGATAATCTACTAGATAATGTTCCAGAAGGATATGCTATTGAATCTGAATTCTGTTTCCTGGCAAGCATCTTTTTCGCTTCTCCATCATCAACATCTTCTATTTTCGTTTGTCTAAGCAACTGGTGACGTCTGGCAGTATCTGATCTGTCCTTGACTCGAAGTGTAACGGGACCCTTGTTAGGAATGTAGAGATCCATCGCCATAGAAACTTGACTACCATTCATCTTGTTATGTTCAAGACTTTCGCTACTAACTTTAGGTGGACTGTAACGTGGATTGTCTACTGATAATGCATGTCTTTGCAAAAGTTCCGGATTCAAGAGAGCACAAGAAGTCAACTTGGATTTCCTTCTACTTGGTGATTTTTTTATCGCCAGTGATGGAGCACTAGGACTCTTTTTTATTGGATGAGTTGGTACACCTTTTTCATGAAGGTTTCGAGAGAATCTCAAAAATTCAGCAGTCAATTGTTTCCTGGATATTTCATGAGTTCCTGGACTGGGCGTTCGATTGACACGGAATAAACCCAATTGGTGATCCCATTTGCTAGTTTGACTGGACGTAGATCGTCGCGGCCTTTGCGAACGAGTATGTTTCAACGTTGAGTTTTGATTAAACCGAAAACGCGCTGGAACGACCTTGGCTGCGCTGTCTCGAGCCTCAAAAGTCATTACACACGCAGCAACCACAATGAAACCTGTTGGGTAAGTACATTTTTCATGTAATTACTCTTTTTGCACAGTTACAAGATTTAAATAGAAAATTTTTCCGTAGTATCTACAAGCCTCCATAGCTCAGGGGTTAGAGCACTGGTCTTGTAAACCAGGGGTCGAGAGTTCAAATCTCTCTGGGGGCAAACTTTTTTTAGTTATTTTTTTCATTTTTTTGATGAAATTCTTTCACTCTTTGGTATATAAATAATTCAAAATGTAATTTAAATAAATATCTAAGAGTATTTGAATTTTTAACGATAAAATATGAATAAAGTTTTATCTCAGATTTTTTACACTTAAATAGATGATTCAGCTATCAAACGATTAATATTATTTATAAAATACATTTGCAGTTAAACATCAAAACAACAAAGACAGATGACGTGAATCGATTATTCACAGTGTTCCACTTTCGGTCCAACAATTTATTGTTACTATTCGTCGTCGTTTTTGTGAGCTGCTGTTGTCGATCTATTTCATGCTACTCTATACCACGTGCAACAACAGCAGTCTACATTATTGTAATACTTTAACGACGTATGTTTAATTAACGTGACAATTCAACAATTACGTAAGTACTGAGAGTTTTACAATACGAATATACTCTAGATGTATAAAACTGTATATCATAAATCTCTTTGTATTGTACATCTATAAATATGAATGAATATACTTGTATTCTTTTTTTTTCAGTTTCTAGACAACGTAGCAATCAACTTAATTAAATTCTTGACATTTCATTTTCTTTCAAGACGAAAAATACAGTTAAAAAATAATGGATTACCTCCAACGCCCATCACAATGGGTCCAGCATAACTGAGATTATTCAGATGAAATCCTCTCGACTCATTCTTCACTTTGACTGTCATATTACCTCTAATCTCTTGTGCCACAGACAACTGATCAGCGTAGTATCCTGGAATGAACGTGTTATGAACATGATAACATACCATAAGTCAATGAGCTGTGCTATGATTAGCATAGAGTTGGATTAATACTGTCTATCATTGACTTTATATTATCATGCTCACCAATTGTAGCCATGCATGCTCCTAAAAGCATCAGCAAAATTCCAATTCCAAGTGCCTTACAAGCATGCCAAAGACAACGGGTTGTTACTTTGCCTCGTACAACCTAGTCATTAATTATTATTATAAATTTATCAAATGTCTTTTCTCCTTTAAAAGTGACTCATCTGTGCAGACAAAGTCTAGTGTTTATTGAAGCGAATCCTTACTTTATATAATTATTGTGAAAGTTTATTTTTATATTATACGCTTCTTTGTTTATTTGATAACTTTGTAATTAGTATTGTTCAAATTTTATGCAAGAAATTTGTAAACTTAAGTTTCAAATAAGAAAAAAGTTTATCTGAACAAGAAAGAAAGTCAAAGCTATCGAAGAAACTTTTAAATTGACCTGTAAACATTGTAGAATTTCCAACTTTCTGACTAGACTTTTTCTCCTCATTTTTTGTAAGTGATATGTTTTTAGAAAACAGACAAACTATTATCAGTGTTATTGGAGATATTTATTATTATCATTTATCGAAAGTTATATAAATAATATCTGTAAAAAGCTTCCTTATAATTTTGTTGAGATTTATGATAATGAAAGCAACTACATGAAGGATGGATTTAATTTACCTGTACGTTCCAGTGTGCTCCAGGTCCACAAGCTCTCCGTTCCGTCCCTTGCCAATAAATGCTCCCTTGAGGCATCTTGTGTTATGCTGTAACTTGGTAAATAATTTTTCTAATTGATAAATTAATTAGTGAACTTCTTAATAATGCTAATCATATTGCAAATGAAAAAATTAATACTTTAGTTTAGTAGAATATTAAACAGAAAATTTCTTTGACAGCAAAATATAATTAAAAGTTGGTTTTGACTAATCGTCATGATGGATTAGATTACTTTTTTTTTATCAAAACTAAAAATAAAAAATATGGTATATCATTTAGGTAAAAGTCTTATCTCGTTATATTTTTAGAAGGTAAAAATTTTTTAGTGCTGCTGGTAATAAAGCTTAGGGTCACCCAATTATTTTGATGAGATTTAGTAGCTAATTTTTTTTCTCTTGTTTGTTATATTTCTTTTATGTAGTTATTTTTAAACGAAGTGGTAAATATAATATTCATTATATTTCTGAGAACTTTACCATATTTAGTAACTCTATTTTTTGCAGTAAATATTTTTTTATTTCTCTAAAATATTAAGAGTTCTTTTTTACTTAAAAAATTATAAAATCTAACAAAATTCTTTATTTATAAAACAAAAAAAAAGTATGAAAAATTAAAATAAACCGAAACATATTTAAAATGAGAAGAAAAATTTATAAATGTGTTCATTTTGATGACTTATAGATTAAAATCACGAAGCATATTTACTGCAATTATGACAAAGAATCACTTGACAAAAATTCATTCACCATTAATAAACGATTTATTCGCGAGAGAATTAAATCAACTAAATTCACCGTTGACATTCAGTGAATAAAAAATGAAATAAATTATTTTTTCTCGCCTCTAGCGGTTTCAATAGAATCTCAAATGAAACTAAAAATCATTATCCTGACTTGAATCATTATCTGTACGAATAATAATAAATATCGATTAAAAATGGAATCAGAAAAGCTTTTAAAGTTGTCTTGTGGAGAGTTCATTTAGTTTCTTCTCTTATTCCATTCATTTTTCATCTTTTATTTTGTCTTTAATCACATTCTTCTTTTGCTCAAACTCTCTGCTGTTCTAGATTCTTGTAAGAGTGTCATTCTCACAGAACATTTCAACACAATACGCCTTGTGATCTGCTTCTTTATTATGCATTTATCGATATGTGAATTTGAATTTCTGTTATATATAATGCAGCACATTGGCGATCATATGAGTATATTAAACATGTATATCTAGTGTTCAAGAGAAGATTGTATTCAAGTACATGAACGTTTACACAGTGAAATCAAAGGATATCAGATTGCTATATAGACACGCGCTCAAAAAGCTGATTCATTGTCTTGCCAGACTATATAACGTATCATTGAAGCTAAAGAGTGCAATATTAGAAAACTACAAAATGAAATTTTTCCCAGTGCTATCGATCGTAATTAACATTCACTTATAAAAAATGAAGCTTAAACAAATATTACTCTAAAGGTATAAAAAGTTAAAAGGGCCTGCTATTCATCATCTGTTACTTTTTCATGTAAAAAAACTCTTAGTATCTCTATTAAATATATGGAGCTAATCTATATAACATTGTTAACGGGGTCAACAGATAAAACCCTCAAGGCTTACATAACGATTTTAAATGTACATTGGAATGTAATATCGTCTAACAATTGATTAAGATTACAAAGGATTTTAAAAGAGTTATTGTTGAGTTGATAAGTTAAAGAAAGAGTTTTTTAATGATAAAAATGTTATTTATTTTATATATAAAAAAAAAGAAATTATTTCCAAAGTAATACTCACTTCTTCCCGCCACAATAGTGTTTACAAAAATAAACACAAGTATTCTTGAAAAAATTCCGGTTCCTCTGTCATCTTCATCACGTTTGGTGCTGGAAGCGTTGCTTTGTTGAAGAAAAATTTTTTTTCATAACAACGCTTCACTTTTAAGCGTTATATTGGCCAAAAAAATTTTCAATGTAGTCTTTCAGCACAAGCATAATAATGAAAATTGCAACAAAGGGTTTAAAAGAGCTTGATAAGTCAAACGACTAACGAGGATCTAATCCCACGTGGGTGTCCACTGTCGCGACCTATTGTCAAGTTAATCTTCAGGTGTCAACTATAAACATTAATGTCAAGATTATTGCGCATAAATTCTGAGCAAATTATACATCACAGAGCACGCACGAATTTAGTATGGTAGGAGAGAGATGAATACTTTACATGAGCTTATTACACTGAGTGCATTTCCGCTAAATTTTCACGTCAAAAGTAAACTTTTGTTAAATAAAATTTATTTGTGAGCTAACAAGTAGCTACGAATGAAATGCGAACAGACGATGATCTTGATACGCGTGATACTAACGCCAAGCATCAAAAAAGCTACAGCTCCAAGGGAGTGTCTTCAACATCACCTGTTGGTTCGTATCCCGGTCGCGACGACGCTAACCCATGCTCTTTTTCTCTTTCTCTCCCGATTCTCTCTGTCAAATGGAAGCTGGAGAGATGAGAATATTGCGCATGCTTGGGTCCAGATCAATGTGTTATATTGTAATTATTTTCATTAAAAACAACCTGGAATTTTTTACACATTTAACATTTGTGTTATTTTTATTTTCGTGTATTGTCTAGTATATTCTACCTGCTACCAAGCATTTATTTGGCTAGAGAAAAACGAAAATAACTAAGGGAGTATTATATATCAATGAAGGAAACAATAAACCAATTGTTTATTGTGATTAATAGCCTCAAGCTGTAATATATATATGTATATATAAATATATTTAGTTATTGTTTATTTTAACGAAATTGGAGTAAATGGATAAAAGACAAAGGATTGAAAATAATGACTGGAGATTTAATCAAATTTTTTGTAAATAATATTTATTAGATAAGTGCTTATGTATTATTAAGTAACATAATGAACTCTAGGGTCCTTCATAGAAGGAGTATAAATCATTGTTCCAGCAATGTCGTTACTAGGTAATACAGATTAAATCCTCGTTTATTATGGTTTTCCTTTTTTTATCAGATGTTCATTATTATTTTTTTTTATTTATTAGAAAAAAAAAGATTGTATCAATTGGGTAGACTTTATTGTCTTTTAAATTAATTGAGGATCTAATACTCTGCATTACCTGGTCATTACGATAATCAATTATCTCCAGCGTCCATAAAAAAAATTTAATGAAAATGCAATCTCTTTTTAACAGATTTATTTGTCCTTCCCAGATTTTAATTTTTTGTAATTGAGAGAATTATTTTATTCATTAACTTTTTTTTTGTTGCTAAGTAATGAAATGATTTTATTCTAAATAATACTTTTGTACTCATTTCTATTTTTTATTAACGATTATAATTACTGGAGTAAATGAATATTTGTTTCTAATAATGAAAATCATCATTGAGATACATTTTTTCAATAAAATCGATTTTAATTTTTGTTCCTATTATAAACGCCTAACATTACATTAACTGAAATATTTCTATGTATGTATTTAACAATCTTTTTTCATCATATAATTTTTTTTTTTTCAAATTTTCTATTGTTGACTAATTTATTTAATATGTTAATTAAAATTCTTGCTTTCCACTGGTAATGTTTCCAATGATACTGATAGTTTAAGTGGTTATTATTGATAATTGATTTTTGCTTAAGACTTGATCGTGGCCAGTAACTAGTGGAAAGTATGATGATCATGTCAGGCGTTTATTAAAGTTGATGATAAATTTTTTTTCTTTGAGTAATATAAATTCTTACTTAGTTTTCATGATTGACTCAAAGTCAATTTTATGTAAGGAAAATTCATACATTACTTCATTTATTCACAAAAATGTATAAAAAAGTTTTTCTAGACCAGCTGATGATTCTTGATATTGCAAATCACTTGAGAAATTCTCATTCATATTTTCTTATATGAATCACATTTACGACAATAATTTTGTACACATGATATTACATGAGCTGTTATGACAATTTATTCTTCATCATGTGTTATTATAAATATACTGAAATATAACAATTATTAAAAATTGACCAAAATATTTATTCAAATGTAAGATTTTTTTTTGTGTTTATTTCTTGGACATTAAATACGAAAAATTTTTAGTCCTTTCTTATTAAAGATAAATTAAAATAATAAATATTAAACAGATTTAATACATCAAAAATTATTATAACAATAAATACTATTTTATTTTTATTATTAAAAACTGTAATAAATATTGTGTTTATGTTACCACAAAAATTCATTGACAATTCTGATGTGAACCGAATGAATGATAAAACAATAGTTTTATAATTTTGTTTTGTCAATTTGCATTCTCTGTGATGCATTAATAATACGTATTGTATATTGAAAATTTCGATAATACAGTATCTCATTTCTACGGCTCAGTAACTCCATTAAAACTTTGTCTAGAATTTTATAATAGTCTTCATACTATTTTCATAAACTCTCTCATTCTCACTTGAAAATGGTTTATTCGCTTATATTTATATTTATCTTCATAACGTATGAAACGTTCAGTTTTGCTATTAAAAATGCATTTATTTAATTTAATTTTCTTTATTCAAGTAAAACAATAATAATAATGTAATGAATATTATTATCCTCTTTTCACCCATTTTCGTCAAAAATTCTTCATAAAAGCAGTTGCAAATGTTTAATTCAATTTTTATATGTAACGATAATTAAAAACAAATATTATAATTCTATAGATAAATTCTAATTTATTTTTCTTTTATTAAAAGAACAAATATTTTACTACCTCAGTGACTCTTTTTTATTAATACTGATTAATTTATTATTTCTAATAAAATTAAAGATTATAGCCTGTGTGTTTTTTTTTTTTTGTTAAAATTCGCTACTAATAACTCGTCATCTTGATTGAATTTTATCAAATTTAATCAAGTCATATTATAATTCATTCAATACTCTAATTCAACATTTTTGGACGACCTAATTCGCAGAAAAATCGCACTTACGTACATTCTACTTTCATTCAGACATAATTATCTAGAAGTCTAATGAATATTTATTTATGTAAATCCTTTATCATTTTTTCCTAATAATAAGTCATATCACTTGGTAGAAAATCCAAGGATCAAACTTGTGTAAAGTGTCCTAAGAATTATCTTTTTATATTATCGACTCTCATACTTTTTTTTGTATTTTTCTTATTTACAATTAAGCATACAAGGGTGATATAAATATGAAAAATTCTGTGTAAATTAAAATCTAATTTACATATATGTATACTGGGATTTTATATGTATATCCACAGAGAAAAGAAATACGAATAATATTTTTCATATTCACATCATCAACATTATGTATATACGTCTCCAAACTTATCATTTGTGCGTTTGGACTTGTTATATAATTAATAATATAATAGTAGTTCTGAGATCTAGGCAGTTGTATGTTGTTGTATCTCATATTTATGATCGTCTTTATTGTTTAATTACAGAAATATTCAGTTAATTATTGTATTATTTTATTATTAAGATTTCAATTGCATTTTATATATCAAAAAGTAAATGCATTAACAATGAAACTGATGGTCAATTTGTTTATCTGATTACTTTTAGATGTTTTTTTAATTTTACAAGTAAATAAATATAATATAGTTAGTAAAAGAATACATTCATCAGCAACTTAATTACATTTCAATTGTATCTCTAACTGATTCAGTTGGTTATTTAATTGAGTTTTACATACAGTGTTTTATTATTTGTTAGATTCTGAATTGAATTAAAATCGAATTTTCGGGCAGTTTTATTTTCTCATTAATTGCATATCATGAGAAATATTTTGAACGTTTTTTTATTAAATTATTAATCACTGAATAGATTTCCGTTTTTTTTTATTACTTCCGTTTTAAATGAATCTACTTATTTCCAATGCTTTTTGCTTTATGTTATGTTTTTTTTTTTTAAATTTATGAAATTTAATTTAATCGTTAAACATACTTTCAGTTCTGCCTCTACCTTATTTCGTATTTATTTTTGGTGGTAGCTATTTAACACAAATGATCTAAGCACACCTGAGAAATTGATGTAAAGCAGATATATCTAAAAGTGATTACGTCTTCAATTTTTTTTTTACATTAATTAAAAAGTTGCCTCTAGAAAGAATGAGCTGATTTTTTTTTGTAAGGAAGTGAATTTATTGAATTTCGGGTTATAAATGCCTCGTTGCCTTTTCCACTTCGATTTTCATATTAGGATTTGGTGGACCATAGTGAATTTTAGGAACATGTCCGAAATCGAGAAATCCTGGTACTAGAGTTCTTAAAGCGGATCAGGAAGCACCGTATGCACAAGCTGAATTATCAGGAGGGCTAATTTTTTCTACTGGTAATACAGCTGCTCTCTGCCATTCATCACGTACCTACAAATAAATATATATTTTGAAATTAATACTTATCAAATAGAGTCGGGTATAGCGAAGTTCAAGAGATATAAAAATAGTACCTGTTCGACTTTTGTAAACACTCTAAGTAAATTAAGGCCGGCAAGCTTCTTTATGTCTTCTTCAGTCCATGTTGGGTCTTCGAGCAGAGTTGCTAACAGTTGTGGATATCTTGAAACATCTTCTAATCCAGTCGGAGTGCTATAGAAACCAGAAATGTAAGTGAGACAAATTAAAAAGTCTTGAAATATTTTTAATAAAATTTATTTTTATGAAAGCAAAAGTTATATAAATTGTTTTGTTTCCTCTAAAACATAAAAAAAATACTTTCAACAATTTAAAAATGCTACCTTCATCTATTCAACCAATTGCTATTCTACACCATTCTTTATATTATCATTTATTTTCCTTATTATCTGCTTTCAATAGAAATAAATATTTTATAGAAAATTTAATCCTTTGAAAATCCCGGAATATGTTTTCAGTCGAAAGATTAAATTCACGAATAATTTTTAAAACGATTTCGTTTTGCTGACACAAAAATATGTAGTTAAATAAAAAAAATTGTTTTTAATTCATGAAAAATTTCTAAAAGATACAAACCAAAAAGATTTTTCAATTTCAGATCACGTAAGTTGGTAAATTTTAGGAAATGTAAAATATCAATTTCCTAATCTAAAAATTTATGTTGGTATTTCGTGGATTTCTAGTTTTCTACAATAGACATTCATTTCTTCTAAATCTCAGGATGTTTAACTTGTGGTAGAACTAGTTCTATTTATTGAAGGTTTCAGATACGATAGAAAACTCCATTGGCGGAAAAAAAGTATTAGAACGTGAAACGTTGCAGACTCTAGTATACTTTAATAGACATACATACATCTGTATATACATACATACAATAATCCATACAAAGTCCATATACACAATGCATACTGAACGAAATCTGTGTATGCATCAGCATACATACTCCATATAAAATCCATATAAAAATTTTTCACGTGGGTAATACTAAGATCACACTAAAAGACACATTCAATAATTTAGGAATCAACTTACAAATTTATTCCATCAAAACCAGCTCCAATACCCACGTGATCGATCCCAGCTACCTTTCGTATGTGATTGATGTGTGCTAAAAAAATGATTGTATTATTTTCGAAGAAAATACATTGTCAGCATATTACTGTCGTACAAATATCAACAATGATACAAAAGAAGATAAAAGTTCATTTACCGATTACATCTTTTATCGTTGCGGTGCTGTTACATGTTATGAAGTATGTATAAAACGGTATCATCGCAATACCACCATTTTTAGCCTGAAAAAAAAATTTTTTCTCATTATTTTTATTTTTTTCTGGGCTGTATCTTATTGAATCTATTGATTTTTAAAATAAAAGCTGATATTTTATCTCGATTTCAACTGCTACATTTGTCATCCAAACATCATCTCAAAAGTAGGCTAATAAAACACAACAATTTAACTCATAATACTTTAGATACACTAAGATTTCATATAATAGATTGTACAACTTAGTTTTACATAAAAAATAAATGAATTATAAAAACTTTGTTAATCCAACAGGAATGTAATCATAAGAAATAACTATTGACCCTGACCTACTCCATTTTTATTTCGATCAGATATTCGATATTATCACCAACAATCAATTCCTATTACCAACAGTCAAATATTGTCAATAAAAAATTTAAACTGCGAGGAAATTGATAGTGTGACCCTCTAGGGACGTATCAATACTAGAGTTTGTCAAATTAATTACTTGCAAAATGTTAGTGTAAAATTTCCTGCACAATCCTGAGCTCATAGAGTATAATAGGAAGAAAAGTCCATGTTTGATGTATGTATAAGTATTCAGTCTTTAGTGTTATACTAAAGCTTGTGGCTTGAAATCAAATAATTTCCAGACAAGCCGGAAGTCCGACGAAAACTTTCAACGAACCTTCCTCTGGGGGCTTTCAGTCCGTATTTGCATTCGACGATCCGTTCAGATACTGAGTATGTGAAACTACAGTACTGAAACAGACTTAGTTAAGTCAGGAAACTAACAGTAGTAGTAGTGGTGCTAGAGAAGGAAAGATATAGAGTAATAGGAAGTATTGGAATCCGCATATAGGATTGTAAGTATAGTATCCTATAACAAATCTAAACTTTGAACAATACCGGTTATTGATCCTCCGATATGGTAGAATTTTTAACTCTATCGAACTTGTCAACACTTAAGCTGACTATGCTACCACACGTACAGCAAAGTTTGATTAAGGTTAACGAGAACGTGCCATACTGACCACAACCGCAATTTACTAATTATTTATGATCGTGATGATGGCATATGAGAGGTTTCTGTCATTAGAATACAGCATTTTGCTTTCGTTGAATTTATTAACTATTCGAGATTGAATTAAATGGTTTATTCATGATTTACATTATTTTTATTGTCTCTCAATGTGTATTTATACACTTTGCAATAAATTTGCATTCATTGGGAATAATTCTTGATATAAATAATTTTAAACACTTCAATATTTATCAAGCAAATAAACTTATTGATCAACAAAATTATCTGTTTAATTTATATAATTTAATTTCGTTGATGTTTCATGGTATTGGCAGAATTTAAATTTGAATTTTTTCCCGCTGTATCGAAGTTGATTCAAAAAGAACTTTTTTCTCAACTGAAACTTTTATTTCTCATAAAATAGTTGTTTTATAAATCATAAAAATTAAAAATAAAATTTTTCTTGATCTTTGATTTTATTTTTGATGATATTTTATTTCAATTAAAAACTTAAATTAGATCCAGTAGTATCAAATTTCAAGATGGCCGACATTATGACAATTGTGCGCGCGAGTGACGCTTTGTTATTTTTTCAAGTTGTTTCGATTAAAGTAAAATAAATAATAAAGTAAATACATTGAAAATATTTTCAGGAATGCCAAACACAATGTCAGTAATAAAGTAAAGTCACGGAAAATTTATTTCACAGCGAAAATCATTACTGACAGTCGTTGATGCAACAAGTGACTGAAAACACTGGTAAACAAATCGTCACGTTAAACATGCATATTTTTAGAGTAGACGTGTGTTTTCCACTGTTATTCCAAATATTAAAACGATGAAACCATACTCTTTCAAACAAACGTGTTAATATGTTATGAAAAAAAAAGAATTTAATTAACCAGTGCAAGTGACATTAATGAAAGTAAAGTTTTTCGATAAAAAAATTATTTCTCAATAATGAGTTAACTGCAATAGAGCAAATTTCGATAATCCATGATGTGATTTTCTTAAGAAAAGCGGATAAATTAGCGTGAATTTACCTACGTAATGAGATTGACGAGAAAGTAGGTTATAGATGCTGGTACAATACAAGCTGAGAGCAAGGAATCAGAGGCAACAAGGTCATCTAATTAATGTGGTAAGTACAAATAAATTAAATCCCAATTATAACTTTCAAGAGTTAGATATTATTCGAAGGGACTTCTACTACCATTTTAAATCGAGATAAAAGTTATGCTTTAAACTTTAACAAAAATTTTTTCAACATTGATATTGAGGTATTATTCTCTTTGTATTCCAAACAATCACATTTTTATATAAGCTTCAACTTTTAAGTCTACTATATTTCACCTTTCAGATCATGATGTTTGGAAAAAAATTTTTTTTTCATTTCACCTTATCATTTGATGTTTTTCCATTGGTTCAACAGCAAGAAAGTAATATATTTGACCTTCTTAAAATGTCGATTAAGAAGTGAATGTGAATAATTACATTGATAATTAACTATGTTCGACTATTACGACAAACTGTGCTAATTAATCGAATTTGTTGATCGACGTTGGATAATTACTGGGCGCTGATCCAACTTTAGAATTTTTTTTCTTCAGTTGAATGATAATTTATTATTACTATCATATACATAATTTATAATATACCAGGAGATTATTTAAATTAAGAACAATAATTTATTAATATCTTTTTTATTGATTTTACAATGGTGAAGAATAAATTATTCAATGGAAAAACATCAAGAATAGTGAATGAAAAAAAATAAATGAAGTTTTGTATAAAATTTTGAAAAGTAATTGAGAATAAAAGTTATTTTCTCTTCGATAATTGTAAGTTTTTTATACGGGTATATATACTTTCGTCTTATTGACATTAAACCCTAAGTTTCACTGTACTAAAAGTTTCTAAAACCACTTCTACGGTTTCGTTCAAGAACTTAAAATGAACGTAGACAGAACGATAGAAGTAAAGGAAACGCAGTCAATTTAGTATTTACATTGTTGTCTTTCATAGTTCATTCAAGCGATTTTATACTTGTTGTGAAACGTCAGTGAAATTATCTTTACTTTGCACATACTACACTATTTACAAAAAGAAGAATTGCAAACGTAGTATTTAAAAACATTTTAATTAATTATATTACTCTAAAAGATTGAATAATTTATTTTCTTTTACTTTTTAAATAAAAAAATAATCTTCAGTTGATCATAATTTTCTTAAATATACTATATTAAAGCTTGAATCCTTCTCAAATAGACATTTTCTTTGACTGTTAACTAATTATGTTGCATTAAAATAAATTCCAATTATTTCAACATTCATTATAGCAAGAAGTTCTTCATAAAGACAATTTCAATTCATTTAACTTGTAGTTTCAAGTAACTTTCATTTACAGCTTTTTAAACTTTTAATTGATTAAAAAAATCATCAACCGTAATTCATTTTGATTTATTCCACAATTAAAAAAAAACATAAAAGTCTTTACTTCTGACTTTCATTAGTCTTAAATAGAAGATTGTAATAAAAATTTAATAGTCTTTAACTGCCTAAAATAAATATTAATTATTTAGTAAATAAATGAGTGGTAATAATATATTTCTAAATAATAGAGATTTATTTTTATAAAAATAAAATGTAACAGTTGAAATAATTATGATACAAAATGAGACAAAAAGCTAGAAGTACGTTTATTGTTAACGTGAAAACATTCTAGACATTGAAGGATTTAACTTACTAGACTTCTGAGCACGTCGTCAGGCACGTTCCTGCTGGAATTGCAGAGAGCTCGTGCTGCACTGTGAGAGAAAATGACCGGTGCTCTCGTGGTTTGAAGCGCAGCTCTCATAGTCCTGGTTGATACATGAGAGAGATCTACCAGCATCCCAAGTCTATTCAACTCTCTTACCACTGCCTATTTTTAAAATGAATGAGAAAAGCATCAAATAATTAAACTGTACTATTTTGAACATTTACTTTATCAAATATTAATTTTTTATATTCATGAACATTATCAGGATCACATATTATCAACTTACTCCATTAAATAGGTATTTAAAGTTTTAATGGTGAAAAACAAAAAAACTATAACAAATAAAAATAGAAATAAAGTTGGCAGTAAAAATTCAGATAAGTTAACGGTAACGGTTTTAGGATTCGTTCTATATTCGTCTAAAATTTTAGCTTGGTCTAAAGCGTTGAGTTTTTTTAATAGTTTTTTTTTTTTTTTTAGAGCTAAGGGATCACTAGCTGATAACTAATGATTTTTGGTTTTTTCATTATTTTAAACGATTATAACTTTACATACATTATTAAGTAAAATTTGTTGTGATCATGTAGAAGTAATAGTATAAGAGTAATATCGTTATTTATTATTTTATAATTTCTAAAAGCTTCAATTTTTATTTACAAATTATCAGAAAAGATAACGATGTTGCTCAAATGAGTAAAAATCGTTTCAATAATTTACTTATCACTTGAACGGTAGAGAATAATTGAACTAATAATTGTTTGTACACTATCAAAATATTAGTTTTAGAATAGTCAAACATTTTCAAGAGTATTTAATTTAATTATTGATTATTTTTTTTACTTCATTCTTTATTTTATTTGCAATTTATTAGTATTTTTGATAAAAATACGTAAATAGACAATTAAAAAAATTTATTATTTTATATTCAATGGTAAATTTGATATTTTCTATTAACTTTATTTGTTTTTATTCAATTTAATAATGATTGAGTTAATATTTATTGAAAATACATATAAAAAATCATTGAATTAACCAAGATAATTACATTTATTATTTTGTAAATTTTTAAAATGAAAAAAAAATTAACAAATTGATTTAATAATATTTGAAAGTATGTTTAATTAATAAAGCCAATGAGATTTTTTACATAATTTTTTTATGCTATTATATAATGACGTACATTTTAATTGATATATTGATGGTATTGACATGTGTCAAAGTTTAATGCTATGATTATCAACGTATTGAATGCTTTTATAGCAACGATATTCAATGCATTTTGCAGTAATATCAGTAAATCGTATTGATGATACGTTAAACGGACATTTTTATCGTTCTCTGATTTATTAGCAGTATATATTTGAAGCTTTTTTTTCGGAGTTATCATTGCAATATGAAATTCATGTAGTATTGAGATATTTTGAGCTTTCATGAATGACGTTCAATTTATTCAAAATATTGCGGTGATTTTTAATTAAAACATTGCTTGGTTTAAAATTAATTTCATGTTTACCTTGCCGAATTCACTGAGGCCAGGCGCATTATCTTGCGTACCATTGACCTCACCGACTGAACAGACTGCCCTGCCAAGAAAAAAGAAAAAAACATGTTTAGAATTATTTAATTCTTTCCTTTAAAATGAAATTTGTCTAATTTTATTGAAAAAGAAGAAAAAACAAAGTGAAAGAATAGAATAAGCAGCTTGTAGGTATATACACTTTCTATAAAACTAAAAAACTCATAAATGTCTAGAGGGGATGAGAGAAATGGAAATAGCAAGAGCAACCTTCTTTACTTCACTTAAAGCTTGAAGCAACTCGTCGTAGATAGAAATAAAAAGTGGTAAAGTAATAAAATAGTAAAGTCCAGCCGACAGTTCGACTACAGAATGAGGGTTGGGATTTACGTAGTACGTGAGCTGCTGCTTAGGCCCGCGTGATTTACTTTAGAAGAAAAAAAAATGTCAGTAAGTGAGTAAAAAAAAAAGAGATAGAGAGGGTGTGTGTATGTACCTTCTGTATATTATGTAGATGTAGGTGGCGAATATATGAAAAAATAAGAGAATAGAAAAGTGTAGGGCACGGAAAAGGAGAAAAAAAAATCCAACGTAAATGGTCTTGACACTTTATTTACGGAGCTGCAGCCCAACTGCACAATCGTCTAGGGATGTGTAAAGTTCAAAGGGGTCGACTTCAACCCACTGGACAAGTAATTGTTGTAGAACAAGTTAATACGTTAAAAGTATGGATATAGTAAAAGATAACAAAGTCCGTGGGTAATAAAAATGAAACGAACATTGGCAACAGAAAAAGGTCTTGATTAAATTAGGTTGGAAAAATAAAATTTCAGTATAAGAGAGTTAAGTTACTGCATCAACTCGTCTATGTTGTCATAGGGTAAACTCAATGATTATTAAGGTAAATGCCCCTACTGAAGGATAATTAAGTGACATGGAAGACTTTTCTAGTGGATATACTTTTACTAATTATTTGATGCTTTTTTTTTGCTATTTTTACAGTGAAATGAATTTCCAATGAATCGATCATGATCATATTGAAGTAGAAATAAAAAATTCATCATGATTAATATTGACTCAAATAATGGATGATAAGTTATTGTAATAAAATTTTTTATTACATTTATTGCATTCATTTAATTGACACGATTTTTATATTAAAGTTGATAGTCTAGTGTTTTTATCGAAAACTTATAAATTATCAGATATCAAATTTCCTGTTTTAATAAGGTTTTAAAAGAAAATATTATTAAAATTGTTTTAAATTAATTTTGATGACATTTTATGATACTTTTAGAATTTCACGAACCGATAATTGATATAGTTTTATCTATAGATAGAATTTTTCAAATTGGCACAATTTTGGTTAATACGCCAATTAGTGATTTTATTTCTTCAAGTGTTCATTAAAACTCTGAGCAGAAATATTCCTATTATTAGTAATTCTATTTTAATAATTGGTTATAAAAGTAAAGAGAAAAGGTCAACGAATAATTATTACATCATTTTTCTCGATAATACATTTTAATTTTTACATATTGAAAGAGAATGAATGTTTTTATAAAACAAAAAAAAAATTAATTAAAAATTCAAATTCAAATCTATTATTTTTTCCTCTTAATAGTTCAAATAATGTATAAAATGAATAAAAACTCCATTGAATTGCTAATTAACTCTTGATTCAGCGTCTAAACAAATAGAAATTATAGCTCACAAAATTCCGGAAATTTTGATTGAATACATTCTGAGATATTTATTAGCTCAACAATCAGTGACAGTTTATATTCATTCAGTTTACCTTATAAGTTATCAAGTGAATATTTGAGAGAATATGTCATCTTGAGCTGTCGATAAACAACATATATCATTTGAGGTATGTGGTATAGATGCAATGAACGATCGTGAAGCTCGTGAAATAGGAATTTACGGTTTAGGTAGAGTGGCTTGGTGATTTCACGTCAGCCATGTACGCCAAAAGCGTTCCCACTGTTTATTTACGGCCTCTGCAACGTCGAGGTCGTCGTGGGAGGCGTAAAAGTAAGGCTGAAGCAAGGATTGAAAACTTGTTTGAGAGGTGGTGGTGAAGGAGGAGGTGAAGGATGCAAGTATTGCTGCTGCTGCTGTTGCATTGGGGGTTTAAGGAAAAGGGTAATATGTTCCCTGGAGAAAAGAAGACATTGGAGGAATAAGCAAAAGTATAAAATGAGACAGAGAGCAAGAGTTTATCCTACTGGCGTCGGTCCTCTCTTTTATACTCGCCAGAAAGTCATTTTTCTAACCACGCACGAATCCTAGCCAACTTTTCACTCGTTTCACTTGGTTGGAGAAGAAATACCGTTGAGACTGAGGATATGTAATCACAAGAGTTTTTTCTTCCTACTTCTTCAAAGACTGTTTTTCATGTTTTACATGTGGGATGTATTTTTTAATGTTGCACTCAATTTGTCTTGACATTCATGGACATTAATAGATTAAAGGGTAGAGGAGAGTAGCCAATTTTTATCTCTTATTTTGAAAATACTTTGGATAGGATTATTAATAAAAATTAGCCATCAGTATTTATCTAATTAAACATCAACTAAAAAAATTATTAATGAATATGAAGTTCTTTTATTGAAAATTATTTTTAGAATAATCAGTCATTTAATTAAAAAACCAAATATCTAACAAGTAATTGAATTTCTTAACCCTAAAAGTTTTTTGATAAATGATGTGTTAGCATTTATCTTGCTTAACTATATAACCTAGGTTTCTCTTAATAATATAACCATTACAATGATCTCCTTTGTTATATTAATTGTAACAATTAGCTTTTCTTGATTCAAACAATTAAACGAAATAATTCATTTAAATTCACTGATGAAGCTGATAAGTGATACTAAATACCAGTCGTTTTGAAAAAAATAAAATCTAATTCCACAGGTAGAACTTTCATTAAAAAAAACGGTTTTTTCATTTTAAAAGGCTTCTTCTTTCGTGTAATAATATTCGAGAATAGAAATGAATGGACTTTTCGTGTATCAAGTGTTAATGGAAGGATTACGAATAATTGAGTTAAGATTAGAGGGTGCAGAATATACCTAACGTAATGCTGAAAGGACTAAAATGTTTCCCTTAGGATTTGGTCAACTTACCAAGACGTGTCACAAGCATGCGTCAATGTTAGATAACGTGCTCCAAGTCCATAAAATGTCCTAAGAACTCCCAAAGAGTTTCCAAGGGAGTGACCTCCTTCAACACCAATAAGACTAGCTATTTTACCTTCCCTGTGAGCTTCAATCAGTCCTTGAATGGCAATTATTAAAACAAAAAATAAATAATATTAGTAAATAAAATTTGACATTTCTCTAGGATGAATTAATTCCAATTGAACTCTGATAAAATATGATACTATGATGAGTCTTGAGTAGAATTTTCAAGTTGGTTAAAAGTAACATTAACTTGGTAAGGTTTGCAACAAGTTAATAGTTGGATTATTTAATTTAATTGGATATAATTAAATCATGTAATCTTATCTAATTGATATTATAGAAATGTTCAGATGTATTTAGATTAAAAGCTACTCGAAAACTCTTTATTAGGATTTAATACCCGCATTGCGGATGTATATTCTCTCAGCTATGAAACATTACCATCAGGTATGAATCCTATGCACATCATCCTAGTGCACACCACTTAATAATCTCACTCATTTATCACGATTATTTGCATTATGTATTAACTAAGTGTATAAACCTCGAAATAAATTATTTATCTCTCTTCATGTGTGTGCATACAAACAAATATATTGATATGTTTGTATCAGAGTGTGTGTATGTGTATGTGTTTCTTTAAAAAGTCAAAATAATGTTAATAAATATAGTAAGAAGCTTTCGAAAGATTCTATATACTTTTCTGCTGACTTAATATATAAGAAAACGACGTTGAGGAGTAGGCAGGGAGGGAAAAATCGGCGAAGGAGTAAAAAGTATGCTGGGTGAGAAAGGAAGCAAATTCAAAAGTTGGTGCACTATTAAGAGGCAAGTTCTTTGTAGCATATTCTTCAGCTCTTATAGATTGTTACAAGTCGAAAAGTTTTTCTCACTTTTTCTCAACGAGATTGTTAGTTGTGTGGTCGTGATGGTGGTGGTGGTAGTTGTGATTTATATATATATATATAGTTACAGAAAAAAAAAGTTTGTCTTTCTGCTGCAGTCGTGCATTTTATATTTTATCTTTGATATCTTATGCTAATGCATCATACTTTTTTATCTTCTATATCACTACTGTAAATTGTATGTATATTTTTCTAGCAGACTATTATTATTTTGTTGATTAAAATTCAAGACGTCTAGATTTTCTTTTCGATTTATTCCTATTTTTTTTTTTAAAGCTAATTTTACTATGAGAAAAAGATGCCTAGGATGTTTAATTGTGTCAGTTCTTTATGATGAAAATTTTTTTGATGTAGATAAAGTGTTTTCATGTTTTAGCATATCTTAAACAGTTATTTGAAATTAAAATTATATTGGTAATATATTTTTAGCATAAAATTTTTTTTTACAATCCTCTTTTATCAAATACTTCATAAAAAACAAAAAGATAAAAAATTCTTTTCTATTGAAATTAATTTCTTTCACAGTAACTGGGAAATTGGAATATCTTGAAATATTTTAAATATCTATAAAAATCTCAATACTAAATAATTACTTTTTCAACAAAGAGATAAAAATACGTTCTAAATACCTCTAACAGACGTAACAAGTGTGAGGTGCTGAGCATTCATTTCAGCAAGTCTTCGAATCACATCGATTTGTTCAAGTGATAACTGTACAGCATTGAGTTGAGCAGCACCACACGGTACATATGCTGACCAAAACTGTAACAAAAAAAAAAGGCAAAAAGTTAAAAACAAAAACATATAACAGTTATACAAAAGCAGCAGCAGCAGAGTATCAAGATGAAATCGCGTCCGAAATTATTGGACTGTTGGCTGAAAAGCTTTTGAAATGTTTGAAATCGCTTCTTTTCTGGTTATCGAGTCTACTAAATCTATTTACGGTTGGTTGGTTTATACTGCTGCTGAAGGGAGGAAAAAAATCAGGTCAGATAAAACAAAAACGCGTTGATTGGTTTGTCACGTAATCGTTCGTCGAGTTGTGATTGTTGATCAGTTGAAAATTTACATAGTTTTCACCAAATATATAAGCCTCCAAATACATATATATATATATATCTGAATATATACATAGATATGCATGCTCTATGCTCCCTAAATCACCTTTTGATACAATCATATACACCATTCTACCTTTAGGCTTTGGCAACCTGCAACCCTATGACCCCTAGTGTGTATGGTTGCTGGATAACACCAACATCTGCACACCACTGGCGAGGAAAATCCGGATCATGCTGATTGTTAGATCGAATGGATTTGAAGGCCGTCAATCAAACAATCATCAGCGACATTCAATTGGTCGATTCTGATGCTTGTACTGCCGTACATCTATATAGCTCGAATAATATTGCAAAGACAAAACAGATCTGCCTTATTCAGTTAGTTTAGATGGACTTGGTTTTGCGGATGTGTCTGTGGATACATTTTATATCTATATTCTGATTTGTAGCTATTTGAATCCAACGAATTGCTGTTAGATAGATCAACTAAATGAAAATAAAACGATTCTTGTGGTCAACATGTAGATAGAAACTGGTGATTTCGACTTATTGCAATTGATTTGTCTTTTTTATACTGACTTAGTCTCAAAAGCGCTTATGTCTCACTAGATATATAGGCAAATAGATAAATACTTTTACTATTCACTAAGCTCTACTAAGCTACTTTTGTTAGAGCAAGCTTTTATCTATACATAAGCACTGTGAGCACTGAACTTTACCAATGCGGATTTTCTCCTTACAGCATCTATTAATGCAACGTCCGTTTACTTGCCTCCATATTTCCTACAATAACGTCTTTAAATCTGTTTGGTCATGATTGTAATTACTATCACGTTTTCTTGTAATCACTAGTTAATTATTTACACAGTTATAAATAATACTTTATTATTATTTTAATTTTTAGTATAAAAAAAAAAGCTTTTCAAAAGTTATTTACTCGAGATAAGGTAGTAATTTATTATTTATATTTTTTTTTTAAGTCGTTAATATTTTTTGAGATGCTCATTAGTAAAAAAATTGTAAACCATCATTATTTCTTTCATTTACTTAATAATATTGTGTATTTTGTATAACTTATTACCTTTTTATAATGCGTTTACTTAAATGGAGAAAGAAAAACTTTATTTAAAAATTTAACAGTGTAAAATACTATTTAGAGATTTTTCAACAACGTTAAACAGACAAAATAGAGAGCTCGTAAATGTTTCATATTCGCATACAAACATTACAATCTTTTTTCTCTGTTTTTTCTAGACCTTCATAACGTGCTTTTAAAACGTTATAGCACACTGAAGAAAATAGTAAACTATAAGTAAAACGATGAAGGAAAGCATTTCCAGTTGACTGACAAAGTAGAGATTAAAATTGCATGTCTTTTTGTTCTCCTTAATAAACAAACAAAAAAGATTGTAATATTCTATTTTAGTGAAATGTACGAAATAAAATTCCCTTAAGGTTGTAAAAGAGAATGTAAAAAGCACGTGGTGCAATGTCGAAATGATAAAACCTACTAGAGGTCTTTTGGGAGCTGTTTACAAATCTCTAGAATCAATCTCCAGAGAAAAACAAACAAAAATATTATTAAAATAATATAATATTTATATATAATTATTTTGTGACATGATTGAGGTCATGAATGACAAATTTTTCCAATTATCAAGTATCATTTTTGATCCATGTGTCGTAAAAATTCTTTTTGCATCAATAGAATATATTATTACCTTGATAGTATAACAATTTATTGACTAAAATTTCATTTAAAAACTAAAAATTCAATATAAATTGTCAAAGAGTAGTTAATTTGAAATATTATTTCAAAGAGATATAGAATGGATTTTATATTTTTAAAAGGATTTTTTTCGTTCACTAAAAACACCATTAGTAAATTGTGACTTTGTCAATAGAAGTTCTTTTTGCCATTCGTTCATTAATTTAATTATTTAAATGCTATTGTCTTTAACAATAGTCATCCTGTTACAAACAACCTACATTTATTTGAAGTTTCTTAATTTGTTACAAATATCGAATGATTGTAATATTTTTCATTTTTTCTTTATTATTATTTATCAATGAATGAGTAACTAATTGGCTAATTAAGAGCTTACAAATCAATACGTATCGATGACCATTAAAAATTCAAGCATCGTATAGCACAAGCTGAAAATGCTGTATAATTTCTGAATTATTAATCATCATCAGTTTTCATAATAGTTAAAAAATTCAATGCCCTTAAATGAATGTTAGATATTTGTGAGAGGATGAATTAGCTAACTTAATCAAAAAGTTAAGTATAAAGAATGAGTTTTATCAGTATATGATAAAAATAAGCATTATTTTTTGATAGTATCTTTTTCTGCTGACTGATTCAAAAAGTAATAATGTAAAAAGGCAAAAGATAAATCTACATTTTGTCACATTGCCAAATGGAATTGAGACTTGAAAATGACCGGGTGACTAGGTTTTGTATGAAATGCTGCTTTGAAGTAACTGAGGATGACCTAATTATGGACGAGCTGTGGCGTTCAATCAGAGGGTCTGTCACCGACGCGAATAGAGCACATTAACTGATCCCTATATATCTAGCACCAGGAGCTTGAAGCACTTCCAATGAACGTTTACCATCATAGTATACCCTTCTCCTCTGACTTTAGTTAGTTACTGAAGCGAATAGACCCTCTTCTCTCCGATAAAGCGACATCATACAGGCAAGACCTGTAATAGCAAAACGTGATTGGCATATCGACACCTGCCAGTATGCTATAAGGGACGATTTTGTTAATTGTAAAGTTCCCAATCTTCATTGTCAATATTCAATGACCTAAAACTGGTTAATTTACTCTAAGTATTACTAAAGTAACTATTAAGGGCTTGCAGCTAGTATTGCAAGTGATGGCTTGAAAGGATTTACTGTATATAATGTTTTAAAGACCATCAGCAAACAAGACATTAAGCTAGTCTGCGACTACTACTTGTCTTCTAAACTATGTAAGTAGACATTCTTGATCACTTGACTGAGTTTTGGCTATGTTGAAAATCTGACTGTATTTAATTGAGAGTTTGCTATACTCGAAAATTTGCTTGGTACTTGAGGTTAACTATGTTGATGACAGTTTAAGACATTGGTATGTTCTAATTGTTGTTGTGATGGGTCCTTAATGTTTCCCGATCATCATCTAAGTGTTGAAATGGTCTCTGTGTGAAACAATCATGCAGACATATACGATCATATTGCATCGATCTAGCATTTGTGACATTCAAGCTGAGGCCACTAGAGCAATTCGCCTATAGAACATTTGCGATTCAATATTCCCTGACCGTAATGAAACACGACAAAAATAGCTTCAGATAAGGTTTAGTCAACCTTGATTGATTAAAGTTGATAGACAAGTGTATGGTGTAACAGGAAATGTAACACTTCCTACACTACAATAGCTTGCTTCAATATTTTTTTTTTCTATAAAGAAAGGCCACGTTATTTCTTAAAATATCTATTCTACTTTTTTTTTTTATTTTCAAATGACGCCAACAACTGTTTGGTTTTGTAATTAAAAATAAAAATAGATTTTTTTTTTCAAAATTGATTTAGCTTCAATGCTTTTTATATTCAGAAAATTAATTTTTTTTTAATTTTACTTAGACTTAAACATTTTATTCTAAATTAACAAAGACTACTTCAATTTCATTTGTATTAATTATTAACAACTTTGATTAAAATTTCAACTCTTAACCTTTCTTTTATTTCCCCTTGGTAAACAGTTATCTCATTGATTATTTAAAAACTTAAATTAAAAATTTATGAAATAATTTGTCTTTTATTAGCTGTTTTGTTTCATTTAATTTTGCTGATAGTAACGAATGTTTTCATTCAATTTTTTGTTTGATTGAAAGAAATTTTAATGAACTACACATATAATAATTTATACGAGCATATATATATATATATATATATATATACCCTCTTAAAAGTTGAAATTAATGGCACTACACAAAAAACCAGGTTTAAAAATTGAAAAATATCGAAAAATAATCTTCTATTCAATAACGTAAAATGTAAATGTTTTATACATTTATTTTCAATATTTATATACAAAAGCTGTGGGTTTATTGAAAATATTAATTCAGATATATTTGTTATTAAGCCATTAAGAAATTAGAAGTAGATTTTTAATTTAGAAGAAACTTTTCTTTTGAGATATTGCATTGTGTGTACGCATAAAAAGTAGATGAACTGTACATTAAATAAACTAGGTATCATCAGCAACATACATCTATCTGTCGGTTGCCAATACCCGGTTTGTAGTGAAGATATACCAGAAGATACCCCATGACAAATAGTACGCTGAAGATTCTTGTTGAGATAAGAGTTAACGCTCACTTGTTGACCCGTTTTGGTGATCGTAACTTATCGTGATCCTGGTGGACTTAAGTCCAACAAATTTATCTTGGGATCGAAGGAAGAATTTCGTTGTACTCAAGTATAGAAATATCCGAGTTATACCTTGTATATACCATCATTCGTATTGTATAAAGAATACTTATCAAAGCTTCAAAGATGCGGTAAATTTACTGGCTTTCATATAATCTAGGCTATTTTTTTCCCTAGCATCTGATACGGTAAAGCATCATTGACACGTATAAATCATTTTAAAATTCCTTCTTCACTTGTTTTATTCTACGTACATAAATCTACACTGGAATATTCTATTTAGTAGCATTTGAGCTTAACTTTAATGGCCATTAAATCAAATGACAAGAGACTGAGGGTGAATGGGTAGTGTAGCTATTCGATATTTCATTTAGCATTTTTTTTCCAATCAGAGATTAAAGTAGTTGAATCATTCGCTATTTGATTATGATCTTACTAGTACTGCTAGACATCATCGACACTATAATCAAGTTGACGTTATGCCATCAAGGTTGGCACAGCAGAATTTGATTGGTAATTAACTCACCTGAGCACCAACAAGCCCTGCGCGCAGTCTCGGAATATCCGTGTGACTCCAGTCTGATCTGGCCCATGGGTCAACCCTACCGAGATCACTGCTGAGATTTACTTCACCAAGTTGATTATGCACAAACTTTCTGACGTTCCAAGGCAAATCATTGTGCCTAGGTCATCAACAAATATGAACAATAATTATTATTAATTGCAACTCACTATAGAAATGAATAGATGTGAGAATATATTCATTGAATAAGTTTAGAATTATTATTTGAATATTTCATTCTTTGTTCACGGTTATTTAACTGGAACTAATTTATTTACTGTTTTAAAATTAAAATAGAAAATTATAATTTACTATTGATATTAGCCTTTGCATTCATGTTTCAATTCAATTTCTTCCATTTACCCTGTAAATTACAACTTTGATTTATAACGTTAATTAAGTAAAATAACCAGCAGAAACCGTTGAAAATTTCATTACCATTCATAGAAAATCTTATTACTATTTATAAAATCTTAAAATATTGAAATATATTAAAGAAAAAAGAAGTTTTAATCAAACATTTCTGTGTAAAACTTTTGAAAATGTTCGATTTTCTAAACAATACTCTATTCTACTTTCAGTAGAGATTAGTGATAATTCTTTGAGAAAAATGGTTTAACTACACACTTATAAACTAAATTACCATCAATAATATCTCGTCTATTGTGTTGTTTTTTCTGATAGAGGAGCTATTATTAATAAAAAAAACAAACTCTTTATCAACATGACTGACTCACCCATCAATAAGAGGCACTTCAGTGAGGATTCTCCTGATAACATCAAGCCTTTGCTGATGTGTAACAGGGGCAGATTGCAATAGAAGTGGTAGACATAGTCCACCTAACAGCAAAGCAGTAACCAATAGCAATATTGGAGCCAAAACTCGACATCTTCGTCTTGGACTTTGATCCCTATTGTCTTTGCTGCTTCCTGAGCTTGGAGATTCTTCACAAGTTGGTGGCAAGCGAACTGTACCATTGCAAGGCGCAACATCTGGCAGTTCTGTTAGGCACGTTGTCTGTAATATATCATGAATACTACCAATTAAATGGAAATCAATCGATAGAAGAGATAGTAGCAGCTGATAATACAATTACTAGGAACAATAAGGTGTAACGTAACACATTTACTCATTAATTTAGCCCTCTAGCTCTATTTTAGCTGTTGTATTCGATTGTGAATAGAAAATATAACAAGGTGGAAACTCAATTCTGTATATATTTGGCTGCTAGCTATTCTTACAACTATGATCTTGGTCAAAAGTCCAATTTACCTCGATCAAGTCACTTTCAGTGGTATTAATATAGTGTATTTTAGTTTGACTCGCCTTGACAAAACAAAACTTTGTTCATGGTTCAGTTCTGAGTAATTTAACTAACTTTAGTATACAAGACTAAGAGATCTATTATTATGGACACGTCTATGTATTACGTGTTCTGATGTGTCTCGTATTACTTCAGTTTGCTTATAAAATTTATTTATACACTTTATAGTACGTTAATTTCATATCACATTTCTACGACTTTTGGAAAAATTTTACGAATATATTTTATTTATTGCTTACAATCTCTTCCCTGGTTTCTTCTCTTTATTTAGGTCAACGTATGCAAATCGGTTATATTTTATAGATTTATCGTCAAAAAGTAGTTTCTCAAGACTAACGGTATAGTCGAGTTTACAAACGATACAAGTTTTACACTGTTTTTCCACAACGTAATAAGAAAATGGAAAAAAAAAATAAATTATTTGCAACTTAAATTGCAGAAACTGGCAGATATGAGCCTCTGAAATGAAGCAAAAAGAAAAATATAAAAATAGTATCACCCTCTAGTTCATTTCGATTTATAACTTGAGTTTTTTTTATCAGGTATGTTGTAGAGAGTATTTTTCTATGAAATTTTAAATTATTTGCGTAAAATATTGATGTTTTCGTTTACATTTAGTACTGCATTAAACTTTCATTTGTAGTAGAATATTTTCAATGTTTTATGTCAAACTAAAATTATTAAAAATTTCCTCAATTGAGTGAACAAATTTTTTCAATTCTGTTTAAAAAGCTTGATTAAAAAGGATTTAAATATATGTATATAAAATTAAACTAGTTGAAATGTTAGAGCAACTCTCTTGATATATAATTTCAATGGTGAAATTGATCGTAAAAAGTTCATCAAATATTTCATTATTTTACAAAGTTAACATAAATTAAAATCAATATTTGATGTTATAAATCAAACTTGTCAGATAAATTTTACAATTTTTATTTATTTTCCATTTCTCTTCTATTGTTTTTGTAGGTTGCATTAAATTTTTTATCCGAAACGCAGGAATTTCCTAACTAAATAAAAAATTTACCGCTCAACATAAATGGTCGTGCAAAAGTAAACTAAAATTTATTGAAGAAAAAAAAAATCATTAATTACTGAGGTAGACTGGGCCGCCAGTAATTTTTCGAGTGAATAAAGTCTCGGGAGGTTTAATACCGGTCCCACAACTCATGGGTTACAATCGTACAAGAGGAAACATTGGATCAATGTTTCTATAAAATACGAGTTCGAATTTCGTATGGTCTAGCTTTGGCGCTGCTGCTACACTGACAAACATTCAACACCGAAACATTTGATTTTGCTTTACGAGGAGCGTCGTGTACTAACTGACGCGCAAAATTGGTATATCGTGGATGATGTGGTGCGTGTTTACATGTAGTGGTCGAACGTGTAGCGCAATGAAATTACTGCAGAGCATAAGGGACAGTATTGTGATAAATCATGTGGTCGTTTGTTCAACGACCTAGTCTGATCCTGATATTTTGCTGGTGTATTGTATTTGTGGCTCTTTACAACTGTTATGGGTAACCAGTTTTTTAAAATTTTTAATCATTTACTTTTTTAAATAAATCAGACATTGGAAGCAACAACCTAAATGGCAAGTTGAATCTGGCCCAAAACTAAACTCGTGAATATGGTCCACTTCATCTTCAAAACACCTTGCATGATATGGTGCTTATAGGAGAGTCAATGTAAGCTAGGGTAGGAATATAAGATCAGGATCTAGTAGTTGGAGCGTAACAGGAGGAAGACAGGAAAGAAAAAAGTTAGTTTGAGCTTTATTATATTCTCTTACGGTATATAATAATTCTATTAAAATATTTAATAACAATTCAAAGCTACCTTATTACTGCTTCACTGCTATTTTCCAGCTATTATATTACTACTCGAAAGCTATCCATTACATAGATAATTACTAGATGGGCCTGAATTTACTCCCTTATAGGTATATCATATCAGGTGAGGCATCTTGAAAATGAAATGGACCATGTTCAAGACTGGAGAATAGGACCAGATTTAAATTACTACGCAGACATATATGGCTATATTTCATTGCTACGTGGATAGAACTGGTAAACATGATTTGAAACAGTCAGTAGGCGTGCACATGTGCTGTTGATAAGATTGGAAAATGGTATGAAGCAGAAGAGGGAATAAAGTTGGCGGAAAAGGCTAAATGCAGAGAGATGAACAAGAGAAATAGAGAGAACTAGTAGGCCCGCGTCAGTCGAGGGTTAATTGGACGAGGGTGGTAACAGCCGCACTGGGGACGGTTTGTTCCACTTTGAATGTGACCCAAGAGTACTCTCATGGATTGGGATAATACAGCGATTCTAATGATGAATATTCTACTCAGATCGAATGTCACACTTATTTTTACTGTTATTCTATCGATCAATGAAAATAGTGAAGCTTAGTTTAATTTCATTTCGTTTGAATTTTTGTACTTATTTTTGATGAACTTTTTTTGATCTATTTCCCACGAATATGATGTATACAAAACTCATCAACATAATGAAATTTTTCTGGATAAATAATAAATTAGATTTGTTGTCCACTTTTACGAGATGCATATGAGCTTATGATATGATTTGATGTGAATCTTTTATTCTTATTTCGAGTTGATGATATAATTTAGTTGTGAAAGAAACTATGGTTTAATAAAAGAAAATAACTTGACTGTTTTATTAATAATTGAATAAAATGAAGAAGAGAATGTAGAGTAAAATTTTAATTTTGAAATAATATAAAATGATGCTATATTCATTCTAATTTTATTCTAGAATTGAATTTATCTTCAGTGTTCGAAGGAAATGAATATTTCCTTATAAAATTTCAATAAAACATTTCTTGATTTTAGCAGACATTAATTGAATTTGAAATTGATCAAGAGTTAATAAATCCTGGTTAAAGAATGCCTGATTGTAGTAAAACTAATTTTTCAATTTCTATCAAGCTCAACCTATCAATTAATATCTTAGTGATTGAAACTCTATTCAAGCTTATACACAACATTTCATGTCCAACATTCCTGATTATTTTAAAATAACTTGATTTGATGAAATTCCATAAAAAGGAAAAAAGGTTTATAATAGAGAAATTTTTTAGTCTAGTGATAAAAAACAGAACTGTAGTTTTAATCTTTGAAAATTTAGGCCATGCTTTGGTAGCAGAATAAAAGAAAATATGTCGCTTATAAAATTTTACCTACATTTTATTTGGATCAAAAGAGTCACTTATTCCGTTTAAGCTGCATATGTATTATATGGAGAAGTATTTTTACGTGTGCAATGAGGTAGTTGTGTTCATAGAACTGGTAATAATGTGGCTATAGTATGCGCCATTACATAACGACATTTATAAGCGACGAACTGGCAACTGATTTCTTTAACTGGTCTATGTGGTTGCACTAGTACTGCAGTGATTTCATTATATGTACCTACATATAATAGAAATTAGTGATTCAACAGATTAAGTTAGTTACTTTGATGAAACTCAATGGTTATATGTTTGTGTGCAGTCGTTGATGTTACTATGTTGTTTGTATTTGTGTCAAAGCATTCAAAGTTGTAGTAAAGCTTGAAGAAGTAGAAGGTATATTGATGAAAGCATTGAAAACAGGACATTTGATATTTTGATTGTAGATATACTGAAAAAAGTTCTCTTTATTTTCTCGTTTCTTGTATTTAGAAAAGGCACTTTAATCGACATATATAAAACTTGATGGCCAACATTTTGTCCTTTTTACTTCTTTTTGAACTTTTTACATACCCTTTATAACTTGAGATCGTTCACCTTGAGTGGTTTTATTGAATGACTTGGCTATCACATACTCTCTAAAGGGTAACTGTCAGTTTATTTACTCTGTTACTTTGATAAAATTTTTATTAGTTTTATTAATAATCATCATAGCTATTATTACACTTACGCCCTCATATTTGTAATTTATTGAGGTTTACATATTATTTTATGCTGCATTTCATCTTGTGAGAAAAAAATCTTTTATAATGTACGCTATTTTTTCAAACTATTTACATGAATAATAAGAATAAGAAATAATTACTCAATCATATTTTTTAAAACAAATTAATTAAAAAAATGTATGTACATTTTTTCGATTTTCTTTACACATTCATTGAATGATAGTATCTCATAATTAATTGGAATAAATATCTTGTATTCCAATAAATACTTCAATAAATTAAATTATATATTTCACTACATCACTTGCTGTGAATTACTAATTAATATTAAATTAAATTAAATTTATTGGAATATCAATTTAGTACTTTTCCAGCTATTACAGAAATACGGTTTTATTCAAGAGTCAATGAAAAGCAGACCATTTATTAATTTATCAGTACGTAATAAATATTCATTTCAACAAACACAATCTTTTGGCTTTCAACATAAAAATGATCATCATCATTTAGGTTTTATTTTCAAATAATAGTTTTTCTTTTTACTTGTTTATTGTTGAATATTTATTCATCAAAAATTATTTATTTATCAAAACTAACTACTGATTTGATTTCCTATTATAAGTTGTTTCTTCAAGTACCAACATTTCCTACCAAGTGTATCATGACACATGCGTAGGTGATGATTAGATTGTCATGTGAATCGTACCTATATACTTGCTAGCATCTCTTGACATCTTCCTTTACTAAGTTATATACCCACAGCCCCATCA